GACAGCTGCTGATGACCAACGGCGAAACGATGCTGAAAGAGGGGACTCAGGTGAGACAGGATCCTGTTGACGAAGGTTCAAGAGGTTTTTTGTCTTTTGTTTATGTTTTTTTTCTGTCTTCTTTACAGGCTAGTGAGGGCTATTTCAGCCAATCACAGGAGGAAGAATTTGGCCAATCAGAGGAGTCCTCAGCTAAACCTGCACCTGTCTTTTATAACAAGCCACCAGGTGAGATATTTGTCTGCCTGAAGTTCCCCGAATTTAAAGTGAAAAATCCAGAAAATCCAGACTTTCCTTTTGGCTGATAAAAAAAGTTCACGATGTCCTTTACAACCCTCACCAAAAACACTAGATATCACTTTTTTGGATGATACCTCATACCTGCGAACAATACATCTCAGTTTTTCAGAAATAACAAAACCATGATGCTAGTGAAAAATACAAAATTTGTCAGGTTTGTCCTTAAAAGAGCAGATCTGAGAGGTCTGCTATTTTTCTGCAGATTGTGCTTAATTACGTATAATAACTCAACATGTACGTGTTTGTGTTTCTCTTTGTTCAGAGATTGACATAACGTGCTGGGACACGGACCCCGTGGTTGACGAAGACGATGACTAACCGGCCAATCACAAGCACCAACCACCGGACCAAGAGGAAGTAGGAAGTGCGCTTCAAGAAGAAACAGATTTTTTTCTAAAAAAATGAAACACAAACAAACAAAAAAATGTCCTAATAATAACAAATCTTGCATCAAAACTACTTCTGTATTATCTTTTAGAGGAAAACTGTAGCCAATGAAAAAAAAGGGTTTGAGTTGATGTTGACGATGATGGTTTAAAGGCTCAGTTATGTTTTTTTCTGTGTTTGTTATTTTATTTATTTGTTTTTTCTTCTTTTTTTTTTTTTTTTTTTTTTGCTATGCAGATGTATTAGCTGTGAGCGGGGGACTTTTGTTTGTGTAAATGATTTATTACACATTAACGTAGCGCACTGCTGCATATTAGAGACAATGAAGCCCAGTGTGAGGCGGGCAGCCCACACACCTAGTCTGTAGTGCTTTATTAACACCTTATCAAACTAATACAGTGGATCTTTTCAGCTGCCATGAACTGTATATCTACACTCTGCTTCTTTTCTTACCTCTTTTCACCTTCTTCCTTCTTTCTGCCTTCCCATAAGGGTACCCCGAACATCTTCACCTCCACCAGTCAGTTAATCTTGTGTTTAGCCCCGGCTTTAAGGGGACACGGTGAAGTATTTTATTTATTTTGGTTTATTTTTCACAAACTGCTCAAGACACACACCTATTTTACAGTAAAACTCCTGATCCAAGTTCAACCATGGCTGCATTTTGACCTTTTTCACTTCTTTTGTATGATTTAAAGACTGAATTCAAGATTAAATGGCTTGTAAACCTGTTTGATTTTTCTCAGTGCACTTTTTCTCCCGTCTTCTGCCCCCTTGTGGATGAGCTGCAGCATCGCAATCAGCCCTTCAACTCCTGCTCCATTATTTCTACCCAATTTACATTTTTACACAAATCAGTTTTTCATGTCATAGTATAGTATGATATAAATTTAGCATTGAATTACAAAAAAGTCCTATTTTAGTATGAAAAAAGGGTCATAGAAGAGTATGTTAGAAATGTCTTAGGTATGATAAAAATGTCACATTTCAGTATGAAAAAAAAATAGAGTATGTAAAAAAATGTCATAGTATAGTATGATGAAAATTTCACATTAAATCATAAAAAAGGTCATAGTATAGTATAATAAAATACTTAAATTTTGGTATGAAAAAATGTCATAGTATACTATGTTAAATGTCATAGTACAGTATGATAAAAAAAATTATTTTAGTATGACAAAATGTCATAGTGTAGTATGTTGAAAATATCATAGTATAGTATGAAAAAATATAACATTTTAGTATAAAAAAGTATAGTATGAAATAATTTTCACATTGAATTATAAAAAGGTCATATTTTAGTATGATAAAAAATATACACTTTAATATGAAAAAAGGTCATAGTATAGTTTGATAAAAATTTTACATTTAAATATAAAAAGGTCATAGTATAGTATGATAAAATATTTTTAGTTTGAAAAAAAAGGTCATAGTTTACGTTGACGAAGTATAGTATGAAAAAAATGTCTTAGTACAGTATGGTAAAAATATCATAGTGTGGTATGATTAAAATATCACATTTTAGTTTAAAAAAATATCATAGTATAGTATGTTGAAAAATGTCATGGTATAGTATGTTAAAAAATATCATAGTATAGTATGATTAAAATATCACATTTTTGTATGAAAAAATGTGATGGTACCGTATGTTAAAAAAAATCTCGTAGTTAAGTATGTTAAAAAAAAAGTCATAGTATAGTATGTTAAAAATGTCACATTTTAATATTAAATCGTCACAGTATAATATGATAAAAATGTCATAGTATATTATAATAAAATTCAAATTTAAGTATGAAAGAAATATTATAGTATAATATGTTAAAAAATTTCATAGTATAGCATGAAAAAAAATGAAATGGTATATCATGTCATAAAAACCATGGTTAAAATGGAAAAAAAGGAAATCCTCAGACATGGATGGCATCGTGGTGTAAAGGTAAGAACTGTTGCCTTACAACCAGTAGGTCCTTGCTTCAAATCCTGGTCAGGTATAGTATAATACAAAAAAACATTGTTAAGAAAAGGTCATTGTGTTGTTTAGAAACACAACAACAGTTTGTCAGAAAATGTCATAAGATAAAATGATAGAAATGTCATAGTGTAGTATAATAAAACTTTCACACTTATGTATGAAAAAAAATCATCGTATAGTTGGGTAAATGTCATAGTACAGTATGTTAAAAATTTCATAATTGAATATTTTACCTTATTATACATGGTAAAAGTATAGTATAATAAAAAATTGAAATTTTACCATAAAAAATGTCATAGTATAGTATGTTAAAAATGTCATAGTTTCATACGATAAGAATATCACATTTAAGTATGAAAAAAATTCATAGTATAGTATGATAAAAAGGGTCATAGTATAGTATGATAAAAGTATAGCATTTTAGTAAAAAAAAGGCAAAGTATAGGATGATAAAAAGTTTCACATTGTATTATGAAAAGGTCATTAAGTAGTATGATAAAAAAAATAAAATTTTAGTAAGAAAAAGAAGTCATAGTATAGTATGTTAAATGTCATAGTATAGTATGTTAAAAAAATGTCATAGTATAGTGTTATAAAAATATCACACTTAATATAAAAAACGTCAAAGTATGTAAAAAAATGGCAAAGTATAGTATGTTAGAAATATCATTGTATAGTATGATAAAAATATTACATTTAAGTTTGAAAAAATGTCATATTAAAGTATGTGAAAATATCATAGTATAGTATGATAAAAAGATCACATTTTAGTATGAAAAAATATCATAGTATAGTATGTTAAAAAATGTCATAGTATAGTATGTAAAAAACAAAGTTTAGTATGATAAAAAACTTTTATCTGTAAATATGTCTTAGTTTTTCATGTCTTAGTTTTTTAAAAAATGTCTTATTTTTGTATGGTAGAGTATCACGTTTTAGTATGTTAAAAAATGTCAATGTATAGTATAATAAAATCTTATACTAAGGTATGATAAAAACATCACATTTTAGTATAAAAGATGTCATAGTAAAATATGATAAAATTTTCACTTTTAAATGAAAAAGGTCATAGTATAGTATGTTAAAAAAAATCTCAGTTTTGTGCATTCAAAATATCACATTTCAGTATGAAAAAAATATTGTATTTTGAAAAATGTCATAGTATAGTATGTTAAAAATGTCATAGTTTAGTATGATCAAAAAAATAATATTCAAATATGTCTTGGTATATTTAATGTTATATTATAATATCAAAAAATGTGTTAGTTTTGTATAATAAAAATATCACATTTCAGTATGAAAAAAATGTCATAGTAAAGATGGTTCAGAAAATGTCATTGTATAGTATGTTAAAAATGTCTTGGTTTTGTATGATAAAAAATCACATTTTAAGATTAAGAAAATGTCACAGTGTAGTATGTTCAAAATGTCATAGAATAGTATGATAAAAATATCACATTTTAGAATGAATGAAATGTGATAGCGTAGTATGATAAAAAATATCATAGTATAGTATGTTAAATGTCATAGTATAGTACGATAAAAAAATTTAACTTAAGTATGAAATAAATGTCATAGTAATGTATGTTAAATTATCATAGTATAGCATGATGAAAATATCACGTTAGTATGAAAATAAGGTCATAGTATAGTATGATTAAAAAAAATTAGTATAAAAAAATGTCATAGTATGGTAAGTTGAAAATATCATAGTCAAGTCTGTAAAAATATCTTATTTTTGTACGTTAAAAATATCACATTTTAGTATAAAAAATATAACATAGTATGTTAAAAAATGTCATAGTATAGTATGTTAAAAATATCACAGTACAGTATGACAAGAAAATTAAATTTTAGTATGAAAAAAATGTCAGTGTAGTATGTTAAATGTCTTATTATAGTATGTTAAAAATATTACATTTAAATATGAAAAAAGGTCATAGTATAGTATGTTAAAAATGTCTTATTATACTATGATATAAATATCACATTTAAATATGAAAAAAGGTCATAGTATAGTATGTTAAAAATGTCTGTTTTGTATGATAAAAATAAGATCAGTGAGTCAACATGTTTTCAGCCTGTTTCAAAAAATAAGGGCTATTCCTTCTAATTCAGGGAAATTTAATACCTCCCATTCTCTTTTGTTTGACTTTAAACACTACCATTTGCAATAAAATAAACCCAGCCCTTTTATTATATTCCTTACCTCCCTCTTATGCAGGACTACAGTTGTGTACTGGCTTCCTGTTGATTATTATTTTCCAAACTTTGTTGATTTGTAAAGCTCTATCTGCGCTTCGACAGTCTTAATAAGTGCTCCTTTGAAATAACAAGAGACTTTTCACACACTCTGTCATACGTTTATTTACAAATGTCACTGACACAAACACACACAGACCTACAGTAAAAGGAACATGAAATATTCTTCTGTCTAAAGGCCGTGAATGATGGTTCTGTTCTTGAGGCCCTGGACGTACTCCTTGGCCTGGTCTAAGCTCGTCCTCTCCTCTGTTTTTGGCGGTGAACCCTCCACCAGTTTTACAAAGTAGTGGCAGTAAACTTTATCCATGATGCCGAACATGCCGCGGCCGTGGTACCGGATCCTCTTCAGGTATGTCCCTTTTCCAGTGTACGACTCAGCTGGAGGACAAAGAGCAGAAAACAAGATTTAATACAAAAAAAGGAGATTATGCTGAGTGTCCACAGTAAGTAAGGTAGTAGGTAAAGAGTTAAAATTTACCTAAATACAGGTTGGATTTGTACTCTACGTTGTGACTTCTGACCGCCATCTCCTGAGCTTCTAGAAGAACCTGAACAAACAGACAAATAAAGAGCCGTCACCTCCAGAAAAAGGGTTTGAAGAGACATGATGAGGGAAAATGCCAAACTAAAAATGAACACACAGCAACCCTGATGAAGAGAAAAGGAAAAGGGAAACGTCTGTCCCGCTGTTACAAACCTCTTTCATGATCTTTGCTCCTTTCTTGTCGTTAAACTCCAGCTGTGCGATTGCCTGATCGATGCTCATCCCTCGGATCTGTGAAGGAAAAACAGAAACAGTGAGATGGAGCAACCTCATTTGTTAATCATCTGTGTGATATAAGCCTCAGATTAGCCGCTCATATTTAGGTCTCACCATTTTAGCCAGGTACCACATCTTGTCTTTGCTGTATTTGATCTGCCTCCTGCAGTGGTAAACCTCCTACAGAAGAGGGAGGGAAGAAGATAAATATGTGATCTAACAGGGACATCCTGACTCTTTGAATCACATGTTCAAATACAAGATAAAAAAGGCCAAAGACTCACGGCTGGTCTGCGAGGTTCATCTGGCAGCTGAGGAGGAAACATCATCCGGTTCTTCTTCTCCCATTTAGCTGAGCTCAGTGAGCTGCTGGTGTGAAGACATGAGAGCTGCTGAGGACCACCACCCAGGACCTGTAACCTGGAGGGACATTAAAGACGTTTATTTACATGTGTCCTCCACACCAGCTCAGATATGCAAAGCTTCAGGTACAGGTAAACCACAGCAAGTCCCTCCTCATACCTGACACTGTGCTCCACTTTACATTTCTCTAAGGTTCATAACAAACCTCAAGGCTTTAACTCATCATTGTACCCTGTATGAGAAAGTTGGGTGGCCCTCTCTAACTGTGCGTAGACTGAACCACTGACACATCCTGATTAAGAAGGCTATACTTGTGTAATTGTATTCATGTTAAAAGTTCAGGAATCTTAAGCCTTCATTCTGTGACTCAGGCACAAAATCTACTTTTGCTATCTGTCCCCAAAGTTCATCTTGAAATGGGTAAAGAAGGTTTAGATCTGCTGCTCCTGCTGACTGGAATCTGCTGAGAAAAATTGTGTCTTGGAGAGCTGGTCTCTTTAAGTTTTTTTTTGTTTAAATGTAGATTAAAAGTCTTAGAGGAAGATGAAGCAGGCTGTAAGTGCTTTGACTAATACTGTTCTGCTCTGTGACTTCGACTTAGCTGGTTGTTTATGTCTGTAGCTTTGTGAATGAACTGCTGCCTGTCTTGGCACCAGGACACTCTTGCAAGTGAGATTTTTCATCTCAATGAGGTTTTCTCTGGTTAAATAAAGTTTCGCTCATTTCTAAGACAGCTACTCTGTCCAGTGGTGTGCCTCAGAGATATGTGCTGGGTCCAATTCATTTTTCCTATCCACTCACCCATCGTGCCATGTGACAGGTCTGGGCAATTAATCAAATTTCAATCCTTGGGTTATGATGACCCGAGCTGTAGTCACTCACAATCACTCACAAGAAGTTAAGAGACCATGCTATGAAGTTCATTTCATTGACACAACTTTCTAAGTCAATATATATATTTTTGACCCAGCAGATTTGATCAATTTTTCTGTTAACCCATAATAAAGTCATCAAAGAACCAAACTTCATGAATGTTTTTTATGACTAAGAAGTATCTGTTCACATCACTCTATCAGAGAAAAATCTGAGTTGTAGAAAGAACAGGAAACTCAAGAGAGCCATGACATTATGTTCTTTATAAGTGTATGTAAACTTTTGACGACAGCTGTAAGTAAAGATGCAAATACTCCGAGTTTAACTGAACTCACCTATGATTCGGGTCACTTACTGTCCCTTTAATGAGGATTTTATTCAAGCACAGCTTTGTGTTATTTCATACGAGTGTATAAAACGAATTAAACAGCTACTTTAATTCCTCAACATTTGTATTTTTGTCGCATTTCGTGAATCGAACTAGTTTTAACAGAAATGTGTCCTTCTGCGCGGTGACAACGTGAATTAATGAACTTACCGTGAGATTAAAGTCCCGGAAACATTCCTAATAAAAGCCATACCTGAAAATAAACGCAAAAACCGTTTAATATCGATAATGCAAACAGTAAATGTCAAGTTAAACGAGATTTTTCACGTAGACTGTGATCATTTCTCATACCACGTCCTGTCATTGCTGTCGCCATCTTGCATCTTTGCGACGCTCGGTGTTCACTTTACGGTTACAATGTTAAAACACAGACGTAATTTCGTATATCTCATAGAAATACTGTATGCAGTTTTAAATTTAATGCAAACTCTTTGTAAACTCTTATTGTGATTCTATTGATAAAAGTTACATAGCAGAAAAAATCAAACTTGATGTGTTTTGACCCAGCTGAGATCCCGTATTTAACACCGGCAAGATTTACGACACCACGCTCGCCGTACGGCCACAGATGTAGTTGCTACGACAGTGAAGGTACCATGTGAGAAGTTGGTGTTCAGGTTTTCAGACTTTATTAGAGAATTAGGTGATATCTAAACAGAACAAAGACATCATGCACGAGAGGTCTCTTCCCGCCTCTCCCAACTGGTACTGCTCGCGCTGCAGTGACGTCAACAGCAGCGGTTTATTAGGAGTCGGAGCCAAAAACAACATTTACCTGATCAGTGTGTCTGCAGACACCTGCAGGGTCACAGGTGAGCAGACCGACCCTCTTATTATGATCTTTATCTTTAAATCTGAAGGTTCTGGGGAAAAAAAATCCGTTTTTAAGACAAATCAGGTCATCTCAGGTGGGCTGATGGGGAGGACAGGTGAAAACTCCCGCTGGGAAGTCAGAAGATGGAAGTCTAAACTTTAAGGAGTCTGGAGCAAAAACAGATTTTTACAGTTTGTCATCTGTAGCCAGCTGCTAGGGCTGGACGATAAAACGATATAAATCAGAAATAGTGATGGGAAGATCAGTTCTTTTGACTGAATCTTTAGAATCTGTTCCTTAAAACGATTCGTTTAAAAGATTCATTGACTAAATCAGTCAGTGCTTCAGAGCTTCGTCCTTCCGCTGCAGTAGACCTCACAGATGCAGGAGATTATTGTGTTGGAAAAGACATGCGACCAATAAACACTGTTACATTTAATTTTTTATATCCTGATATTGATCGATATCGACTGATATGAAAATATATATATATCGTGATAAACCTTTTCCCATATCGCCCAGCCCTACCAGCTCCTCTGTTTTTCTGTGTCGTCCTTTTTCTGTCTCTGCTCTGTATTGAGACCCTTTCTTTTCTCCACTCTGTGTGTTTTTCCTTCCAGGTGAGCTTGTCGGCCACAGAGACTCAGTGTCCGGCTTTTCTTTCTGTCAGCATGAGGGTCAGAACCACGTCTGCGTCAGCTCCTCCAGTGATGGGAGTGTCCGATTCTGGGACTCAGACCAAAGGACTCTTATAAGAGAGGATGCAGCTCATCAGGTGAGCGTTAACTCTCCTGACCGGTTCAGGGACTTATCAAAGGGATATTAGGAAACTCAAGGAAGAACATTTACGATCATTACTTTATCATTTCCTTGAAGTAATAATCATCGTATTAATCATTTTGTACTGTAGACGCTGTAGTTCTTCTGCCTTAAATGAAATAATAGAATTAAGTTTATCTGTCACTGATTTCTGGTTAAGATGTAAAAACCCTGACAACACCATTATAACCATCATACTGTATTAAACTGTATTAAGTTGATATGTCATGTTATTTCTTTCCACACACAGACTGCCGTCACGGCGCTGCACTGGTCTCCGGTGGATAAAAACCTGGTGTTGTCGGGTGATGAAAAAGGGATCGTGGTTTGTCACTGGTACAACACAGGAGACATCTCCAGCTTCTTCCCTGAGCCCAGGACCATCTTCTGCCTCAGCTGCTCCCCACACTCCTGGAGCTCTGTGGCTGTGGGGTAAGAACGCCCATCATAGAAAGTTCCCACTGTGGAAATATTACTAGCTCCTGTGAAAGACTGTGAGTCTGCTGTTGTTTTCATGTCTCAGGTACAAAGACGGGATGATCGTGCTGATTGACGTGAGTAAAAAAGGCGAGGTGATGCACCGGCTCAGAGGACACGACGATGAGATCCACTCGCTGGCGTGGTCGTCGGAGATCGGTGAAGACTTTCTCTACAGCAGACCCGAGGACAGTGAAGGCGGGACGGGTCTCAGTGCAGGAGAGGAGAGGGGCTGCTATATCGCATCTGGGAGCAAAGACCAGACGGTGAGGATCTGGAGCTCAGCGAAGGGGAAAGGTGAGAAAGGAGCTGAAGATTTAACATCTATTCAAAGCAGCTCTGTGTGGGGGACAGTTTCAGGAGTCGCTCATAATGACGGCAGAGACAGAAATATGTGCGGTCATGGTCATGGATGATGTTTTATAACGCCTCCTTCCTCCTGTCAGGGGTGATGACTCTAAAGCTGCCGTTCGTGAAGAAGCGGGGCTCTGCAGTCGACCCCGGTGTCAAAGAGAGACTCTGGCTCCACGTTCACTGGCCTAAAGGACGGCCCACTCAGCTGGTGTCCAGCTGCTTCAGGTACGAAAACAACTTCAGTTGAAACGGTGATGGACTCCAAATGGATCAGTGTCTCATTTTCAGAGTGACGTCTGATTTAAAGTCCTCCAATAATATAACGCTCAAAGTTCTTGGTGTGTGTGTGTGTGTGTGTGTGTGTGTGTGTGTGTGTGTGTGTGTCCACAGTGGTGAGATGTTGATGTGGGATCTGACCCGGGCTGGGAAGCAGAGGTGGACTCTGTTTGGGACGTCTTCAGAGGGTCAGAACCACAACAGGATCGTCTTCAACATGAGCTCAGTCCGCCTGCAGAGCGGCAGAGATCTGCTGATCAGCACCTCCATGGACAGAGAGGTGGGTCACCGAGCGCCGGGACTCAGTTCTGTCTATGAGGTTAAGCAGAACTTGGTGGAGCCCTGACTCTGGGTTTTGTCTTCCAGGTGAAGTGCTGGGACCTGGCCTCCTTAGACTGCCTCTGGACTCTGCCCACTCTGGGAGGTTTCGTCTACTCCCTCACCTTCTCCCCTGTGGGTACTGGGTGTCTGGCGTTGGGTGTGGGTGACAACATGATCCGGGTGTGGAACACACTGACCACCCAGAACCAGTACGACACCCGGTCCTTCTGGCAGGGCATCAAGTCCAAAGTCACAGCGGTAAGAAGTTTGGGGTCAAGATCACCTACCCCCAATTTTCACTGCATCCGGAACGGCTGCGACCTTTTCGTAGCCGTTCAGGATGAGTTGAAAATTGGGGGTTAGTTCACCAGGTCTACTTCAGTTTGGTCCTCAGAGGGGGTCTGTGGACCTTCATAGTCTGTGGACCTTCATGGTCTTAATCTGCTGCTGTTACTCAGCTCAGAAACTTTCCGATGACTCTGACGAAGTGTTTGAAGAAACTTTCTCCGACTCTCTGCAGCTGGCGTGGCATCCCAAGAAAGAAGGATCTCTGTCTTTTGGAACAGACGATGGAAAAGTCGGGATCTACGACGTCTTCTCAAACAAGTACGATCCTTTTACTGTAGTGACTCAAATATAAGACATCATTGAAACGCTCCTGGTGAAGATTAGATATAAATTTCAGCATCGATCAATTGACTGAAACATCCAAGTTCTATGTCGTATAATTGTGTCATTAAAGTCTCTTATTTCAGTTTGTTTATCTTGTCCTGCCTGAATCATGTAGATATCAGGTCTATCTTGTTGGTCATATCTTCTTGCAGCCTTTATTTCCTGACTCAGGGATTCACTCTGCTCTTTCTCCTCTCAGACCTCCTCAGATTTCCAGCTCCTATCACCGGAAAACAGTCTACACGCTGGCCTGGGGCCCCCCGGTCCCCCCTCTGTCATTTGGTGAGTTCTCAATGCGCTCCTATCAGGTACTGCTGTTTGCTTTAAATGCTCTGACTCAGCAGAAACACAGAGGGTGGGAGGCTGAAGAACCAGCGAGTCAGCAAAAAAAAGGACTAATGGTGTTTATAATCGACTGTGTGATTAAAAAAGCTGAGAAAGCTCCTGATATCTCCTCCTCCACTTCAGAAGATCACCCTCTCAAACCGTCTGTTTCTGTCTGTCTGCTGTGTGACCTTCAGGTGCAGCAGGTGGGAAACCGTCCATCAGCCTGTACAGCTGTGCAGGCGAGGGCGTCATCTTGCAGCACGATCCGTCGAAGCTGAGCGGAGACGCCACCGACATCGACAAGCTGATCAGAGACACCAACAACATCAAGGTGGGAGGGGTTAACAGGAACAAGCGTAAAGTAGTCTGGGTCTGTGGGTCTTCAGTGTTTGTCTAAGTCCAGGAGAAACCTGACTCACCTGAGAGGTCCAGACTTCAGGCTGTGAGGGTCGGGGCTTTAATGCTGGACGTGTCTGAATAAGTGATGAAGGTGAGCTCTTCTTCTCCACAGCATAAACTTTCTCCACACACCGACCTCAGCTGGAAGCCGGATGGGAAAGTGGTCGCCATCGGCAATGAAGACGGGTGAGTGAGCGTCCGGTCTTGACCCGCCTCGAAGGTCTGTTGAGTCCTGCAGAGCGTCAGCTGTTCACTGACAGCGTACGGTCTGCTGACGTTTATATGAACGTATTAGTTTCTGTGTTTCTGTTGACGTCGCTCACGGTCAGGAAGTCTGATCAGCCGTCTCACTGAGGCTTTCAGAGTCTGTAAACTTCACGGTTTATCAGTTTGCTCTACTGTTGAAAGAGGACGGCTTTTTGAGGGCGCTGTGATCGTGACCGGACCGTTGAACAAACAGTGTTGCCAACTCCTCAGTAAGAAAAGTCGCTAGTGGCTGTTGTAGAAGTTGCTAGAAGTCGCATAATTTCTCCGATCTCCCCACCCCCAGGAGGAGGAGGAGGAGTCTTCCGCGGGGTGTCTGAGTGTCTGTGTCCGTTGAGAAGAGTAACATCTATTCCGCCGTTTCCGTTGGAGTCTCTAAACTCCAGAAAAAGTTGCTAGATTTGTCGCTAGGCACTTTTTAAAAAATAAGTAGCTAGGAGGGTCTGAAGAGTCACCAAATCTAAGTTGGCAACACTGTGAACGACACTGTTGACCTCAGTAAACTGCAAAAATGGAAATGTCAAAATGTCACTTGGGGGAATTTCCCAACACCACGTGAGTCCCTGTCTGAAAAACGATCGGACTCTCATGTCATTCAGTCAAAAATTCTCTCCTGTCTCAGCTTTCACTTCATCGTAGGAATAAACACTTTCCATCTTTGCTCGCTCTTTCTTCTTCGTGCTCTAACCGTACGTTTTCTGCTGCAGATGCATCGACGTGTACGAGGCCCCCGGTCTGAAGCTTCTGTGCAGCATCCAGCAGCACCACAAGATCATCAACAAGCTATGCTGGCATCACGAGCACGGCTCTGACCCGGAGCTGCACTGTCTGCTGGCCTCGGGCTCCAGCAACGCCATCGTTTACGTGCACGATCTGCGCTCTGTCATAGGTGAGAGGACGGCCCAGAATAAACCCCGACACCTCCTCCACAGGTAAAAAGTTAAAGTCTCTGTTCTCTTGTTGTTGATGTTATCGTCTTCTCTTCGCACAGAGAGTCCTCCAGAGAGCCCGGCGGTTATTACCGAGCCGTATCGTAGGCTGTGCGGTCACACGGCCAAAATCACCAGCATGGCTTGGAGTCCACACCACGACGCCCGGCTGGTCACCGTCTCATACGACGGCACGGCTCAGGTCAGACACAGAAGCAGCATCCCTGATTATCGTAAAATCGTGATTTAAATGGAATCAGCATCCAAAAAATCGCAGAAGAATCGAACAGGAGAAAAGGGTATCGTCCCAGCCGCAGTAATTTTTGTAATTTTGAAAGAAGTGACTTCTTTCTTCTTCAGGTGTGGGACGTGCTGCAGGAGGCGGCTCTGGCTAACTATCGAGGTCACGTCGGTTACCTGCTGAGCGTGGACTGGTCACCCGTGGATCCAGACGTGGTCTGGACTGGAGGGAAGGACTTCACTGTGCAGGAGTGGAGAGTCTCCAAACAGGAGTTCACGAAGCCTCCTAAAGGTGAGTTTTCAGCTTTTTAAAACCCTCAGTGAATAAAACGATCTTCTCCCGAAGTCTCTCACATTCAGGAGACGATTCTTCATCCTCAGGGAAAAAGGCGACGATCATGAAGGAGAAGACGCAGACCAATCCCAGACTGAAGAAGAAGAACAAGAAGACGTCAGGGGCCGGCGGAGCTGCACCGCCGGAGATGAACGGAGAGACAACGACAGGAAGGACGGATCAGGAGCTTTGTGGAGATGATGAAGAAGATGAAATCCGCTCCAGGAGTAGTCCTCTACCTCCACCAGGTAACGGAGAGTCAAACATCAACTCAGGGTTAAAAAAGTGGAATTGTTGAGATGATTGAAATCTGAAATTCTGTCCTAGAAACTTTTGAGACACAAAGAAAAACCTCCATGACGATGAAGAGCAAAGACAAACCAGGTTTGTGGATCAACTTCTTCAAAAGTTTGAGATGAAAAGATTTAAAATCTGGCGGTTTGAAGGATTTCATGTGTCCGTCTTAGTGGTTCCAGACTCGGTCCTGCAGAAGAAGAAGAAGCCTCGCTCCATGCTGCCCGTCAGCACCGCCATGGACCATCGACCCAAAGAGGATCTGCTGCAGGACTGCATCACTCTGGCCTCAGTCAGACACGGAGACGGTGAGATTCAGACGCTGGTCTAGACCCGCTCCAGTCCTCATCTTCATCACAAACACTCTTCTCATACTTTTACTCCAATGCTGATGTGTTTGTTGTTTACAGCGCCCCCTGCAGGCTGTGTTCCAGGCCGAGGAGATCACGTCCATCTGGGTCTTTTCTCCGACAGACCGGCTCTGTGCCGCATGTTCGAGGCAGAGGGTAAGATCGTGGTTTCCCTCGCTCTTTGTTAAGACCTTGTTTGCTTTGTGACGTTTTCTCACGCTGTCTGTCGTCGTTCAGAGGAGAGCCACGTCGAGGCGGGTCACTTCGACTCTGTGGTCTACCTGCGGCTGTGGAGCGGGGACTTGGAGGGGGCGCTGCAGCTCGCCACGGAGAAAGGAGAGCTGAGTGACCACCTGCTGTCCGTCGCTCCGATGGGTGAGGAAGACTGTAATCTTTGACGATGCTTTCAAAGACCTCCATGTTCTGCTGTAACTCCTGTGTCTCCTCCTCTTCCTCCTCCTCCAGCTGGTTTCCAGGTGTGGAGCCGGACAGTGGAGGCCTTTGTGAAGCAGCTGTGTCTGCAGGAGCAGTACCTGAAGGCGGCGTCACACCTGCTGTCAATCAACAAGCTGTACGAGGCCGTGGACCTGCTGCGCTCGCACAGACTCTTCAGGTCAGCTCCAGCTCCGATCCTGCTGATCCTGGTTCATGTTTTCAGTCTCACAGATCTTTGTGTTTGATTCGTAGGGAAGCCATCGCTCTGGTTAAAGCCCGCCTTCCTGCAGACGAGCCTCTCCTCAAAGATCTGTACACCAGCTGGGCGTCTATCCTGGAGAAAGACGGACATCTGTCTGCAGCAGCTAAGTGGTGAGAATTCAAAGCTCTCTTAAATTCTCTGGGCTCTATTTTCGTTCCCGCCGGCAGTGCGGTGGAGGTTGGTGGACTCTGCGCAGTGGTATTTTCTTCTGGCGGAGCCCGGTGCACAGCCAGTTTGGTATTTTCATAGACTGAGCGCACAGAGGTCTGCCAAGCTGGGCGGTGGTGCGGTAGGGGGAGGCGTCGACAGAATCAGCAGGCGCAGTGACATTTTCGTGCCCGCCGGTGGCGAAGAAAGTGCGCTGAAAGCTTGCAGATTCAAACCTGGTCAGCTTTCAGCGCAGGCGGAGTGCAGCTGGTCTAGAGGTATTTTGGTAGACAGGTGGCGTAGTGCGCATACGTCTTCAGCCATCTCTTGATCTCTTTTACCACTTCACGAAAATTGTAATACGCCTCGCCGGTGGCGGATTTAAAGGTGAGGAGAGGAGCGGATGTGATTGGTGAAAACAGGTCTCGGCTGTGTTAAACCCACTCCACGCCTTCTCTTCTCCCTCTCTATGACTTGCGCAACTGGGAGGAGCTGCGTTAGGGAAGGGGGATACCTACGCCGCGCCTGCGCCATGCCGCCGGCGAGGCACGAAAATAGAGCCCTCTGTCTCTAAAAAAAATCAGTCCTTCAACTCTGTGTCTCTAAAAATTCCGTCCTTATCTTCTCTGTCTCTCCTCCTGCAGCTATCTGGCTGCCGGTTCCAGTTTCGACGCCGCTAAAGTCATCTCCAGAAAGAACGACGTCCCGTCTCTGAGGACAGCTGCCTCTTTAGCGAGGATCTCAGGAGAGGTGGCTCTGGCTCAGTCTCTGGCGCTGAGGTGTGCTAAAGACCTGGCTGCTGATCAGGACTGGGTCGGAGCTCAGGAGGTCCTCAGCTCACAGGAGAGCCTGCTGGTCAGTCACAGAAACATCAGAGGGCAATATTTAAAGGGTTTTTTGTTTGACTGACGGCTCACAAAGATCTGAACTCGCCGTCCTAAAATGTTGGGTTGCTGTGTAAAAGTCCAGGTTCTTCTCAGCTCTGTAACACGAGTTTTCTTCCCCCTGCAGGTCCACAGGCTGCACCTCTGCGTCGCTGAGCTTCTGGCCGTGGAGCTCAAAGACTCCTCCGCTTCATCTCCTGGACCCGTCGTCTCCAGTCACTCATGGGCGTCACCAGATGAGCATCACGCCACTCTCCTGGAGCGAGTTAGAGGCGTGTGGGAGGAGCAGTTTGGCGTCTCACCGGAGTCGGCGGGTCATCGCAGCGCCGCGGCTCTTCTGGAGGAGCTGAAGTCTGTAGAAAGTCCAACACTGACCCCCAACGTCCCCCTAAAACAGGTGCTTGAACCTGGACTGCTCCTCCAGATTCTGATACTGATTGATTTAAGGTTTAATCAGATCAATTAAACTTTCTCTCTCCAGGTTCAGCTGTATTCATCCCTCCATCTGACCCGTGCCGTGCTCAGCTGCTTATTGGACGATGGCGGTCAGCTGATGAAGGAGCTGTGGACGGCGGTGGCCTGGTTCAGAGATTCTGGACACCTGTGTGTCTCTGCAGAGCTCTGCAGGCGCCTCTTTCCTGACGGTAAAACCACGACACACAGTTTTTTTGATGCACCTCCTCGGTGAAACAAGATTCATCTTGATTTAAAACTCTGCAGTCAGATAAACAAACTCCAGCTCTAGTTTTTTCTGCTTTTGTCTGACAAACTAAAACATTCAGTAAAAAATACAAAAAGAAACATCGTAACTTCGCTCTAGACTGCCTCTATTTTTGAGATACGCAGACGTTAAAGACGAACACATGATCGTTTCTGGTCTATTAACTGTCAAAGTTTGTAACCTGTTCGTCAAACATCCTGCACTGATGTTTCTCCAGCTTTTCCATCATTGTAAACGAATCTGAACGCAAGAAATCACATGCAGCTAAAAGGCGGATTCATCTTAACCCTCAGACATCACCAGCAGAACCACAGCGTTCATATAGAACCATAAATCCTCCAATAAAGAGCAGCATTATGTCGGCTGGTTGCTACACGTCAAAAATTTGAGGAGAGAAGAAGCTGATAGAGTTTAGAACACTAATTTAGAAATGATGAATGTGTTTCATTAAATAATACATCTGCAGACTTCACACATCTCTTTTCTTCATCAGGTGACGTCGGTATTTTGTCTAGAAAACGCTCCAAAACTCTTCAGCTCACAGAAGAAGATGTAGAATCTAAAGCTGCAGCCGACAGCCTGCAGGCCTTTGTCACCTACCACAGACTCTATGAACTCTGGTGGAGCTCCTCCTCCACCTCCATTCAGAACGGTTTTCCTCACTCAGAGGCCGAGCTGAAGGATGGCGTGATGAACGGAGGAGTTTCAGGGTCAGAGGGCAGAGTCAGGAGGACTGTTAAACTGGACTTTGACGTCTCTCTGCTTCTGTCTGAGACTCACGCGGTCTGTCAGGCCGCTCAGAGGTCAATCAGAGAGATCCAGGAGCGTCTGAAGGTCATGGTGCTGCAGCACAGCAGAGCTCAGAGCGGACAACATCAGCCAGGAGAGAGGGAGGCTGACACGCCGAACCAGAACTCCACCGCAGGAGAGACGACGGAGAACCAGGAGTCTGCAGGAGCTGCTGAACGGTGAGGAGCTGGACCAATCAGAATCAAGTATTTAACAAGGAAGCCGGGTAGTAACGTCTTCTCAGATTTATGTTTTTATCTCCTAAATCAAAACCAAACTTTGACCCCTGAGGTAAGATGTAAAAAAATATGTTAACCTTTGACCTCAGCGAAGTCCTTGAGTTAGGTTGTTCCTCACCTTGTCCAGTCTGAACCGTCTGTGTTTTTGTCCATCAGGCCCGAGCAGCAGGACACTCTGATGTCTTTGTCCTCCAAGATGTCGGACCTGCAGAAACAGCTGACCGACCTGCCCGACACCATCAAGGTACGACTCTGAAAAAGAAAACAAACGCAGGATGAGATTAACGACGGTTTTGGTGGAGGTGGACTGAACCTGCTCTATAGTGACCCTCCGTATTCAGTAATCAGTGTTTCTCCACAGATGTATCCTCACCCGGACGTTGTGGAGTGCTGCCTCGTCCTCCTCCACTTCAGCAGATCTTCATCGTCCGTTTCTGAGTCTCTCCAACAAGAGGCCAAAGATCTTCTCCTCAAACACGGGGCCAAACTCAGAGCCAGCAGACGGTTTCTGGTCTGAATCTTTGTCAGTGATAAACTGAAAGAAGCACTTCAACTGTACAGATTTATGCTGAATAAATAAAACTTGTTTTTGACATTAAACACGAGCGTCCTGTGTCTCTTAGTCTGATCTGATCTGAAACCAGCTGAGGGAAGATCTCACTTTGCCAAAGGTCTTTTCTTTTGTAGGTCAAAAGAGTCACACTTTGTTTCAAAACTAGTTAAAAACACTTTGGTTCCAAATGTCCGTAATCAAGCTTGTTAAAGGGATATTCCGGCATAAAATCAATTTAGTTGCACACAGTGAGTTCTGTTTAGTCTCTTTGCTAAAGAAATGAATCAAAGTTAAAAAGATGTTTGGTGTCTAGTACTATGTCTGTGACCCTATATGTCCTGTTGATGAAGTTAGCTGCTGTTCTGAGCATTATTTGTGGCTATAGAGTGGCGTTTTGGTTGAGCGCGTGGCTCTCTGTATTGCTATCCTGCAGTCGTTACTAAAGTTGGTATAACTAGAGAAGCAAGCGGTCGACAACATTCATCTCTGGAGGGGGGGTCTAACTCGGTGTTAAGTGTGTTTGACTCTAAATTAATTTTATGCCGAAATATCCCTTTAACTGAAACCCTGACTTTTTATATCAGTCTCCTGATACCTTTAAAATATGTTTACATGTTTACAGTCAGAAAGAGCAGACCGCCCAAAAAAATGTTATGTTGACTACACAGACAGAAGAAATATCATCAATAACCAAAAACTATAGACTGATATTAAAAGCTTATTTGTATATACACCACAAAAAAGATGCTACATTAATGGATTCCCGTCTAACCCAATTTAACTGATAATGGTATCAAAGCGGCCATGAACCTCTACTTTTTATCAGTCTCCTGATTAAAATATATTAACGACTTAGAGCTAAAAAATAATCAGTAGCTCCTCCACTGTTGTCACGCTACAAAACTGTCGAGTAAACCACGGCTCCTCCATTTAAAATTTAAAAACTTTGTTTCTGACCAAAAAACAGGCAAAAAGAAAAACCCCTAACAACAAAGAACGAGCGTTCTGTCACGCCCTTTTAAGGAGTTCCACAATTAGTGATGTCACTCATTGAGCATTTTTTAGTTCCTGTGCGATTACAGTCTCATTTTAGGATTTCTTTGACTCACACTTACCTCAATTCGTGACTTTGCCCATGCTAAGAATTTACCTCAATTTAAAAAAACTAAAAAAGCATAATACCACCTCTGAAAAATACACCAACTAAGAGTGTGAGGAACCGAGTGACAAACTAATGCTACAGGTGTGACATTAACCCCGGTTTTAAACAGGAATATTCTGTTCGTGAACATGGACCCTAAGTCTAAAAAACCGTTGAATTCTTTTGCACGGCTCATAAAAAGATGGGATACTTTGTGTTTACATTCAAAATACAAAACAATTTAATATACAACTGTAAAACAATGCTGAATGTAAAAACAAGAGAAACCACATCATGTGAAAACCTGACGCTGCACAGTTCGGTTTGGTGGGTGAATGTACAGAACCACAGTAGTTTATGCCGATCGAGACACATGCATAACCAAGCACAGTTACACACTCTGCTGTTAAAAGTTTCTGAAAGTGGAAAAGAGCTAAAACATTTTTATTTTCATCAAAATTATACATTTTAATTTACAGGCCCTTCCAACATTAACTTAAAAGATGAAATCCCTACGAGTGGCGAGTCCCGCTGACGGAGGAGAGTCTGAGCTGAAGGGTGCGACTGTTTTTTTCTGGTTTTAGGTTTTGGTCTGAAATCACAGTATGATACAGGAGCTGGTCCCATGCTGTTTAAGAAAGGTGTCACTAACGCTCTAAAACAATCCCACAGGTTAAAAAAAGCGGTCTGGATATGTGGCCATTTACTCGGTAAAAGCGACTAAAAGAAAGAAAAAGAGCCGGTGAAGGATCCACGATCACCGTGAGCCCGTCTGAAAGCCGCTCAGGAGGAAATTAAAGAAACGTGATGAGTGTGTGTTTGGTTTTTCTTTTTTTGTTCGGGGATCGCGCGTCGAGGGAGATCAGAGGAAAATCTGCTGGTCGGGTTTTAAAACAAGTGCGTGTTCCACTTGAAGGTTCGAGCTCAGTCAGTGCTTGTTGTTCGTCTCCTCCTGGCCCGAGCTGGAGATGCCGTTCTGGGGTTGGGTGGAGCCCGAGCCCAGCCCGTACAATCTCCCACAATACTTTGCGTCGTCGATGTTGTCCTCGAAGAAAAGCTGTAAAATCAAACACAGAGGTTTTAGTTTGACGACGGCTGAATGACTCAAAGACGTTCACTCTTAAAGCAAGCCGAATTTGGACCCAAAAACTATCGGACTTGGTCAAACAATCAGTCAGGAAGGAAACCCTGTCGACCAATCCAGTGGAAGTGATCACAAACAATCTGAGCGCACGTGTTCGTACCTCCTTCATCCTGAAGAAAGCCATCCCGGTGAGCAGCGAGTCGGATCCAGCCTGATGTTGCCGTCCGATCCTCTTCAGTTCCAGCTGGTCCGCGACTTCCTGTAGTCCTCCCTGCATAAACACATATGACTGTGTGACTTTTGTGATGTGGGTGGAGAGGTTTGGGGTTCATTTCGATGAGAAGGATGAAAAACTGTCAACGCCACCATCAACTACGAGCGTTTTCACAGAGAGATATTGTTCTGAAAGAATCCGTTTGCAATTCTGGATCCGTTTGTTCCAGTAAGAGCTCAACAAACATCGACCTGAAGAAACAGCTGAGGAGATTCCTGAACAGTGCACAGGTGACTCTTTTCTCCACCTCCTCACACATCGGTCTGAAGTACCTTTAGGTTCTTGCAGCTCTTCATCAGGTACTTGACGTCGTAGATTGCAGGAAAGAACAAGTTTAGGATCTGGAAGAAATCATGTTCCTCCTCGGGGAGCCGTGCGTCTGTTAGGAGCTTCACCAGGTAGCCAAAGTCGTAGCCGCTGAGGAAGAGAGAAAAGATCAGGTGAGGATTTCAAGATTTACACTGATGGTTCAAATCTGTGGTGAGAAGGATTCAAAGTCTCACAGAAAATAAACTTAAATAATATTCCATCTGCATTCATCCTGCAATCACTGACGTACCTGTGGAAGGACAGCCACTTGACGTTTTCACACAGCACCAGACCAGACGTCATGAGGAGTTCAGCGAAGTAGAGCGTGTCGATTCCCTCTTCTTCGTGTTTTTTAAACTGGAGGCCTGAGTTCTGGAGGAGGTCTATGGAGTCCTGCGAGTACATGTCTTCTCTACGAGGGGGAAAAGAAAACAAACATTAAACAGAAAGTTTTTAAAAAACTAATAAAAAGACAAAAGAGCAGCGGCGCACTTACGTGAGGTTGAACTTGAAGTTAAACTGCCACGTCGTGGTGCCGTGAGGATAGTCCCCGTCCTCGTTCATGAAGGTGAGACCGAGCTGGATGATCTTTAGGAGGTCGACGTTACACCGTAGGAGCTGGTACTGGTAGTCCACGGTGCTGCGAAACTCACCGATCGGCCGAACAACCACTCCTGGAAACTCTGTGTCCTAAAAAACATCCAAAGGTTTTGTGTCGATTATTTGTTGTTGATTTCTAGTCAAACTCTCCGTCACTCTGAAGTCAAACCCTGTTTTCACTCCACTCAAGTCCACATTCACACAGCTCCGTTCTTACCATGGCGATGTAATTGTAGCTCTGAATAATCTGCCGGATTTTCCTCATTTCCTCCTCCACGTTGCTCGCCCAGACCTCACAGATGATCTGACTGGAATCTGTAAGTGCGGCCGGCATGTTGGCAGGTCAGGGAGGGAGCTGAACCCCAAGAATCCTGCAGCGCTGGTGAAGGGGACGAAGGTGAGGCAGGGTGATGAAGGACGACAACTCTGAACAGAGACGAGAAGATGACAGTCATGTACCGCTTATGGTTCAGGGGAGCACCAAAATACCACCTGAGTGAAATCTAACAGTGTTAATTGGTCGCATGTCTTTTGCAATACAATAATCTACTACATCTGTGAGGTCTTTGTGTCTCTTTGACGTTTTGTCGTAAGGCGTTGCTCTAGAGAAAGCCGACTGATTGGTCATCTGTTTCGGCTGCACAGGCGCCATGGGCTTCATGGAAATACAATCAGACTGAGACGCTAAGGCAGAAGAACTACTGCGTTTGCAGAGAAAATGATTAATATGATGATTATTACTTCAAGGAAATGATAAAGAAATGATCATAAATGTTCTTCCTTGAGCTGCGACACCCCGCTGTAGTCCGTAATGGACTGGCCTGAGGTCTCCACAAACAAGCGGCTGTTGGAAGAGAGTAGGTGAGTCGTGTTTAGTCTCTTTGCTAAAGAAATGAGTCAAAGTTAAAAAGATGTTTGGTGTCTAGTACTATGGCTGTGACCCTATATGTCCTGTTGATGAAGTTAGGTGCTGTTCTGAGCATTATTTGTGGCTATAGAGTGGCGTTTTGGTTGAGCGCGTGGCTCTCTGTATTGCTATCCTGCGGTCGTTTCTAAAGTTGGTATAAGTAGAGAAGCAAGCGGTCGACAACATTCATCGCTGGAGGGGGGGGTCTAACTCGGTGTTATGGTGTGTTCGACCCTAAATTAACTTTACGCTGGAATATCCCTTTAAGAGAGATTACTCTCACTGTGGTTAAACAACAAAAATATCTTTGTTCGCTCACAGAGATCAGCAGCATTTAAAGAATATATCCACATACAACAGATAAACATTACAAAAAAAGATCTAACCAAAGGGATTCAAACACAAGCAGCAAACATAAGAATCAAATAAACAGATAGCAGAGACACAATATAGAAACTTTTAAGAAAAGTAGCTCAAAAAAACTCTAAATTAACAAAACCTGTTAATAAATGTTCATTTCTGAAATACAAACATGTTCAAATACATCAGACTGAAATCAGGAAAGAGTTAAATCTGAAAATGAGAGCTGTTTAATATCAAATATCAACATCAAATTTTCTAAACAGACGGATTTGTTTTACAGTTTAACGTCTAAAAACACAAAAAGATGAAGAATAAACAAACTGAGGATTTAAAGTTTTACTGTTTTCAGGAGGAGCTGAAGAGTCTGAGAGAAAACTGATGAATACAACAGAAATCTCCTTCTTCTTTATTAAAACACATGAACAGATCCATTAACTTCATGTGGATAAAATCTAATTTTTGTTTTCATTATATCAGGATGAACAAAAACACTGAGGATTGTTGACAACATGAACACAAACATGAGAACAATTAACTAAAAAACAGACCAGGCAGACTTCAGGTGGAAAATTTATACTCATATCTTTGATCGTTTAAGATATTTAGTGTCTTTTGTTCCCACTAAGTTATAAAATTAAAGTCAAACTTCGTAACGTCGCAGCATCGATGAACAGGCTAACGGCTAAGCTAATCCTCGAGTTATCGATGGAGCTAGCATCACCGGAGGGAAGAGTGGATCAAATAGTTCACCATTTTACATCCTATCACCTCACTTAATAAACATTTACAATATTCAATGCGCTGTTTTAACGTCGAAGGCATTACAGTGTAAAAAAAACCACAAAGTTTACCTCCAAATTTCCTCGACGCAACCGGCCAAAGCTAGTTCATGTAGCGCTCCTTCTCTTCTTCTTCTACGTTTTCGCTCGTTCTTCTTCTTCTCCTCTGTGTTCGTTTGGGAATCGTATTAATATGATACATGAGGAGTCCGCCACCTGCTGCACAGGAATGGAACTGACCTTTAAAGGATAGATAGATAGATAGATAGATAGATAGATAGATAGATAGAAATAATGTATGTTTTTATATAAACGATCATTTTATTTAATTATTCTGTATATTCACGTTTTACTACACATACCACAAATGTCAGAATATGTTTAAAAAATTGACATTTTTGAAATATTTACCGTACGAAAAAAGAACATTTAATAATATCTAGATCTACTTGTATGAACTTTGAGACAGTTTATTCATTTGATTAATTCAGCTTGATTCTGATCAACTACAACAGTATTAAATGTTCTTTATAGACCAAAATTATAATGATTATATGTCATAGAAATAGTACAGAAATAAAATCTTCAAAACTGAAGCTTTCCCCTCATGACACAGCCTTCAATCTGAGTGTTCATCATGACTCTCATGGAGATTTTTGCACCACCTGACGCTCTTATTTACAGACTTTTACACAGCTGATCTGTTTAAAAGCATATTTATTTAAAATCCATCATAAACATCTGATAAACAGGACAGTATATTGCTTCAAAATGTGACTTCATATCCCAACAAACTCCACTGTCTGCTGCTGCTGTACATAAAAAACTCTGCAAGCCTAAGAAGCATGAAAACTCTGGTTTTTAAGTTTCACATTTATGACATTTAAATCTGTACGGCGACCTTCTCCAGTCAGAAATCCGTCAAAATGTTGTTAAATTTAGAATAAGAATGTTTTGGCTGCTAAATTTTACTGAGAAAGTGATGAAAACCTTTCAAAACTCTTAAATTCGAGTCTCAAAAATCCAAACTACATCTTCTTTTTCTCTCTTTGTCAGTTTAAGGGTTTGGGAAAGAAGATAGTAGTTACCAACAGGAACAAGAGGTCCAAAACTTTGAAGAAATGGTAGAGCAGATTGTCCAGAGCTCAACTGCATAAACCTGAAATGATTCAAGACTCTCGTCTGCTCGCTGTAAAAACGTCTTTGTCTCTACAGATGCTGCTAAATTCACGTCTTAGTCCCATACGTCTGTCTGCTCATTAGTGGTCAGAACCCCAGAGTGATGATACAAAAGCAGCCGACTGTCACAAAACACTGACTTAGAAAGATATGCATAGAGAACAAGTTTCCCAGAATTCTTTGTCTTTGCATGAGAAAAATACACGACGATTACAGAGCGTCTTATTTATTAAAAGATATAAATCACTATCCTGTCTGTTCTTTTCTAAGTGTCCTCTGGGGCGTTATCGACACGACCTGCTGTCAGAGAAATGTAGTGTTTCCCTTTAATGGCAGATCCAAAAACTTCTCATCACGATACAGAAACAACTCCGTTTACACAAAAGTTAACACTGTTTCACAAAAGCAGACTTTCACTCTCCAGGCCTGAGAGCTGAGAGCTGACTCAGGCGGTTTTTACAAAAGGATGAACTCTGTGTCGGTCCTGCGCTTTCACAGAGTCTCAGCGTTTTGGCGTTTTGGAGGAGGAATCAGCTGGTTACTGCTCTGAGGACTCAGATCTCCTCTGGATGTGGGAGATCTCCAGGATGGGCATCAGCAGCTGGAAAGCATCCTGGATGTAGGAGGCGCTGTTGGACGCCTGTAAAGACAGAGGAGCAAGATTCAGATCAGGACTCAACAGTTCGACCGTTTCATTCGCATTTACAGCAAAAAATAGATGTTTGCGAATTGTAAAATGTATTTAGGGTCACAAATTAGCCGAGGCAACAAATGTTTTTTTTCCTGTAAATACAGCGGTGAAGTTAGTTTTAGGTTGGATATATTTTCCTGTAAATACAGCGGTGAAGTTAGTTTTAGGTTGGATATATTTTCCTGTAAATACGGCAGTGAAGTTAGTTTTAGGTTGGATATATTTTCCTGTAAATACGGCGGTGAAGTTAGTTTTAGGTTGGATATATTTTCCTGTAAATACCGCGGTGAAGTTAGTTTTAGGTTGGATATATTTTCCTGTAAATACCGCGGTGAAGTTAGTTTTAGGTTGGATATATTTTCCTGTAAATACGGCGGTGAAGTTAGTTTCAGGTTGGATATATTTTCCTGTAAATACCGCGGTGAAGTTAGTTTTAGGTTGGATATATTTTCCTGTAAATACGGCGGTGAAGTTAGTTTTAGATTGGATATATTTTCCTGTAAATACGGCAGTGAAGTTAGTTTTAGGTTGGATATATTTTCCTGTAAATACGGCGGTGAAGTTAGTTTTAGGTTGGATATATTTTCCTGTAAATACGGCGGTGAAGTTAGTTTCAGGTTGGATATATTTTCCTGTAAAGACAGAGGAGCGAGATTTGGATCAGGACTCGACAGTGCGACCGTTTCACTCACATTTACGGCAAAAAATAGATGTTTGCGAATTGTAAAATGTATTTAGGGGAAACAAATTAGCAGAGGCAACAAATGTTTTTTTTTTTTTTCCTGTGAATACGGCGGTGAAGTTAGTTTCAGGTTGGATATATTTTCCTATAAATACGGCGGTGAAGTTAGTTTCAGGTTGGATATATTTTCCTGTAAATATGGTGGTGAAGTTAGTTTAAGGTTGGATATATTTTCCTGTAAATACGGCGGTGAAGTTAGTTTTAGGTTGGATATCTGACGGACATTCTCTGAGGATCTACCGGTGTCTTCTCACTCTCCATAACCGGGAATAACAACAGCAGTGCGGTTAAATCTACTCAACACCCTCACTGTCAACGTCGGTGTTAAATAAGGGACCGTCAATAAATTATCGGTTGATGTTCTCAGAAAAGGCTGTTTTCCTTCAATAGCTTCACTGTCATGTGACCAAAAGACCTAAAATTGATTTTAAATAAAAATACTAAGGTCGACCAATAAGACAAACATTCTCTTTTTTTCCCTAATTTGTCCTCTAAAAATTTTTTGTGTTAAATTTAAAAGCAAATTTTGAACATTTTCTTCAATAACTTCCATGTCATGTGACCAAAAAACCTAAAATTGATTTCAAATAAAAATACTAAGGTCGACGAATGAAACACACATTATTTGATCAATTTTCTTTGTGTGTGTGTGTGTGTGTGTGTGTGTGCATGCGTGTGTATCTCTCACCTCCAGAAAGACTCCTGTTATCAGCGGGTTGAGGACGTCTCCCTTTTCATTTGACTGTAAGACAGAACGTTTATAAAAATTATAAAACCGTCGTCTGTCAGGAGATCAATCTTCAGCAGCGTCGATCTAAACAGTTTGTGCCGACTCCTCAAACTCACCCCCGTCGTGGTCAAGCAGGAGGTGAACTTCTTGGACAGCAGTGAGATCTCCTTACAGAGGACGACGGTTAACCTGAAACAGAAGGACTGAGATGAGGAGGAGTTTTTGTCCGCTGTAGAGGAAGACGAAGATAACCCGTCCGGTCTTACTGTGACAGAGCGCCGGCCTCCGGGCTGCCGTTGGAGAAGAGGATCATCTCAGCCAGTTTGTGGAAAAGTTCGATGGAGCGCGCCGTGAGTTCAGCCAGAGTCCTGATGGCCGCAGCGTGAACCTCCTGACAGGGATCACAAACACACGTGCATGTGATGTTAGATGGTGTAGATCAAAATGAGGGATTATTGAACCTGCATGACGTTCCCCTGCAGCCCGCCTCCATCTTCATCATCATACCTCCACAGACAGAGCTTTCTGAGCGTCCTCTTCACTCTCCTCCTCTCCTTCTTCCTTCGCTGGTTTGGACATCTCGGTGATCTGGCTGCAGGCGCTCTTACAGGCCTGTTTCATGACGGGCAGACATCACACAAACACTCAACATCAAGCTGCCTCAAAACTTCGAGTTGAAGCACAAATGACAGTGGAAGTGAAACCCCTGAGTCGTGGACGGTTGAGTGGTACCTTGTTGAGTTTGTCAGCTGTGGCGTTGACACTCAGACCCTCCAGCGCCTCCGTTAACTCCGTCTCAAACTCTGTCCCGTCTTCATCTTCAAACACAAACAAACTCGGATTATTTTCTGATCGATTTTTGTCGTTTTTCTCTGGCAGTATTGATCTCACCTTTCCTCTCGTCCACCTCCTCGTCATCAAACTCCAGGAAGAGAGAGAAAGAGTCCTTGATGAGCTCCAGCTCTTCTCTCAGCTGAACCAGCTCGTCTCCTGATAGAGTGGTCAGCACCGATTTGACCTACAGAAAACTCACATCTATCAGATCCTTATAAACTGCGATCGTGTCTTTTTAGCTGCAGTCGATGTCAAACTCTCCTCCTACCTTCGACTCGCTCTCCCGGGACAGAATCTCCAGAGCCTCGAGGTGCGACAGACCCTGGAACTCGTCGAACAGCATCCCGTAGTGAGCCACCGCCTTCTTCTCGGAGTCGGAGCCCTCCGTCTCCGCCGTCTGCAGCTCCTCTCGCTCCTTCGCCTCCCTCAACACCTGCAGACAGAGCGAGACGACGAAGAAGAGGGAGAGGAACTCCGGTGAGCTGTCGGACATCATGTCGTCGGCAGCAGAGAACAGTTAGAGACTCTTAAAAACGTTATAATACAAAGCTAATGGACACTTCTGAGATTTGTTTTTGTGAAGAGAAATGGACTCTGATTATCCAGGTGCAGCGATGGCTCAACCTCTTCAATTTAGGTGATGAAGGGATGAAAAAGAAGACGGAGTTTCTCCCTTTAATGAAGTTGAATCAGCCTGGTGCAGAAGTTTAGAGATAAATCTCATAAAAACTGGTTTGTTAGAGTCAAAATGGAGGTTGTTTCTCAGAGGATTGTAATTGTAAATGAGACATAAATCTCCTGTTTGGAAAAACACTGATTGCAATCTTTTAAAAGTTTAAAAACTACAGAGCTGTGAGGTGATCGAGCGACAAATATCAAAAAGTGCTTTATTAAATTTACTGGGTGTTTTTTTACTGCAAAGTGAGGAAAATTTGGAAGTTTTCTCGATTCTTTTTAAGAGTTAAACCTCATAAAAAAATGGTTTGATGAATTATTTGTAAAACTAAGGAGACAAAAGAGAGGAGAAATAAAAGTTTAACCCTCTAAAGTTTGTCAAGAAGGTCCTAAAATTTCAGTTTCCAGAGTTTTAATCAGTAACGTTTCTATCTGGCGCTCTTGGAAATGTTAAAGATGATGAAGGTTAGTAATATTTTACACCCGTTATAAAACATACATGTTAATGAAGCACCTGGATCTTCTCTGCTCACCTGAGACAAAGTGGCGTTCCTGTTCATCAGCCCCTTCGTCTTCTTAAAGCCGGGATCACCTTCTGCGATCACGTCCATCGTTTTCTTTCCGATGAACTCCAGAGCGTCCAGACCGCCTGTGATCACCGTTTTCCCCTGTGAGGATGAAGAAGAGTTTCAGTCAGAGTCACATCCACAAAGATAACACTTATTCTCACATATTTGTGTTTTTAGTTTCGAGGCCGACTGTCACGACTTCCGTCTCCTTACCGTGTTCTGGACGACGCTGGTGAGAGACGACAACATTCCCATGGCGCTCTCCATCGCTGCTGATCCCTCTCCTGTGGCTCTGTCCGTCTCAGTTCTGGTTTCACCTGCAGGGACAAACACGCCACGTATCGTTAGAAAAGGTTCACCAAAAACATGTGCTGATAAAACTACAAAACTACACAACACACGCTGCAGCCTCACCTTCCTGTTTCTCCTCTTCTTCGACTCGCGCTGAGAGTTCAGTCGGACTCGGGATCCCCAGGGACGTCTCCGCCTTCTCGATCACCTGAGTGAGACCCTGACCTGGATGGACAGGTATAAAAACACAGATAAAACAAGGATATCAAGAGCTCACTGAAATCTGAAACTCTGAGTAACACCGCACAGCTGTGAATATGTCAGACAGGTTGAGTCTGCTGATGGTGAACTCACCCACGGTGGCCACAGTGGCTGTTGCCGAGGATATAATGGATTTCCCCCAGCTGCCCCAGTAACCCCAACCACCCTGAGCCACGGTGGTCTCACTGGGTGTCTGAAAGAAGGAGGACAGAAGGAGGAGGAGGAGGAGGAAGAGGAGGACAAAACTAAATCTGTGATTTTATCAACATTAGAAGAGAAAGACATGAGACTCCAGGATCCACACTCATGAATCACAGGCTGCTTTCATGCCCTCTACAGACTGCACCTTTAAGACCTAAATATGAAGAACTCAGATCCCAGGTTGGTACCAGAGTTCCTCTTCCTCTCATCATCACTACCTTTGCGGGCTGCTCCTCTACTTTCGGCGCCTCTTTAACCTCCTCTGCCGGTTTGGGCTCCGGTCTCCTCCTGGCTCTCCTCGTAGGGGCGACATCGGTCAAGGTGTCAGGTGGCGTCGGCGAGGAGCTGTCGGGCGTTTCTGCAGGAGAGACATCTTCACTCCCTGGCGTCGCCTCTGGACTCTCTGCTGCTGCTGCTGCTGCTGTAGCTTCACTGTCCGACATCTTCACGTCCTAGAGCATGCCTTCAGAGGGAACGGAAACAAAAGGTAAATCTGTGAGACAGATCAGAGTCCCGGGAACAAACAGCAACGATAAACAAACCATGAATATTGTCAGGCTGCAGCAAAATTGATGCAGAAAGGTTAATTTAAGGGTATTTACATACAAATTAGGTGATCGGTACAGGAATTACAACAGTTTTATATGTGCCTCCCACTCTTAACAACAGCTGGACGGATCAGGAACACTCTCCAGGAGGTAAGTCTGTGTGTCAAAATCAACATCCAAAAGAAGACCTCACCAGAGTGAATACAGAGGAATCACCACAAGATGTGAACCGTTGGTGAGCCTCAAAATCAGGAAGACCAGATTAGAGTTTGATAAACAACATCTAAAAAAGTCTTTACAGTTCTGGAACAACATCTTATGGACAGACGAGACAGAGATCAACTTGTACCAGAGTGATGGGAAGAGAAGAGGATGGAGGAGGACAGTAACTGTTCATGCTGGTGGTCGTGTCATGGATGGTCATATATGGCTGCCATTGGAACTGGTTCTCTTGTATTTATTGATAATGTGATCGCTGACTAAAACACCAGGATGAACTCTTAAGTGTTTTGAGCAAAACTATCTGCTCATATTCAGCCAAATGCTTCAAAACTGATTGGACTACGCTTCATAGTGCAGATGGACAATGACCCCAAGCATACTGAAAAGGCAAAGAAGTGGAAGTTTATGTAATGGCCGAGTCAATCACCTGACCTGAATCCATTTGAGTGTGCGTTTCACTTGCTGAAGATAAAACCGAAGAGAAAATTCACCAAGAACAAGCAGGAACTGAAGACAGTTGCAGTAGAGGCCTGGCAGAGCATCACTTGGAGTGAAACTCAGCGTCTGGTGATCTCTATGTGTTCCAGAATTCATTACTTTTGGTCCCTTAAAACGTAGGAGGTACATATAGAAACTGTTGTAATTCCTGTACCGTTCACCTGATTTGGATGTAAATACCCTTAAATGAAAGCTGAATATCTGCAATCAAAGCACATCATGTTTGTTTCAGTTCAAATCCATCATGTTGTTGTTTACAGACAGAAAGATGAGTCCCAATATTTATGGACCTGACTGTAGATTCCAATCTGTACACCTATATTGGTCATGCTTCTCTAAATATTAACCCAAGGGCACATTTTAAAGTCTGAAAGTGGGAAATTCATCCAGGGAACAGCTGTTAACTCAGCAGCTGTTGGTTATCTATCTGCTTCATGTTTCTGCTCGTACATAAAGTTTAAAGTCCAGTTTTCAGAGTTTTCTACAGTCTGAACACAAAGAAACATGTATAGAACATACAGTCGACATGAGAGGACACATGACATGAGCAAACAGAGCACAGTGTACACTTAAAGATACAGTATTATGTTAATACACAGAGGAGACAGGAATTACAAACATGACATACACTAAAGAGACATTATAGTCAGATTAGTGAATTATATTGTAATTAATCCTATAAAACTGTCATTATTCATGCTTTCCACCTCTAAGCGGTCACACTAACTGACTTGTTAGATAAAACAGCTAATGAGGTATGGTAGGTCTTTCATTAATAGTTAGAAAAAGGACTAAAAATAAGAGTAAATATGAGTATTATCTCCTCCAAACTCACCTTTCTCCTGTCAAAGTCCTGATGCTAACCTTAGCAGTTAACGTCCCTCCAGCCTGGAAACACTTAATTCTCTAAAAAACAACTAAAGCGGATGTTTATCCTCGATTTCTTCAGGAAGCTTCACTGTTTCTACACCTTAATAAACTTTAATTTTTCCTGTAAACAGTTAAAGTTTGAAGTTTTCTCCCTCTTTTTGTCCACCAGGATTAGCCACGTCACAGTTTGTTTTTACCGACTCGGTTCACAGAGACACATCACTGAGAAACACACAAACCGGAAACAACCTTCAGAATGAAACACATTTAGCGGAGGTTACGTTTGTTTTCAAATGATACACCATAACAATACATGCAATAGATCTAAAATTCTCTTGGTTTATATATTTCAAACCCAATAAAATAATTTTGAAAAGTTCTCAGGTCAGTTTGTCACTAAGCTTTCCATGGAAGGGCTGTTCAAATTTTATTTTGAAAAAACGTTACCGGGCTTTTTCATCTTTCGTCAGTCTGCTTGATCGTTAATACAAGACAGCTGAAACCCTTCAAAATAAAACCAGTTCAACTCCTTCAAAATAAAAGCCAGTTCAACTCCTAAGAAATTAACTTTATACTACTACTACTACTACTACTACTACTACTACTACTACTACTACTAATAATAATAATAATAATAATAATAATAAAAATAATGATAATAAAGTTATAATACTCATAAAAGTAATAATAAAAACAATGAATCAATAGGATTAATAATAAAAAAGTAACAATAATAATACTTCTACCACTAGTACTACTACTGCTACTACTAATGATAATAATAATGATACTTATACTAATACTAATAACACAAAAAATGAAGAGAATAATAATGATAATAATAATATTAATAATAAAAAGTAACAATAATAATACTAATACTACTACTAATAATAATAATACAAAAAATTAAGAGAATGATAATAATAATATTAATCATGAAAAAAGTAACAATACTAATAATACTAATAATACTAACAATACTAATACTACTGCTACTACTACTACTACTTAATAATAATAATAACAATAATAACAACAACAAAAACAATAATAATGATAATCATAAAAACAATAATTAGTTAGTTAGAGTTTTTTTTCCTTTTGTGGAAAACAAACAAAAAAGAAGTCTTGGTTTTCTAGATACTAGCTCAAGTATATTGTAATTTTGGGATAAAACCTGTTTTGTTTTTTTTGTTGGTTTTTTTTTTGTTGCTGTTGTTGTTTTATTTTTCAATTTGAATGGATTTACTGATCATTTTAATTCGGTGTTTCTGTTGTTGTCTGGATAGTCCGGGCATTTTTTTCTTATGTAAATCTATTGAAAACAATCTAAAAACAGTTTTATTTCATCCACTTCAGAGACAAATCTTCACCTTGTGCCTTTATCACGTGATCTCCGTTTGTGCTTAAATAACTGTTAATCTAAAATTGCCACAAAAATATGATTACAATTCAGTAGACTTATGTATGCACTGTAAACATGTGCACAGTCTATTTCTCTTTTTACACCACGTGTAGAGATGGATTATATAAACTATAATAAAGTATGGGTAACGATTGTTGAACTTTTACTGCTGGTAAAATAACCTACCTGCACGCGAGGATATGCCACGCCCACGCCCACCTGAAGCAGGAAGTGAGCAGACCGGACGGATCGTGTTTGGATCGCCAACAGCACACGGTGAGGGATCATTATCGGGTTGATTATTATTGAAAGAGCCATCACAAAAAAAGGAGATGCTTATGAGATAGATTTTTATGTTTTTGTGGGTTGAAGTTGTTTGAGTCGCTTCCTGAGCAGCAGCAGCAGCAGCAGGTGAGATTCAGGGACCTGGGAGGTGTTCAGGTGTTTCTCATCATTATTATTCTCTACAGGAGCATCAAGGCTGGCTGGTTTAAGTGTTTTACCACCACAATACTGACTGAAATCGATATTTGAACTTTAATTTAGAACATACTTATCTCCAGGTAACAAATTCTACGTGTTTATGCACTTAAATCAGAAATATACAGAGGTTAAAAGACGTCTAAAATGTTATTAAGTAAAAGTACGGTCACTTTAAACTTTATTTAAGTCAAAGAAAAGCTGCCAGACTGTGAACCTACTTAAGAAGAAGTAAAATGATGTATTTGTAATGTGTAAAAGTACTGAGTACTTAAGATATTGTAACCATGGAGATGGGGGTATGGGTCAAAAGGCCCCTTAAAATGTTTAAAATCACGTTTCCTCAATCTAATAGTTGTACTATAAATATCAGCTTTATTTTTACTTTACAGTTACTCAGGGTGACATTATTGAATATTTAAGGTGGTTTTTTTTTTTTTTTTTTATCAGTGTTGCACTTTTCAGACGGTCCCTGAGCTCTAAAGTCTTTATGGTTGTGCAGAGAGGAGCCAAAAATTAGGACTTGATATGTTTTTAACATATTTTCTTATCAGTATAAGTGCAATATTGTCCACAGAAATACATTAACACTACTCAAAAGAAGTAAAAATACACAAAAGTAATGTGAGTAAAGGTAATCACTTCTCCACCGCTGGTCCAGTTTTATCTTTATTTAAAAGATAACTATGAAAAAGTGAGAAAAACTTTAACGTTATAAACTGCAGGACGTCTCAGAGATCAGGGTTATAGATTTTTGGGACACTCTCGGGTGTTTACAGTTCTCTCTCTGTGCATGAGCACTAACCGTTTACTCGTCCTGTTTTGCAGGTTTATCTCGTCTAAATGTGAGCTGAAGCTGTGACTCCTCAGCATGACACGCCGCCTGTCACACCTTCTCCTCGCCGTCCTGCTGCTGGGTGTCTGCGCAGCTCACAGAGTCCAGAATGAGACCGAGACGGGGGAGGCGAAAATGACCATCGACCAACCCAGCAGGAGCATCGTGGCTAAGGAGGGATCCAGCATGGTGATAGAGTGTAACGTGACGGGAGAGCACGCCGACATCAAATGGTTCAACTCTCAAGGACTTCTGCAGGGAGAGGACTCAGGTGAAGGGGGAGGAGGCGGCATGTTTGTTCATGTGTACTGTCCATTATGAGGGTGCAGCGAGAGAAATTAAGCCATCCATACTTTAATTCAAAACTTGAAACTCACATTTATTCTAGTTTCATAAAGTGAAATAATTTAAGACTTTTGAATGTTTGAGTTTTTTTTATTACAGTTTACAGCTTGTAAAATCAAAATCCCCTTAAACATGATAATATTGTGAAAAACTCTAGTTTCTTTTCAGATCTTTCAGACCTGAAAAAAAAGCCGATAAACTCTGAACACCTGCACAGGTTAAAGGGATATTCTGCTGTAAACCTTATTTAGGGTCAAACCCACCATAGCACTGAGTTAGACCCCCCCTCTTAGACCTACTCTCTTCCAGCAGTCCATTAGGGACTACAGCGGGGTGCCGCAGCTCAAGGAAGAACATTTATGATCATTTCTTCATGGAAATACAATCCGACTGAGACGCTAAGACAGAAGAACTACAGCGTCTGTAAAATGATTAATATGATGATTATTACTTCAAGGAAATGATAAAGAAATAATCATAAATGTTCTTCCTTGAGCTGCGGCACCCCACTGTAGTCTGTAATGGACTGGCCTGAGGTCTCGCTACAAACAAGCGTCTGCTGGAAGAGAGTAGGTGAGTTGTGTTTAGTCTCTTTGCTAAAGAAATGAGTCAAAGTTAAAAAGATGTTTGGTGTCTAGTACTATGTCTGTGACCCTATATGTCCTGTTGATGAAGTTAGGTGCTGTTCTGAGCATTATTTGTGACTATAGAGTGGCGTTTTGGTTGGGGGTGTGGCTCTCTGTATTTCTATCCTGCGGTCGTTACTAAAGTTGGTATAACTAGAGAAGGAAGCGGTCGGCAACATTCATCTCTCTTTGTTCTCTGACTCTAGTTCAGGACACTCATCCACCTGTCTGCTCCTAACATAAATGTGTGATCGTCTTTTCCAAACTCCGTCATTGTCGTGTTGTTTTATGTATCTTGACTGTAGGGGGGAAGTGGCAGATCCAGGGAGATGGCGCCCTGAACATCACTGTGGTCTCCTTCAAGGACCGTGGTCGCTACACCTGCAGCGCCGCAGGAGGAACTAAAAACTACACCGTCACCCTGCGCGTGGCTCACAATGAGAGCGGCCTCGGCCTGTACTTCGTCTGCGTCTGCCTCGTGGCCTTCACCATCACCATGATCCTCAACGTGGCGAGACTCTGCATGGTCAGCAGCCACCTGAAGAAGACCGAGAGAGCCATCAACGAGTTCTTCCGCACGGAGGGAGCAGAGAAGCTGCAGAAGGCGTTCGAGGTCGCCAAGCGTATTCCCATCATCACCTCTGCGAAGACAGTGGAGCTGGCGAAGGTCACGCAGTTCAAGACCATGGAGTTCGCCCGACACATGGAGGAGTTCGCACGGAGCGTTCCTCTGCCGCCGCTGATTCTGAACTGCCGCACGTTTGCAGAGGACGGCGTGGAGGCGGAGAACCCGTCGGCGGAGCAGGTCAGAAACAGACAAGCTTTAGGCCCGCCCTCCTCCGCCAGAGCAGCAGAGGGAGAGGAGGATGAGGAGGTGTGTCAGGCGCTGCTGTCAAACGAAGGGAAAGAGAACATGGAAGGTGGCGTGGACGTCAAGGTGTCTGTACACACGGTTTCTGAGAAGGCGGAGAATTAGAAAGCTGAGATTTACCTCCATGATAAACCTGATCCAGAGTTTTTGTGTGTTTACACTCGATCTGAGTCACAGTTACAGTTTAGAAAGTTTGGGCAAAGTCACCCGCCAGTTTGACTCCAAGTTTTTCAGTTTTAAGCATCATAGAGCCTCATGAACGTCTAACAGTCAGTACAACATCGAACCTGAAAAACCAGTATCAGTCTTTTCCTGAACATCTACAACAACTCTCAGTCTTTAGTGAAGGTTTTAGCGCTGATATCATCCCACTTCCTCGTCAAATCCAAAATCTAAAAACAGACCGAGTTCATCCGTTTCAGTTTCAGCTTCAGTTCTTGTCAGTCTCACCCATCTGTTTCAGAGTTTGGGACTTTGACGCCTTTATTCAGAGAAGAAATGACAGCAGATCGAACAAAAACCACTTCAGTTTATTTTGACCGACAGAAATACTCACTGAAAGTCACTGAGCATCTACAGAACAAACTTCTAAACTCACATGTTCGTGTTTCTTTGTGTCAAATGTTATTGTGTCATTATTCTTATCAGAAACTAGAGTGAAACTGCCTTTACCTCTTTATTTGAAGTGACTTTTTTAGATTAAAATGTCAAATATTTACTGTCATCTGTACGTTTTACAGCAGTTACTTTTAAATGTGATTTATTTTAGGTCTGTAAAAGAGCTTGTGTGTGCGTACCTGCTAAAATCAGAACTTTGTCGTTTATTCGTCTTTATTTATTTCTAACAACATGATTCATAATTAGAGCAACGATGTAGAGAAGAGAAAAGTGACTCGACGTTTGCAGGTTTTTCTTTCGTTGGTGTTAAATGTGTTTCTGCATGAGGTCAAAAAGCATAAAAATGTGTAAAAGTGTGTTTTTATTCTCAGACAAAATGTTAAAAGAAGAAAATGTGTGAAAGTATTTGGAGTCAAGTTCTCCTTCATGAAATAAAAAAGAAAAATCATTGCATAAAAACTTGAATTAATCAAATAATGTAGGAATTGTGAAGCAGTTGTTACACATAATCGTGTGTTTGAGTAAAACTTGAGTTTAAATCTGATCCTGAAGAGATCGTGAAGAAAATAAACATGGGATAAATAAAACCTTAAAACATGCAGCTGTTTGTTGTTTTTGCTTCTTCTGGCAGGTCTTGTATAAGCCACTGGGTGGAGCTGTTGGGTAAAAAAAAAGTCCTGAAAATCAGGATCATTGCAGATCCATCCATCCTTAGATAAACACTCAAAATCATCGTCAGAGAAACAGACTGACGCTGACTGTCAGGAGCTCAAATATCATCAGGTTTCAATCAAGAGTTTAGCTTGAAGACGGACAAATGAAAATAACCCAGACTGAATATTTAAGTTTCCTGCAGTCTGTTTGTTCAAACACAGATATTTGTGCTTTTCTGCTTCACCCAGCATTATGTATTAAAAGCCTGTTCGGCCCTCTCTTTGAATAACAAGTATAATAATCGGTTTACACCCAGTTTGTCCGACAATAATGAGTTTAAAATTCAGGAGTGAACTTGGACGAGTTAAAGCGGTACATCTAAATTAGACTGAATCAAACTTCAAGGATCTGTGAGGCCAAGATCAGACTGTGATACCCTCCTTTATGGAGTCTAGAAACCAGTGATAGTGAAGAAAGGATGAACTGGAGAACTGATGCTGATGAAATCGGAGGTGACTGGGCATGGAGGCTCGACGATGACTCAAACTTTTTAATGATTTTTCCTTCAATGGAGTTTATATCTGAAGGAAGAAACAGTGACTGTGTTCAAAAGCCATAAATCATCACATTTTCACCAGAATTGCAAAGAAAAAACAGACTTTTGGGATCTGTTAAGGCCTTTAAATTATGGATTATTCATAAAAAATCTTTTAATATCAGTCAATAGTTATTTGTTATTGATGACATTTGGGAATATCACGATATCGCCGTGTTTTGTTATGTCTGTATGGTCAACATTTAAAAATTTCTTTCTGACTGTAAACAAAGCCGTTCTCCACCTCCTCTAACCTGATTGGTTGTGAGGCAGACGCTGCTCCCCCGTGTCGTTCAGGAGCCCAAACAAAGTTAGCGTGCTACAATATCGGACAGTAGAAACCAACCAGAAAGTTCGGAAAATTGTCCGAATCCTCCTTTGGCCACGACTGCCGACACAAGCAAGAAAACAAAGTAAATACCGGAGACTCTGGAGGAATAACGGGCGCTTAAAACGGAGGTAGACCGGACAAGAGCTAAAAAGCCGGGTCAACATAAACGATGGGGGACGCTTGGGGATCTTGGTGACCCTGTAACCTTTCTGCTGGACAGGTAAACCGCTTTAACAAAGTAAGACAAGTGTCTGTAACAGAAGTGTTTCTTGTCAAACGGACCTGCTGTAGCGTGTTGTAGCGCCATCGCTCCCTCGGGTCCTGGACTATGTCACTTTATCCTAGTTTAACCGGGTCTTTGCACCCCTCACTGCTCTGACCCTGAAAAAATCCCATTTCTTAAACATGTGATCATTTCACCCCTATATCTGAAGAAATGATGCTCTCACTTTCCTCATTTGGAGACATGATCAGGCTTGGCACAGTTCTAACTCATCTGAAACAAGAGCTCTCAGGTGTGCACCCTTAAAATAAAGAGGTGTCAAGACCACGCCCCCTCTCCCCCCCTCTGACCGTGCCCCTGGTAGTGTTTCACAGAGGACCACCCGCTCCCTTTTCAAAGCAGTAACCCTCTGAAATCCCGTAGCAGAACTCGGCACATTTTATCTGTTCGTTTAAATTCTCCTCAAGCCTTCAGACAAAATCAAACTTTGTTTGTTTCCTGTATCACATTTTGTACTTTCTGTCAGATTTACCCTCAAAAAGACCTACCTGAGAAATATCAGGCTGGAGAGGAGCCCAAACAACAACAACCTTGGGCCTCTGTGCTGAATAACTCCCAAAAATCCATCCCTCTCCCCTCTCCTGTCCTCTCTGGAGGGAAGCTTATCTAAATAGAATTGATTGTTCTGAGCGATCGTTCATCATTCAGAGCCAACGCGGTCGTTTACGGGTGGGAGGGGCAAGATTTTCGGATATCAGTGAGCTCTCAGAGTCGCCGAGGTAAACTTAGGAGAACTGCATGAATGTGTGTGTGTGTGATTGGAGAACATACACAGACAGCAGACACACAAACCGACGGTAAAATTTGGCCTCTTGAATATAAATTGCTGATAAAATCAGGTCAGGAGCAAAACCGTCTCTAATTGCATTTCATTTCCAATCAGGCTGAGAGAAGCAGACGGGAGGAAACATCCAGCTCAGATGGTGATGAATCAGATGACATGATGAGAGAAGAGCTCGTCATTTCAGTTCATTAGACTGGAGGACTCGCCGCAGATGCAGAGGCCGTGATTAGCTGCGCTCGTCCTCCTGTTTGTGTTTGTTTTAATGATTCGCTGGCACGATCCCAAACAAGTTGTTGTTCTCCTACCTTTGAGCGAATCCGCCGCTGAAGGACAAACAAACTCTGTAAAGCAGCAGACCTCAGATTAACGACTTTAACTTTATTACAGAAGGCCGAAGAGCTTCGTCCTTCCAGATCGGGCTTTTCTAATGTTGGTTGAAGGACGTCGGGTGATAAGGTCTGGCTCGTAGTCTCCAGTATGACTCCTCTCAAGGCCGCTGGATGAGGTCAAGGTGACGAAACCTGCAAAAATAATCCCTCCAAAGATCTTTCTGATTAAGGTCGATGAGGAGATGCAACAAAAATACCTGTTTGGATCATCCACAGGTGAACAGGTTCATTGGAAACAGGTGAGTGTCATGACTGGGGATAAAAGGAGGAAGTGAGGATGGGGTGAGGTTAGTTAGATTATTAATACCGAATGTTTGGCATTGAAAATAAAGGAAACTAAAGCTTTTCATGGGAACTTTGCCCCCGCCAAGATGGCTGCCATGTAGGCATGTCAATAAGGGGGCTGCTACAGCACGCTAGCATATCTAGTCTTCTATATATATCTGTGTTCAAACCCACATCATATCTGTGATGGATTTTACCATGTGGGGTCAAGAGGACTTTAGAAAACCAGAATCAGTTAACACAGTTTGTTTCTACATCTACGAGTTCAAACTCCACCACGCAGAGACAAAGACAACGAACAGAAACGCCGCCAGCTTCTCTGGACCCGAGATCATTATAGACGGACAGACCCAAAGAGGAAACGTCTGCTGTAGTCTGACAAGTCCACAAAGTTAGAAGGTTATGCAAAATGTTGTTAAAAACTTGCGGTGCGTTCACACCAAGCGTGAATAAAATCATCTACTCGCTTCATTCGCGCGAATCTAGACAAGTGAATGAATAGTGTATGCTCAATTCATTCGCGCGAATGATTCGCTCCATTCGCGTATCAACAGAGTGCTCAAAAGCCAGTCCATCAAGCACAGTAGGAGTGAACCACGTCCAGCGGATCGCTGCTTTGTATTCATAGTGGAAGGCCCACAACCATTGGAAATGTAGGCGCCGCCGTGTCTTCAACTGTTCATCATATCCTCCAGAGGCGCACGCAGTTTTGGGAATTTTACCATCTCCTCCAAGAGTTGCACCTGGATGACGGCTGTTTTTAGCGTTATTTTCGGGTTACCCAAACCCAATTTGATGAATATTTCCTCGAGTTGAGATACTTTCAACTCTCGCGACTGAGGCGAATTTGCATCATTTGAGCGAATAACTCGCTCAATTCGCTCAATTCGCGCTATTCGCGTCGCCAGAGTAATTCCAGAGTCTAATCGCATCTTTGCTTTGACTTAACATGTAATTCACTCTAACACCCCTTAAGACGGTTTGTGAATCATTTGAAGTTTTATAATTACAGACTCATTTAAAGATATCTACAAATATCTCCGTCCATATCCGTCTCAAATGTTCCTCGAAATGTCTCTGACACTCTACAACTTTAATGTCTGTACATTATGTAAACAGTTTAATACAAACATTCATGGAAACCTTCAGAGACCTGCTGACATGGTTGTAGACTCTCCTTCACATCTGTTCAGTCTCTAAATATTGACTATTTTTGTCGTTCTTACATAAAGACCGCTCCGAACTTCACTGTGACGGATTTGGCCTCCAAAGGAAAAGGTTTTCCAGCTTCTGTGTCTTTATTTTCATTCACCCTTCAGCCCAAATTCGCCCCTGAAGATGGTCCAGGCGAGGTCATGCAGCCCGTGCGCTAACAAAGGAACAGGGGTTCAGAGGGTGACCTGCTTCTCTGCGGGGTCTTGCTGCTACAAACGCCCCTGCTGTCAGCCGCTAATGGGAAATAATGGCTGCAGAGAATCACCGCGGCGTGCTGGGCTCTCCGGGGACCGGGGTGAAGGTATCGGGGTCACATCTCCCCACAGCTCCTCACGTCCTCAGACAGAAACATGCTGGAGAGGAAACATCTGGAGGAAAACGAGAACCACAGAAAAGGGCGGGCAGAAAGATCCCGACGAGGAGAAAGGCGATGGGCTGATCGACGGTCTCCACAGGGGTGGTGAATCAGCGCGGCGTGACATTTCACCACCATCATTATCGTTCACGCTGAAAGCTGATGGGGAGCTATTTCCAAACCATTGTGTCTTTACTGTCAAAAACCACGAAGGCTTCAAGGAGAGACGACAAGAAGAGCTCGATTCTTGAAACGATAAAAGATGTATTTTTAACAGCATGGAGGGAAACGGCTCGAAACTTGAAGCACAAATCAGGATGTGAAGAATATTGTTATAAGAATTGGACATTTTATTCCCCTAGTGTTGAATTATGTGCTTGTAATGATCGTACCTTTAAAATGACAGAGAAAGAGAGAGATACAATAAAACATATTTACCAAAGAAAAGACGACACGCCGCAGTACGATCATTTCTAAAGAGCCTTAAAGGTCATTCTTATGTTGAATACACAACGTGTGGACCTTTGCACTCAAAAAGATTGGATCTGCACAAAAGAAAAGGATCCTGTGAATGCAGGTTATTTTCTTTTGTGCACATTAACTCGTGTGCACAAGGCTGGTTGCTAAAAAGCGATTAAACAGAAAGTGACTTTGTTTATATAATACCATAAATACTCAAATATACTCCGGGTCCTGTGTTTCCATGACTGCCAGAGGTACCTGGTCTGTCTGTGGTATTTACATGCTGCGTTCCGGTTGTGCTCGGAAGTTTGGGTTTCCAAGCTCCAAGTTGGAAATTCATCCGAAACAACAACTAACAACCACGAACAACAAGTTACAACGGCTAACAACCGCTAACAACAACTGAGTGGCCAACGACAACTGACCATTGTTAACAACAGCTAACAATGGCTAACAGTAGGCGCCCATCTTGGTTTTCTGACGTGTTTACTGGAACGCTGTTGTTCCTTCAAGATCTTTAAGATGTTCCTCCTGGCTTCTCCAATTATCAAGGGAAGAACAGTTCAACGTATTAACTTTATTTTATTTTGAAAAGTAACAGATATTTTACTCTGTAGCCGCAAACAACTTCCACTGCTGCTCGTGCCGCACTGAATTGATGCGCCGTGCTGTGGCGTCTGGCAAAAATAGAAGCCTTGCGTATCTGATCTGGCCACCAGAGCTGATCTGCAGCGGAGCCGGATGGCAGACGGATTCTGTGGAATGACACACATTGATTTTAATGCTTGCGTACTTGATCCGCCCGCCATGCCGGAGCAGAGCAGAGCAGTTCCAGATCCTGTGGGTTTTGCCCGTCAGGATTAGCGTGCACGTGCACAAAGCAGCTCTGAGCAGCAGAGAGTGCAGACACTCGACATCAGGCACATCCCTGAACTTTGACCAGCAGTGTGTCAGTGTGACACTTTCTTCCTGATCAGATTTTAGAGAAGAAACTCGAGAGCCAAAGTAGAAACTAAGGAGAACATGTACTTCAGCTCAGCGCTCGAGTCAGTTTACTCTGTGACTCTTCTTCACCCCGTTTACACTTCCAACCATGGAGGGTAAACAGCATGTGTGTTTTCAGCATCTGAAGATCAAATTAAAGTCAACTTCACTGATTCAGAAAGTCTTCTAATGATGTGAACTTAAAACATCACTCTTGCATCACGCCGTAAAACCCTCAGCCTGCATGTTTTTCATATCAATGAAAAGTAAACAGACTTTCTAAACAGAGTAAATCTGTCTTTACTTTCTACTCCCATATGAAGAGGGATCTCAGCAGACTGGAGAGACTTCATGTTTATCTGCCTTATGTAACTGGAAGTAAAAGGAAAAGTACAAATGAGCAGCTACGAGTCTCTCAAAGTGATTAAAAATATATCGTTTACAGCATGTTGCACAGTGAGATTTATTTTCCTGCAGAAGAATAAATAAAGAGTCAGATTTATCACAATCTAAAGTCCTAAAACACGCATTAATCCCTGTTGGAAACACTAACATGGTGGTTGCACATCCAAATCATCCCTGTGAAAGATGCTCCTGGATTCCTTTATAGGAGGCAGAAACAGACTCTTCAAATAAAATCCGAACTTTTTCAAAAACAGAAACTTTGAGGCCGTCTTCTCACTCAGTTCAGGCCCTTCTCCATCAGAGAAATACATTTAACGATGGCGAACGCTTCATTTCCTCCGCAGACGCGAAGGTAGAGTCACAACATCAACTCTCAGCGAACATCAACGACCCTTTGTTCAACTTTATAAAGTGCGCTCAGAGAAATACCAAAACTGGAGCAGGAAATTGCCTCGTCTCAGGAGTCCAGGTTTGTTTTTTGCTCTGAGACTTGAGTCCCAAAGCAGCGAATGGAGCCATCTGTGGGTTATAATTAGGCTCTTTGTGTCTTATATTGAAGCTACAGATCATTTCTCGTTGTTTCCATCATCAGTTATGACTCTATTAGACCTGTCCTCTGCTCGGGACGGGTCAATCTGAGCATGTTTCCTTCTTCAAACAGCTTTTTACACCTGCATGCACCACAATGTCAGTGGATTTGGATGCTGAGACCCCAGATTATGGTCCTAACTCCTCTCTGTCACTCTTTTCTTTTCCTTTATTAAAACACTGGAGTAGGGGGAGGGCGAGTGTACAGCCTAGTCTAACAGACCGTTCTTCCTTTCCTGTCCTTTGCTCATATGTCTTCAGTTTATTTACCCAGATAGGGTGAAGTGAAGTGTACAAAACAGCCAGTCTTTCTGTAGGGGGAGGTAGAGCGTACAGTCTGACCATGTAAGGATGAGCTTCAGCCCTGAGGAGCTTCTTAGCCAAGTTCTTGTCTTCATGTCTTCTCCCTTACATCCTTTTACATCCTCCCCTCCTTCCATGAGAAAAAATGGAGGAGGTAGAGCGTACAGTCTAGATGCATGGGGATGAAAATGTTCATGTTTTGCATGTTTAGAAAGTACATTTAAAGGTGGGGTAGGCAGGAATCCTTTAAAGAAGCATCTTTTTTTGTGGAATATCACGATATTGCTGTGTTTTGTTATGTCTGTGTTTTCAACATTTTATTTTTTTGAGCGGCGTGCTCTTTCTGACTGTAAACAAAGCCGTTCTCCACCTCCTCTAACCTGATTGGTTGTGAGGCAGACGCTGCTCCCCCGTGTCGTTCAGGAGCCCAAACAAAGTTAGCGTGCTACAATATCGGACAGTAGAAACCAACCAGAAAGTTCGGAAAATTGTCTGAATCCTCCTTTGGCCACGACTGCCGACACAAGCAAGAAAACAAAGTAAATACCGGAGACTCTGGAGGAATAACGGGCGCTTAAAACGGAGGTAGACCGGACAAGAGCTAAAAAGCCGGGTCAACATAAACCATGGGGGACGCTTGGGGATCTTGGTGACCCTGTAACCTTTCTGCTGGACAGGTAAACCGCTTTAACAAAGTAAGACAAGTGTCTGTAACAGAAGTGTTTCTTGTCAAACGGACCTGCTGTAGCGTGTTGTAGCGCCATCGCTAAACTGTCCTCCCTCGGGTCCTGGACTATGTCACTTTATCCTCGTTGTAGAAGTCCTGCAAACATTGTGTTTGCTGGTAGTCTGTTGGCATCTACAGTAGCACCAATGCTTTTGACTTTCACCTTGACTGGGCCCCATTTGTAATGATCTGAAGTATTTATCTGCATTATATCTGAATTTAATTGGAACGATACGAGCGAGCAGGAGCGTCTGTTTGTGGGCGGGGCTTGCTGGAGCAGCGAGTGATCGTGTTTGAAGCTCTTCAACACAAACTCTCTTAAATCAGTCCTCTGACGTCTCCACCGTCTTTCTTCAGAACACACTCTGCCTCCAAACTCGTCCAGTTAACCCCGTTTGCTTCCTCCATTCGTTGTGTTCATTTCTTCATCTCTCTGAGACAAACCTCACACGGCGGTGGATCAGCTGACGGCGTCCTGCCCTTGTTGCCGTTCCTCCGTCTGTGGCGGCTCTGTTGGTTTCACTTGGCAGGACGGTTAAATTGGATGACTCTGCCTCGCCCTCGACTTTGTGGCTCTCGGGTTAAAGATTTTTTCACGGCTCGGACACAGACAGATTTACGGAGTGGCAGACACACTATAAATATGCAGTAATGAAACTCATGAAATATTTATTGAGCAGCTTCCTCCTCCATATTTCTCCGGTCAGGTGGGATATAGTGCTCTGTGAAATACGACTGCTAAGTTTACTGTGATGACTGAGTGTGACTGTCCCTGCAACTATTCAGCCGGAGGATTTTATCTGGTTACATTTACATAAATCAGTTTCAAACAAGCATCGTACTCTGTCTCACAAGCGTCCAATAAGGACTCTGTATGAGATGCACAGACATGATATTCACCTGATCAATAAATCAGATGATCATTCAGAAGTTCTTGATCATAAAATCAATATTTGAAAATAATTGGGTAAAGTTCACAGGAAGAACAGAGCGAGCTTTTACTTTGAAATGCTGATTCTAAACGCTCTTTGCATAAATACAGACGATTTAGAGCCGATACAGCTCGGCTTTGATTCCTGAGCTTTTCTTCAGATTTTTGGTGCATGAAACTGACACGAGATGTCTGATAACATGCATGAGAAAGAGCAGATTTTACCAAGATGTGTTTTGTCTATTAGTCGCTGTAATCAGAGGAGGCGGGAAAGTGCAGGTCCATGAGAGTCTGGATTTGGGTCGGACAGCGTGGGGAAATCATCAAAGGGTCAAGGCCAAGATCTGAACATGCGACTGAAGTGTTGAGGTGTGCAGTCTTGGTGAATCAGGTACTTACTCTGCAGACAAAAGCTGACCCCAAACTTTCACTGCATCGGGAATGGATCTGATCCGGAATGGTGACGATTTTCGCCGTCTGCCAATTCCTACCAGATCCATTTGTGAGGCGAATTTCATGGTGGATTACGGACAGCACGTGAATCACGAGAACTCAGAAGAACCCGCGGATTCACGTGCAATCGAGCGATAACAATTTGTCTTTAGCCACTTAGGCTAACCATATAAGCAGTAGATTGTGTCCTTCCAGAGGAGGAAATCTACTTCTAGACTTCTAGAATCAGCATCTCCTCATCCATAATCTGTGCTGAACTTATGCGGCGTCTGGAGAAAATAGAACCCTGGTGATCTGTGAGTCCGCTGAACTGCAGGGGGCCGTAAAGAAGTCGGTGTAAATTGACACGTTAACTTGAATGGTTACGATCAGCTATGATCTGCAGATACGACCTTTACGTAGCCGTTTTTGGATGGAAATTGGGGGTTAGTAAAACCAGAGATTGGACTGGAGCCCTCTGGAGCTCAGCTCCGCCTCCTCACCTCGTCAGAACCTCTGCTTCAGTGTTTCATTTTAATCATGGGTGTTGCTGCCAAAAATCTATCATTTGGATCCCTATCGATACGTCAGCCTGTTGACTCAGCGCTGTTTTCAGAGCGCCGTGACAGAGCGTCATTACTGACTCCGTTCTGCGTGTTTATTGAGATAAAACCTGAACCAATAAAACTCCAGTTTTCACTGCTACCGGCATCTTCTCGCATACCGCACAAGTACACGTACGCACAAGGTGGGTGAAGTAACTGTCACAGTGAAATGTTAACTTTGTTAATTTACTGAAACTAAATATTTTCATTTTTCACCTTAACGTTTCTGTAATAAAGTCTCTACAGAGCTAATTCTACGTTAGCAAACTGTGAAAAGATAAGGAGAGTGAGTAGTTTCCATGTGAATAACCGTCCTTCTCATTAGCTAACCGTAGACTAGCTAATGCTAAGTGAGTGTTTCCCATTAATCAAGTCATTCCTCCACGGTCTCTCACAATAAAAAAAAATAAAATAGTTGTTACATCGCGCCCCCCTCCCTCTCCCGCCATGATCACAGTCTTCTAAAAACCTCTGGGAAACACAACAAATAGGACTCCCCCGTCTTACACAAACCAATTTAACCACCGAGAACAACCTGAAACTTTGTAAAGTGAAGTGAGACGAGAAGACAAACTCTGGAAACAGCTGCAGACATCCAGACATCCACCCCAGGCACCTACTTGTTAAACATAAATGTGTTACAAATATCCTTGACAAACATGCAGCTCAGTAAACAAAGAGAATGTCCAGGAGACATGTTTGTTAAAGGTAGAGTCTGATCTCTCTCTTCAAATCCTATTAAAGATTGATCTAAAGATGTTTGAGGAAAAGAGCCGGCTGCCCTCCCCTCCCCTCCCTCCACACCACGGCGGCGGTATTTAAGTCCTGCAGGGAAGACGGCTGCAGATGAGACGGCGAGGAGGCCTGGATGTTGAGATTAAAGGAGAGTGTCCTCGTGTTTCTCAGAGCTGAAAGAAAGCTGTCTTTTCCTCTCCGCACCCACGAGATGTCCGACCGTTTTAATGCTTCATTTCTCTGCCGTCGACAGCCCAGGGTTCATTCCTCTCGTGTTCTCATTAAGCTCCCCTGAGCGGACGCTCTTGTATGACATTGACATTTTATGTAACATGTCAAACCGCTCTGAAAACCTGGGAGGCCTCTCTCTGTTAGCGTCGAATCATCTGTGTGCCAAAAGCCTGATCTGAATCACGAGAATCGCACTGGCAGGATGAAAGCGTTGGCTTGTGTGGAGAAAATCTGTCCGTTTTTCTTCAAGATTGGATGTTGGCTTTCTGTCTGTTTGGGCTTCGTTTTTACTCAAGGTTCGTATCTGCCTCAGAGCACCAGCGACTCCCTGAATGAGAAAAAATCACACCCTCAAAACTCAAATGGATCTTGGCGAGGATGCGTTTCATCTGCCGTTACGGCTTTGTTTTACGGTTTTGAGTCCCGCAGCTGAGCGGCGCCGCAGACAAACGCTGTCAGTGTTTGTTTGCTCATTTGGCAGCACTTTTAACACACTTAGATTTTTAGAAAGCTTTTATACAAAGAGGAACGCCACATGGGAGCAACAGCTTGTGCAAACAAAATCTTAAGCAAAACTACCCACCCATAAAACAGCAGACAGCCTCACACTCACTCACAGATGCATCTCTTTGCCCTCCACCACCTACAGTGCAGAAGAAGAACGACACTTTTCCTCACAAACACAATCTCGCCAGGAGCTGTCTGACTTTGTCACGCTGCAGGTTAATCCGTTCTTACGAGACGACGGAGCCGCTGAGACAATCAGGACTCTGAATGTGTCTGTCTGACGGAGAGACAAAGAGACGAAGCTGTGTCGACGACCGATGGGAGCTTTGAATTTCCTCCCCAGACACACCAGGACATGTCGTTTTTAACATTTAGAGATATAACAGGCCGGATTTAAACCATCTGAAGCGGACAGTTGAAGTGGGGTTGTGTCCAACAGGGTGAAGAGAGGTTGGATTAAGTCTCGTTAGGACTCAAAGGAGCGTTTTGGGCGCAAAACAAGTCCTATTTTCTTAAAGGGAAGGGTAGGGCGGCACAATTTTGGCCAAAAGTAAAATCCAGATTTTTTTCTCTGAAAACTCGATTTTGATTTTTTATTCAGTGACAACTTCACCAAACTTCACTTTAAAAATATTTTTTTTTCTATCATCTCTCAAAACGAAATAACTGAAAACGATGTATTGCATATGCCAAGCCAGTAAGTGGCTCTGTAACGCTGCACAGGAAACGCACAATAGACAGAAGAAGAGTACAGAGCATGTACTGGGTGAAACGCCAAAAAACGTTAGCGTTTACTCCTGAGTTCTTTTCTGTGTGGACATGTTGATACCACCTCCAACAATGAGTGGTTTGCTCTTCATCTGAAACTGTGAAGTCGTACCAATTCAACACGACTGACTCACTCTTGTCCTATTTAACCACAAATTATCGCCTTCTTCTACAAACCCCACATTTATTTACACCGGTGTGTGGGAACTGGGGAGCCCTCCCGCAGGAAGAGGGAGCCTACGGTGGCCTACAGGTGTGAGACATGATAGAGAGGAAAATTTTGATTTGAGGATTTTAGTTTTTTTTAACATAGTCATAATCAAATAACCTGATTACTATTGAAAATCAATTAATTGTGCAGCCCTCGGAAGGGGTGTTACTATTTACACAACAGACAGGGTTTTAGCAGCATATCCAACTTCCTTTAATGTTTGTGTATATTTGATGGAGAGCTCGATGATGGTCTGACCCCCAATTTCCACCGCATCCAGAATGACTACGAAAAGGCTGTATCCTCCGATTGCAACCATTCAAGTCAACATGTCAATTTCCATCCTGATCACAAGAGTTCTATTTTTCCTGGACGCTGGAGCATGCTGGACTGAAGTAAAGCAGGTGAGCTCTAGCAGGCCTGGTGCATGTTGGAAGTTTGTTCAGGGTCCAAAATTTTGGCCCACAAAGTCCTCAAGGAACACATCAAGACTAGACCAAGACTGGGACCAAACCTGATCTTTTAAAAACCATCAAGCTGAACACGTCGGGCCTCTCTTCCTCAGGTGTATTTGGATGTGCGGTTTGGACTCGATCAGAAACGTCTCCTGTCAGATCTGGAACAACAGCGCCGAGCCTGTAACTGATGAAACTCCTTCAAATGTTGTCTCTGCGCCTCGTGTCGGCACACTCAGTCAAACTTGTTTAGTAAAAGCATCAACAAGAGCGTTCCCGGGTGTTTATTGCTCGCTGTGTTTAAAGTGATCCTGATATGGCGAACACCCCCCACCCCCTTCGCCTCTCTCTGACTCACATACTGATGTGTTTTCTATCGATTTGCAGACCGCCCAGGTTTCCTGCTCCTCTCTCTCTCTCTCTCTCTCGGTGTGTGAGGAGTCACTTAATGGTGCGTTACTAACTCCAGCCCAGTCATCCTTTACATGCTGCTCTCACAAGAAGCCCTTCACCCTGGATATCCATTACTGCCGGACTGTATAGTAACGCAGGCCCGACTCATAACATATTTATGAATGCGGCCTGAGGGAGGCTCGCGCTCTGAATGCTAATGTGATGCTCAGCCTTCGCATTTTTATCGCCTCTTCCTCCTCTGCTTTTTTTTAACCGGAGGAGTGACACTGCTGGATTGAAATGTCAGTCACCACCTGGAATACTTTTACCGACACCTTTTTATCAGGCTGCAAACCAAACAAGTCCACGCTGCCGCTTCGTAACTTTGACCTCTGCAAGAAAAAAAAAAAAAAGATCTGATTTGGTATTAAAGCCTCGAAGGTTTGTGACGCATATTTTAGAAAGATGGAACCTGATAAAAGTTTAGAGATTGGTAACACGCTCCGACGTGCAACAAGTGGACCAGCCTATCAGACAGCAGCAACGGGAGGAGGAGAGAGGAGAGCAGGGAGAGGAGCAGGAGATGTTTGTGTTTGTCTGAAAAGCGGCAAACACTAATGAGCTCAGGCTAATTTTCCAACCCCTATAATAAAACATTGTCTTAATTCTTGACTTTATAAAGAACCAATTTCTTATTTGAAGTCTGTGTTTGTCTTTCAAAGAGCTCAGACTTTTTAAGTTTTAAAGAGCTTTGAAAAAGCTAGAAAGTGATCCCACATGTGACATAGGCTCATATCTTAATATATTTCCTTTCTGTATTAAAATTAAAGGCTTTAAATGACTGACTGTGGTAGTGTTGATAATTCAGATCCACAATTTAAAGGTGGAGTAGTCAGGATCTGAGTTAGTTCCAGTTTTTAGGAGAAATCTTGAATGTAAACTCTACCCCTCCCAACCAGTTTTCCTCTCAGCTCCTCCTCCAGATAAATACTTCAGATCATTACAAATGGGGCCCAGTCAAGGTGAAAGTCAAAAGCATTGGTGCTACTGTAGATGCCAACAGACTACCAGCAAACACAATGTTTGCAGGACTTCTACAACGAGGATAAAGTGACATAGTCCAGGACCCGAGGGAGGACAGTTTAGCGATGGCGCTACAACACGCTACAGCAGGTCCGTTTGACAAGAAACACTTCTGTTACAGACACTTGTCTTACTTTGTTAAAGCGGTTTACCTGTCCAGCAGAAAGGTTACAGGGTCACCAAGATCCCCAAGCGTCCCCCATCGTTTATGTTGACCCGGCTTTTTAGCTCTTGTCCGGTCTACCTCCGTTTTAAGCGCCGTTATTCCTCCAGAGTCTCCGGTATTTACTTTGTTTTCTTGCTTGTGTCGGCAGTCGTGGCCAAAGGAGGATTCAGACCATTTTCCGAACTTTCTGGTTGGTTTCTACTGTCTGATATTGTAGCACGCTAACTTTGTTTGGGCTTCTGAACGACACGGGGGATCAGCGTCTGCCTCACAACCAATCAGGTTAGAGGAGGTGGAGAACGGCTTTGTTTACAGTCAGAAAGAGCGGACCGCTCAAAAATGTTCAAATGTTGACGACACAGACATAAGAGAACACAGAGATATCGATATATTACCAAATAATCAATAACTAATAAGATTTTTGTATAAAAACCACAAAATAAAAAGATGCTTCTTTAACAGACTCCTGTCTACTTCACCTTTAAGTCGGTTTTCTTCTTGTGGACCAGACTTCTTTCCTTAGACTAGAGATCAGCTGGACTCTCTCATATGAACACTGAGCCCCCCCATGCTCTCTCTCTCTCTCTCTCTCTCTCTCTCTCTCTCTCTCTCTCTCTCTCTCTCTCTCTCTCTCTCTCTCTCTCTCTCTCTCTCTCTCTCTCTCTCTCTCTCGCTCTCTCTCCCTCTCTCTCTCTCTCTCTCTCTCTCTCAGGGTGAGTTCATGTTGTGGAGATCTGATCCTGATCCATCAGTCTGTATAAAACCATAAACGGCTCATAAACCTGAACTCTGGTTCGTCTCTCACATGCTGTCCTCCATCATGAACTCGTGACTCCATGAACTTGGACTGTGAACTTACTGTCGTTATCTCCTCTGGAGTTTACAGCCAGCTGTGGGCGTGTCTACGAACGTCTGCACCACACAGATGAAGCAGCGCCGCTTTTATCGGAATAATAAATCTAAAAGTCGGAATCATAACGAACTTTTTATTGGACTCACAAATCAGGACACAGCTCAGAGTTTCCTGATCCTGGACCAGGACCCTGGAGTTCTGAGTTGATGTGGACTTAAAACTTTACAAAATGTGAAACAACTTTAAACACGTTTAAAATCCAGATTAAGTCTAAAGAGTCAGGGATTAACGGGATTAAAGTCGTTTTTACATGAAGTTTGTTTTAAATCCAAATCTCTCTCTGTCTGTATCTCTAAGTTTGGACTGACAGAAGTGAGAGACGTGAGTTTGACCACAGAAATAAGTCTCATTTCTCTTTGACAAAAATAAACTTGGACGGAGCGGTAACATGACATCCAGCAGAAACAGACACAATAAAGACAAACAGACGAGGTGATTTCAGTGACTCAGTTTGAGGATTTTTATGATTTTTTTACCCACAATCAGAGACTTGACCACAATCTGAGCTGAGTCAGAAACATCCAAACAGTCGGACTAATAAATGTGATTATTATTATTAGAGTGATTAAAAAGCTCATAACAACATGTAGATCTGTCCAAAGTCTGATTCTAGATGTTTTTACAAACACACTGATCCAACAGAAGCAGACAGAAATATCCATCGATCACATGAACACAAATATTCAGCAAACAGAGAAAGAAACAGATCATCTGAAGAGTTTTTGGGGACGACTGGAAAGACTTTAGACGCTTGGATTTGGGACAGGAAATAAGGTCGTCCTTTTTCTGTGATTTTGACCTCACTTTTTTCTAAAGTCTCAGACCTTCAACATCTGCACCAACTGAAGGTGATTTGAACAAACCATCATCTTGATGTTGTTGATATCAAACTTTATGAAGATTTTTTCAACATGAGAAATACAAACAATCAAAGTTCTCCACAATCACTGTCCTTAAAGCTGCGACCAAATCAGCATCTTTAGAAAAGAATCAAAAAGCTGAAATGAAGAACTAAACCCAGAGTTTTTGGTGAGACTGATCCACAAACATTTACAAACCAGAACATTTCAAGAGTTCAAGGATCTCAGTCCATGATTTTGGTCTGATGGACTCAAAATTCTCTTTATTTCACTTCTATAAACTCAGCAGAGGCTCCATCAGACCAGGGGATCAGTCCAGCATGTAGCGGTTCAGTGAATGTGGTCTGGACTCTGTGGAGGAGACTCATGGTTTCAGAGACGCTGTAGAAGGACAGAATACCTGCTCTGTGATCCAGGTACACTCCTACTCTGGAGGACTGAGGACCTGAGACATCAGTGCGGACTTTGTTGTGAACAAATTGATACCTGTCTTTAGAACAGAATAACATCCAAGATTTGTCATTTCCTCCAAATCTACAATCCAATGAGTCCCCGTCTCTCCTGATAGTCTTGTATGCGACTGCTACATAAACCCCGTCCCCTCTCCAGTCCACCTCCCAGTAACAACGTCCAGTCAGACTCTCTCTACTCAGGACCTGAAGATAATCAGTGAATCTGTCTGGATGATCAGGATAAGACTGTTCTTCTTCTTCTTCTTCTTCTCCTGTCAATGTTGCTCTTCTGTTTCCATCAGATAATAACAGCCATTCGTTTGCTGTGTTTGGATCCAGTGTGATTCTTCTTGAATATCTTAAGAAACCAGCTCTGGTCTTTGGTTCTGGTTCTAACAGTAAAACATCCACTTCAGTCACTGCCTGTGAGACGTTTGTCCACGTCTCTGTCAGAAGATCCTGGAGTTTCTCTCTGACCTCTGACACAGCTGCTGTCACCTCCTCAAAGTATCTCTGAGGACGGATGTAGATTCTGGATGAGTCTGCAGGTTGACCCGGTTCTGACAGTGAGGGGTAGCTGTGCAGAAACTGGTTGTGGTCCTCTGTGAGTGAGAGCTTCTGCAGATCAGCGTCTTTCCTCTTCAGCTCAGTGATCTCCTGCTCCAGTTTCTCCTGAAGCTCTTTGACTCGACTCACTTCACGTTCCTGCTGGGATCTGACCTGCTGCTCCACCTCAGAGCGGCGTTTCTCCATCAGACGGATAAGCTGGGTGAAGATCTTCTGGCTGTGCTCCACAGCTTTATCAGCAGAGCCGTTGATAGCCTCCACCTCCTGTTGGAGCAGCTTCACATCTTCTTCTCTGTCCTGGATTCTCTGCTGGATGTTTTCTCGACTCTCCTCCAGATCTTTCTGCCTCTCAGTCCTTTCTGCTGCAGCTGAGACTGTGTCGTGGCCTTTGTGTTGGTCCAAACAGCAGAGATGACAGATAGACTTCTGATCAGTGCGACAGAACATCTTCATCACCTCATCATGATCAGAGCAGATGTTCTCCTGGAGCTTCTTGGAGGGCTCCACCAGCTTGTGTTTCTTAAATGAAGGTGATTCAAAATGAGGCTGGAGGTGAATCTGGCAGTAAGAAACCAGACATTGAAGACAGGACTTGACAGCTTTCAGTTTTCTCCCACTGCAGAAATCACAGGCCACATCTTCAGGTCCAGCCTCAGAGGAACCATCAGGAGCAGCTTGGAGTCCGCTCTTCTTCACTTCCTCCACTAAACCTGCTAACATGGTGTTTTTCTTCAGGACAGGCCTCGGTATGAAGGTCTCTCTGCACTGAGGACAGCTGTAGATCTTCTTCTCATCCTCAGTATCCCAGTAGGATTGAATACAGCTCATGCAGAAGCTGTGTCCACAGGAAACAGTCACCGGATCCTTCAGAAGATCCAAACAGATGGAACAAGAGAAAGACTCACGGTTCAGATGAACTCCTTTCTGCGCCATTTCAACACTCCCTGTCGACGACGACTGACTGAGTTTTTTTTCCTGAGAAGTGAAACTAGTCTGAGCTCTGATCTCAACAACATGTGAGTCAGCAGGATATGACCTCAGCACACGGAGGTTACACCCGCCCTCAAACTGTAGATCTGAAGGGGAGGGAGGAAGGCAGGGAAGGAAACAAGGAAGTGAGAGTGCAGAGTGAAGTGAGCTGTGAGAGACGAGGGAGGGGGGGATCCAGTTTGTCTACAATCCAGGACGAGGAGCGTCTCTGTGAACTTTAGACTCTCAAACTCCAACAAGCAGAAGTTCTTAAAGCTGCAGCCGTCCTGAAGATCAACTGAACCAACATTTATTCACCTCATAGAAACCTCATCGAGCAGAAACACACTTCAACTGTTTTAGAGCCACAGAGTTAAAGAGACAACACACACACACACACACACACACACACACACACACACACACACACACACACACACACACACACACACACACACACACATTCTCTCTCTCTCTCTCTCTCTCTCTCTCTCTCTCTCTCCCTCCCTCTCTCTCTCTCTCTTTTCTCTCTCTCCCTCTCTCTCTCTCTCTCTCTCTCTCTCTCTGGTTTGTTCTCGTCGTTTATTCTCTCTTTTCTCATCCTCCTTTCTCTAATCTGTGTCTCCTCTCTCTCTCTCTCCCTCTTTTCTCTTTCTCTCTCTCTCCCTCTCCCCCTCTCCCCCTCTCTCTCTCTCCCTCTCTCTCTCTCTCTCTCTCTCTCTCTCTCTCTCTCTCTCTCTCTCTCTCTCTCCCTCTCCCACTAAGGTGATCTTCTCCAGTGTTCCCAGCTGAGCCGTGGTCTCTCACAGATGTCAGGTCTAGATGATCCTAAATCAGAGGAATGAGGATCTTAATCTGGTCTAATCTGAGGATCGATGACTTTGACTCTCGTTGATGTCACCTCTGACAACTCTCTGACCCTAACAAACCTCAGCCCTCACACTGACAGGGAGCTCTGAATCCTTTTAGCTTCACTGGTTTATAAGTCGCTCAGTTTTCTCTGCAGTGTTCTTCTTCTTCATGGATTTTATTCAAACTCTAATTTTCACTTTGTCACTCATTAATACGGTATTTACTTTGTTTTCTTGCTTGTGTCGGCAGTCGTGGCCAAAGGAGGATTCAGACAATTTTCCGAACTTTCTGGTTGGTTTCTACTGTCCGATATTGTAGCACGCTAACTTTGTTTGGGCTCCTGAACGACACGGGGGAGCAGCGTCTGCCTCACAACCAATCAGGTTAGAGGAGGTGGAGAATGGCTTTGTTTACAGTCAGAAAGAGTGGACCGCTCAAAAATGTTCAAATGTTGACGACACAGACAGAAGAGAACACAGAGATATCGATATATTACCAAATGTCATCAATAACTAATAACTATTGACTGATATTAAAAGATTTTTTGTAAATACACCACAAAGAAAGATGCTTCTTTAACAGAATCCTGACTACCCCACCTTTAACTAGCCTAACTCTAACACTATTGATGCTTTGAAATGTAGATCTAAATTTAGACAGTGTGCTTTCTACATAAAGGCGAGTCTCAGACATTAAATCTTATAACAAAATTGAGGTGCTGCTATTGTGGTAAAAACAAACCAGAGCTGAAGCTATTTTAGAGCAAAGTTTTCAAGCTATGTAGTAATAATGATAATTGTTTATAAAAAGTTTGTGTTTCTGACCTCGTTAGTTTGTTTCATTTAGTTTATATGTTTAATGTTTGTCAGAGGGGCCCCTTGAGGGTTTTTCCTTGGGGCCCCAGCACACTCTAGAATCGACTCTGACTGTACCGACTTACAGCGATGACTCTGATCTCACATAAATCCTCTTCAGCTCTCAGTGTAATGATCAAACCCTCGAGGCTCCGAGTAAATGAGATAATATAGTCGCGGGGCGTTCTGCACATGCTCATGTTTGTCACATCCATGTATGTGGAAGAAGCAATTTGCATCAACAGGACTGGAAGAAAGCGAGTTTATTGGTCCCCTAACACCTCTGGGCTGGAAAATCCTCACGGTCTGATCAAACCAGAACTCTGAGGCGGGTCTGAGGTCCGTTTCATCAACAGGAAACTGACTCACACAAAGCTTTGGTCGGGACTTGATGCCTGATGGACAAAGAGACTCAGTTACAGGTTTGAAAATGAAGAAAAATCACCGCAGGTCAGATTTTTATTGCCGCCACTTTTAATTCTGTCGACACAAACGTGATGTATCCACAAGGACGCGTTTGTCCTTCATGATACGTGTGTTTGAACGGACAGAAGCACCACAGCTCACAAGTTCACGTCTTTCGAAGTCAAAATCATGAGACACGTTTCTAAAGACATTTAAAAAGGAAACAAAACTCTTAAAAGGATTTTATGCAACAATTCAGTCCAATTTAAACAAATTCAACATTTGCGTCATTCGCGCCGCCAGAGTAGTAGGAGCATCTAATCGCGTCTTTGCATTGACTTGTAATTCATTCGCGTCAATAATTTTACTCGCGCTTGGTGTGTGGAGACAGTTAAAGTGTTGACTAAACTTCGCTATATATTTTATTTTTACTTTCTTTTACTCCCTGATAAGTAATTTCACTTCACGCCTGATTTTGACGTTATTTCAATCGACACACTCCAGTGAAAATGGACGTCGCTCACATAGTGGTGCGACAGGGATGACATGGGGCCCATTTAGGTGGGTATCCATCTAAGATGTCATTGTAATGTGACGACTAGTTGTTGCAATATTTTAGGACATTTTTGTGGGGTAAGGTTCGTCAGCCCTTGGGGGCCCCCTAGTGGCCTGGGGCCCCAGTCAACTGCCTGCCTTACCTGTTGACAACCTCCGGCCCTGAATACAGCGAGTGTTTTAGTGTGAAAAGGACAAAACTGGGACCACAGATAAACATAAAGTATGTGAGGAAGCATGGAGAGGATGTGACAGTGTGTGCCTGAAGAATTACCCTGTAAGGTATCATTCACAGACTCTTTATACAGCAGCTGTGCGCTCTAAGTACCCGCTCTTTTCCGCTGTCACTTTTTCAAAGTTAAACTTGAAACGAGTGGAAGAAAGATGTGCAAAGTTAAGAATACCTCGCAGCAAAACTGAGATGACATCTGGAGGATTTCAGGCTCTTCAGCTCCGAGCGGCACCTGCAGGAAGACATATGGCCCGCTAGCTTTTGTTTACTTCAGCGCCATATGCGCTGAGTGATGCAGGCAGATCCAAGCATTCATATTTACACGCGCACATATGCCTACGTGTGGATGCACACAGTCACCCTTCCTCGATTCAAAAACACCCACATAAACACAATCACACGCCTCGGCTCACACATTTTCTCACGGCTGGAAAAAGAAAAGGGATGGTAATGTTTTCATCACGACATGTAAATCTTTAAGAGAGCGAAACAAACCCTGATGAATACTTGGAGGTCTGTGAGCAGTGATGGATGGCAGACAGAGCGATGTGGGATAAGGACACCGGAGACTTCCTCCTCACTCTTTGTTTTCCCTCAGATGTGACGTGACAGACAACCTCTGTCTGGCAGAGGAGCCTTCAGTCATTAATTAAACATTAACCACTCCAGCTCCAGGACGTCAGGCAGCGTCTTCTGACAGATGTCAGAGTTCCCAACATGCCTCACTGACTTAATGTCACCAAAGTAAGGAAGTGAACAAGGTGCAGCATTAAAATCATTTAAAAATCTGTCTGAATGTCAGGACAAGAGGAGCAGGACGGAGCTGCAGAGCTTACTCATTCATGCCCTGCAGAGTTTGTGGACGGCTGAGCCTCGTCTTTAAATGACAGGGTTGCTGAGGTTGTCGGTTTTCATTGAGCCTCTAGTTGGCGACTGAAATAAAAGTTTTAAAAAGTGTAAGAATGAGAGCTTAATTAAAGCTGCAAGTGGCGATAAACGGGTCTATGTCGGGACCTGAAGCAGCTGAGGGATGTTCACCGGAGCGAGACTGTGCTGCAGCGAGGACTGAGCAGGAATAAGTGGAAGAAAAACCAGGAGGTGAATGTCTCTGTAGATCCACTCAGACTCCGACTGTCAGCATGTGTTTAATATAGAAAATGTCGTGTGAGGTAATACCACTTCGTCCAACAGGGGGCACTGTTTCTATGAACAGGCTCAAACCCACGGAAGATGAGAACGGCCATGATGTTTTTTTTATACACTGTCATCTTGTGATAATGACTTATTATCTCGTTATCTCAGTGTAACAGAGTTCATTCAGTTCCTGCGGCGTTTCCGAAATATCCCAAATCTGGAGGGCATTTTTAAAAGTTACCGTTGAGGTCGGCGAGAACGCCATTTCTGTTATCACAAGAAAACAAACAAGATAAGTCATTATCATGAGATAACGGTGCATAAAAAAGAAAAATCCATGGCTGTGTTCGTCTTCTGTACATTCCATGTATGCAGAAGTTAGGACCATGTGTTTCCACTGGGTGGCGCTATAACAGTAGAGCAGAAATTGGCACATAGATGTGTTTAGGGATTGATATTAATCATGTATATGAAATATCAAACAGATCAACTGCTTTAAGAAGGAGAAACCTGGGATTTTCACCCCATCTGGAATGGCTCTGATCCGGAATGGAGGCGATTTTCGCTGTATGCCAATCCCTGTCGGATCCGTTTGTGAGACAAATTTCGTGGCGGATTACGGACCGCAGGAATCACGATCAGAACCCGCAGATTCATGAGCAATTTCACGATAACAAGTTGTCTTCCTGTTTGTGTTGAGGCCTTTAAATCTGTGATTATTTAATCAGAAGATCGAAAGAATCGTTATCCGTGGATTCAAACGAGGTTTTTACACCAGAGAAAGGAAAATGCAGGAATATATTAAGCCAATAAATCTGTCTTTGACCCTCATACTGATAAATCACTCGCTGCAGAAGCCGGACAAGCTCAGTTACAAGTCCAACTAGTTCATGTTTCCTCATCGACTGATTAAATTAGATTCATTAGATCATCACCGTCTTAGTCTGGATCCTGCGCACAGTTTGAGGCGTGATCGCTAATTGCCGGCAGAAAAAGGTGAGGAAACATGGAGCTACTCTTTGGCAACAACTCCCTCTGCGAGCTCCTCTTAATGAGGAGGTGGGCAGCATATGAATTCATCCCCCTGGTGGAGTGGAGTGTGAGCTCTGTTGATGATTAAAAATAACTGAGGATATGACTTCTGGCAACTGCAGACATTTCATTCTTGGAGCTGATCTTCATCTGCAGAGCCAGATGGATCTGACCTGGACCTGATGAGCTCGTTAACGGGGACCTGGAGCTGCATCACAGTCCGGAGGCGATTGATTAACACGGGAGGTGGTGGAGCGGGGATAACAACTGCACTGAATAGACGGTTTTCTAATAAGTCGAGTTAGAAACTTTTAATGAGGGCTGCAACTGGTTATTATTTCCTATTGATTATCGAGTTCTTCAATAGTTCCGTGGGAGAGCACATTTAAAGTTCTCTGAGTCCAGGATGAGAACTTCAGGGAGTGTTTGGCACTTTTTAATTAAGGAGATGTAACAGTTTATCAAAAGTATTGATGAACTTGGTATTGATAAGGTGAGTGATTAAAAGTAGGAGGATCGACGGATTTCACTTTACACTATCAATCCAAACCCAATCGTTTACCGACGTCCATGCTGAAGACCTGAGTGTAATGACCCTCGCCACGCTGTCATGAAACGGTCGATAACCCGATTCCTAAGTTTTAAAAGCTTTATTCAATCGCTCAAGACCCGGATGGTGACCATTTACCAAAGTGATCTACAGAGTCCACCTGAGATATCAAGAACATCTAACACTGTTATTCACCCACAGCTAACCCTCAAATTCCACCGTGTGTTGAACGGTGCTACTGCGTAACGGTTGCGCCAAAGCCTACCAGATGTGTTTTTGAGGCGGATTTTGGAGGGCGGGAATCATGACGACAAACCTGCGAATTCACATGCGATAGCAGGATAATGAGCTGTCTCTATAAAGACAGACACATAACCGTATAAGAAATATATATTGGTACGAATTTGTAACTTACCATCCACTCCCATTACTCCTGCTATAGAGTCCCACGCCATTTCCTTTTTACCATTGTCTGTATTTAAGGAATGAGACCGGTCAGAGATTATTCCATGATTTTGGACTTCTAAAAACAGCATCTCCTCATCATGGTGTCAATGTGGTGAAATGACGTCTGAAAACCCATGACTTGTTCGTCCGCGCCCATGTTTGCATGGTGTGAAATACGATCCGTATAAAGAAATTCAGGTTTTATTTTGAAAAGACGGCAAATGTTTTATTTCTTGTCTGAGCCTGACTTCCTTTCCAGCACGGGTTCATGTGTGCTGAATGTATACGGCATGCTCTGGCGTCCACAAAAAATAGAACCTTAGCGAACGGCTATGAAGCCCGCTGAACTGCAGCAGATCGGAAAGAAGCCGGTGGAATTTGACTTGGATGGAAATGATCAGCGGCAATTAGTGGCGATCTGCGCCATCAGCCTTTTCGTCACTGTTCTGCATGCAGTGGAAATTTGGGATAAAAGGTGTTGTAGTCAGGATCTGAGTTAGTTCCAGTTTTTAGGAGAAATCTTGAATGTAAACTCTACCCCTCCCAACCAGTTTTCTCCTCAGCTCCTCCTCTCAAGCCCCGCCCACAAACAGGCGCTCCTGCTCGCTCGTATCGTTCCAATTAAATTCAGATATAATGCAGATAAATCCTTCAGATCATTACAAATGGGGCCCAGTCAAGGTGAAAGTCAAAAGCATTGGTGCTACTGTAGATGCCAACAGACTACCAGCAAACACAATGTTTGCAGGACTTCTACAACGAGGATAAAGTGACATAGTCCAGGACCCGAGGGAGGACAGTTTAGCGATGGCGCTACAACACGCTACAGCAGGTCCGTTTGACAAGAAACACTTCTGTTACAGACACTTGTCTTACTTTGTTAAAGCGGTTTACCTGTCCAGCAGAAAGGCTACAGGGTCACCAAGATCCCCAAGCGTCCCCCATCGTTCATGTTTATGTTATCGTTTAAGTGTGCAGTGCGAGTGTCATTCTTCATGTTGTTTTATCCACATCTCAGCTGAAAGATACACAGCATGGTATTAGTAATCTGACGTGTCAGATCTGAGAGGGTCTGTGGGGGGTTCAGGCCAGTTCAGGTCAGATCCAGATCTCATCAATGTGCAGAGAGAGGAGGATTGTCTTCAGAGGTCGACACACAGAAGGTGAGCGCTCTTAATTGGAGGTGAAGTGCAGAGCAAAGCGCTGTGACTTATAATAAAACATGTCACATTCACTCACATCAGGCCCACCGCAACAGGAGGGGGGACTGTTTTACTCGACCGGCTGTGATTGATCTCCTACACACACACACACACACACACACACACATCTGTCTGAGATAAGATTAACCAACCAGTGACAGTCCTCGATGTTCTTTGTTCTGATCAAAATGTATAAAGTTGGAGACTCGCAGCAGTTATCCGTCTGTGCCGATCTCTGAAAGACAAGAGGCCAAAGTGTGGTAGAAGTTTCGGAGGTAACTTCAGGTCAAACCCGGTGTTTTTCGGAGCTGAAATGGTGCTCCATGTTTATACAGGTTCGTTGCCATGGTAATTTATGCTGCAGTTTGTGCGGTTATTCATGTGGTCTGGGTGAAGTTTAAGTGGAGGAGCTGGAGAGCGGATGATGCCGGGGTGCACCAGAACAAAAACCTGCTCTCAAGTCCGAAGTCTGTGTCACAGTGTTACCCCTGATTTCCACAGCATCCGGGACGGCTACGAAAAAGTCAATCTCCACCAGCTTCTCTTCGTTCCTCTGCGGATCACCGGACTCCACAGCTGGATGAACGAAGATGTTGCTCCAGAACAGCTACGAAAAGGTCGTATCCTCCGATCGTAGCTGATCGTAACCATTCAAGTTAACGTGTCAATTTCCACCGACTTCTTTCCGTTCCTCTGAGGATCGCCGGACTCCTCAGCTGATCACAAGAGTTCTATTTTTTCTGGACGCCGGAGCATGGCGGATAAATTCAGCACAGATTAACCCGTGCTGGAAAGGAAGTCGGGCACAGACACAAAATAAAACATCCGGCTTCTTTTCAAAATAAAACACTCCGTGTTTCAGGAGGATCGTATTTCACACCATGCAAACGGGCGGAGACGAACAAGTGAAAGGTTTTTAGACGTCATTTCACCCCGATGACACCATGGATGAGGAGATGCTGATTCTAGAAGTCTAGAAGTAGATTTCCTCCTCTGGAAGGACACAATCTACTGCTTTTATAGTTAGCCTTTGCAGCTAAAGACAATTTGCTATCACGCAGTTGCACGTGAATCCGCGGGTTCTTGTGATCCACCACGAAATTCACCAAATGGATCTTGAAAATCGTGCATCCCTTTAGTTCTGGCTGCTCGGAGGGATTTAGTTGATCAATCATCAATCTAGGCTCCGTCATAAACCAAATTTGATGTTTTTTTTCACTTCCTGACTTTCTTCTTTAAATGCATCATAAAAAAAACTTCCACCTCTTGTTTTTCTCACATCCCCGGCTCTGAAACTTCTCTGTAGTCCACACAAACAACACGAGCCGTGCTCTGACATAAAAGTTAAATGTTTGGGTGATCAGAATATGCAACAGCGTAGAAACTCCAGCCTGATGGTGTCGTTGGGATTGGCAAAGGAAAGATTAATCAGATTCAGAATTGATACACTTAAATGCACCGGCACGCTCCGTTGGTTCGCTCCTCTCTAATCCCGCTCAGCGGTACAGCGAGCTTTTTTAACCACAGCGGAAAATCAGCATGTTGGAGGAGCTGATTCAGGCTGGAGCTGATGAGACGATTACCTGCCTGATCTGACCTGCTGCCTGCTGCGCTCTTTACAACAGGTGGACAGGAGGCAGACGGGGTGGTGTTACCATTTAGAGTTAATTTTAGCATCAGGAGGGGTCGATTAAGGAAACAGAACAAAGAGGAAATGTGTTTAGATTGGAGGCCGTTTGGTCGGCTCAGACAAACCTCATAAATCCTGATCAGAGTCGGAGTTTTACGTCAAGTTTTAATACCTGTGTAAACTGTCAAGTAGGAAAAATAGGAGAGAAGGTAGACTCACTTATTTAACCACCAAGCATTTTTACTTTTGTTTTATTTCTGCAGATACAAGAGTTTAATTTTTATCCATACTGACACTATCATTGAGACTCCTTCCTGATCCAAGTTCTTACAGAGTCTGTTCTAGTTTGTTTTAACTTTTAACCTTTAACAGATTTTTTTTTTTTGTCCTCTGAACACATCACTAAATTCTCTTTTTACCAACCCGACCCTGAACGTCTCTCTGTGTAATCCTGTGTCACTGGTTTAGTTAGCTGACTCGCTTCTATCCCACTGAATTCAACATTCGGTTAACATGTTTGACTATCCGGACAGAGGAGGATCGTAACCCTGGAGCAGTTGCAGATGTAGTTGGCTGAGTTGTTTCAGGCTGCAGAAAGTCAAAAGCAGAAAACCTACAGGATCTGTGTTGGGTGCGTCCCGGCTCCCTCGGACAATGTGCGTCATCGCCCACTGGAAGCGTTTGGAGCGTAGCGGCTAATTTAGATTTTATTCTGTGATTGTTGTGTTTGACTTCCTGTCTATGACGGTCTTCTCTGTGAAGATAGACACATGCTCAGTGCATGCTCCATCGAAAGTAGAGTCATCTTTCATCTTTAGAGGAACAAGCGCGTAGAGTAAGGTGACCAAACATCCCTGATTTCCAAAAGCTGTCCTCGAAAATGTCCCCGATTTAAGCGTTTCATGAATGAGACTAAAAACTGTTGTGTGTGGTCTACGGTCTATCTGTATTCCGCCTTCTGCCAGTATCCAGATTTGAAGCCAAAAAGCTCTCGGTATTTCCGCGATTTTTTCTCCACTTCCTGAAACCAACATTGCGCAGTAGCGTTATGCGCATTCGGCGGGAGAGTCGTGGAGAGTTGCTGTCGTGACACTCGGCTCAAACAGGCTGAGGCTTCACCCGGCGAGGAGGCAGATGGCGTCCTTTCTATATACAGTCTATAGTTTTGATCTCAGGGTTCTGCGCTTTTGCTCGTTCTGATGTGCTCTACGTTTTGTTCCCCCTAGCAATACATTACTTTGCAACACAAAATACATTTTTTATCATCTCTATCTTCACTTTTGGGACTCTCGAAACCTGATCGCAGACTTGTCAAGCTCGATTGTTGATTTTTGGGGGTTTTGAAAATGCTTCATGAGGTTTCAGGATATGGATCTCCACTTTTGGTCTGACAGAAGCAGATCACCTGTTGTTTGACTTAAAGAAGCAGCACCTCTCTGTACATCCTGTAGTGATCTTATTTTTTTAGGTTAGGGGATCAAACAGCTGTTGTGTGTTAAAGACGGTTTCATCACTCTCTGAGGTGAGCGGTGAGCCCCTCCGCAGGTTCAACTCATTAGACGGCGCACTCTCGCACTCTCCGCCTTCATGCTCCCATTTAGATGATTGATTCTGTGCATCTTAACCAGCTCAGCTCTGCATTAGTGATGAACAGAGCTGTGATTTAATATTCACAATCAGCTAATTTTGTAAACAACACAACACCTGTAAACTCCTGCTGCTCCCTTTAGAGGGACGAACGAAAACGACGTCAGAATAAAGACGATTTCACAACGTTATTAAACAGAAACAGCTGCTTTTTTCTTTAGATTCTTCTGTGAAATTAGCCTCTTATTGCTTTTTCTCTCTCGCAGTAAAATTCATCATTATCGCCTCACACGGCATGTTGTGTGATGTAGGATTTTATCTGGACTGTCATTCATGGAGATTTATTTCGGCTGGCTGTAGCATAAAATGTCTTTAATAGATGATCTCTGGGTGTAGCTGTGTGGGTTCGGCGGCTGCGGCACGCTCAGAAGAGGTTCGGATGATAAAAATATGATGCCATTTAAACAACAAACCCTGACATAAATCCTCTGTTAGTGCAGTGCACAGGAGCACCCACTGTCAGAGCTGTTATTTGTAGCTATCAGGACACATTTCTTCATGTGAATGAGCTCCGTTTTCTGCACAGAGAGATAAAACTCTGATGAAACTGGAGGGGCTTGCAGAGCGACACAAAACGTCCTGGCCACGGTTTGGAAAAATCTCAAACGATGGCCGCCGTGTGGAGACCGGCAGACGCACATAAATAGGAATAATTCATGCACAGATTTTCTGTAATTATATTTGATTACACTGAGTGCTCGAAATTGCAGCCTGCAAGTTGTGAGAGAAAGCTGAGCTATTTCAGACGGAAATGAGCGAGCGACCTGTGAGAGCGAATTTAAGAGGTAACAGAGACATTTTAGACCAACCAGGCAGACAAACAAAGACACAGCAAACATAAAGAATGAAGGTTCATGGAGGCATCGAGTTCACCTCATTCCTCATGCACAACAAGACAAGACGAGACGAGTCCAAACTGTTGAAGTATATTCCAGAGTAAATTTAAGTTATGGTCAAACATACTGTAACACTAGAAACTTTAAAGAGAGATGAATGTTGCTGACCGTTTGCTTATACCAACTTTAGTAACGACCGCAGGATAGCAAAACACAGCGGTCTACATCGACAACGCGCAAACCTCAACCAAAACGCCACAAATAATGCTCAGAACAGCACCTAACTTCATCAACAGGACATATAGGGTCACAGCCATAGTACTAGACACCAAACATCTTTTTAACTTTGACTCATTTCTTTAGCAAAGAGACTAAACACAACTCACCTACTCTCTTCCAGCAGCCGCTTGTTTGTAGGGGAGCCCTGACAAGTCGATCACTGAGTGCAGTGGAGTTTCGCAGCTCAAGGAAGAACATTTATGATCATTTCTTCATGGAAATACAATCAGACCGAGACGCTAAGACAGAAGAACTACCGCGTCTGCAGAGAAAAATATTATTGTCTTTCACTTTAGGTTAGATTTGCTCTTTTTCACTGAACTAATTCAACTTACTGGATGTTTACATTTACTCAGAACAGTGTGACGTCTAGCTTGATAAGGAGAAACCTGATGAGCCATAAGGCTCCCTTTGTTCTGTTGGACCGGTTTGCAGCAGTAGTTACACACGTAAAGGTCAACAACACATATACTTCAGAGCACATTTTAGTAAAATCATGTGAACAGTGGTTAGCCTGTTTATCTTAGAGATAACTGGCCAGTGATACTCAGTTGTGTTTAAGTCCAACCTCTGTCCAGAAGATAAATCTGAATGATACCGGAAACGGTCACTTGTGATGGAGATCCTTGGAGCTCTGTCATCCCGAGTCCAGCGCTGTTCAACTTCTCATGTGACATAAATAAATGTTCTCCTTCTCTGGTTGTGTTTGAGCAGTCAGCTAAAGAACCGATTCGTACAAATTGATGATTATTACGTCATGTAAATGATCCGCTGCACTCGGTGATCGACTCGTCAGGGGTCTCGCTAAAACAAACAGCTGCTGGAAGAGAGTAGGTGAGTTGTGTTTAGTCTCTCTGCTAAAGAAATTATTCAAAGTTAAAAAGATGTTGATGAAGTTAGGTGCTGTTCTGAGCATTATTTGTGGCTATAGAGTGGCGTTTGTGGAGACGAAGACCGCTGTGTATTGCTGTCGTGCGGTCGTGACTAAAGTTGGTATAAGTAGAGAAGCAAGCGGTCGGCAACATTCATCTCTGGAGGGGGGGTCTAACTCTGTGTTACGGCGTGTTTGACCCTAACTTGAATTTACACTGGAATATCCCTTTAAGTCAGTCTGTTGGTCGTCAAAACTACATGAGTAAAGTTTCAGATTTAAGGTAATTGTGTGTCGCAGTAATCCGAAAAAGTCACACTAAAATTAAGTGAGACCAAAATGAGATCTGCTTACATCATGACTTTACCGGTCAGTGAATCTCCCTAAAAAGGTAAAAAACAACTTTGTGTCATGACAACAGTGAAGGAAGCTTCTAGAACGCTGACAGGGCTTGAAGGGACAGTAGCTAAAATGAAGCAAAGTTTGTGACTCAAACGCTCAAACAGACGAACTCTTAATCCTCATATAAAGCAGAGTATTCAGTCTTTCAGAGTCTCTTTACTGTGTTATCGTCAACAGCTCGTTATCACACCAGCTCGTTATCTTCCTGCTGCGTCCTTATCAGAAACCGTTCTTTACATCCTCATCATAAACCTGCGACACACACCGGGATGTCAGCTTTTTTCCGGACTTAATTAATCAAGCATTCCCGACCACATTATTCCGGCATTAATGGAGAGATTTGCATAGTGCTGACGCTGTAATACCTGAGCCGGTACAATATTATCAGAGACCAGACTGAGATCACTGATCCCTGCAAGACAAAGAGTGGAGGCAAGGTCATTATTAAAGTTACGAGCCAGATTTATCGCCGCTAATTAATGCGACTTTTCAAGCCTTCTTTGGCAGGAACACGCAGGAGCCCGATTTATTATCCCCAGGCGTTTGAGGATTATATCAGCATAATAAGTCGTTGACATTACAATTTATTATCAACACTGATTAGCACCTGCATCTCTGCATACAGTTGGAAGTCATGAAAGATGTCGTTAAAGTCCAATTTGAATAATTTAGAGCAGAGTCAAGGTGAAGAGTAGGAAGCAGGGGGGGTCCGACCTCTCCTGGTTATTTATCTCTTATTGCCTCTTAAAGCTTCATTAACTGAGTCCAATTGAGAGATTTTCTGTTTCCGTCAGATTAACACGGTGACCTTGTTCTTGGTTCGGTTTACTCAGAGGTGTGTTGTTTGTGTAGAGCAGACATGTTTTCATTTTATCATTCACTCTTATTTCAAGAGAGCTGTTTGTTCTCAGAGAAGAGCAGGTTTTAGAGGCCTGTTGATGTGCTTTCTGAAAATTAAAGCCACTTACTGGAGCTTCAAGCTGACAGCTGTCATTGTTTTCAGCAGGACATTGTTTCTGTACTCATAAACCCCCACAATTATGATATTAGGAACGACAAACACTGGACAGAACAGCGTGGCTCGTACAGCTGAGGGCTTCTCTCAAACGCCCTCCGTCTCAGCACTTCAGCTGGATTTGTGTGCTCACATGGAGGGTAGGCCTCATGAAGTACCATCCCAAACTACTCAGCAGAGACTGGGACTTGGTAATAAAACCCAGGCAACAGCGAGTACAGCGTATATCAGTGTGGGCTTAACGACCATGTGAACACTCTGTCCTGTTCCCGGTTGAAGATGCTTCGTATCGATGCGACTCCCACAAAGAAGAGGAACAAAAACTGCTGAAAACGACAAACTCGGCTCCAAAACAGCTCAGAGGAGCTGCATCAGGTTTACAGAACATGTATACTCCATATTAATCACTGCAAGATACAGTCAGGATGTTTACACGACACTCAAGAAAAATGAATTATTCCTTACTCCGATAAAGATCAGACAACTGAAGTGCATGTAAACACCTTAGTCCGACTATAATCCAAGTTTGAGAACTCAAACTAAGACACCTAGATAATGTGATTGGAATCCGATTTTCTCTACCATGTAACCAGCGTAGTCGGAGTATGATCAGACAATGCTCACAGTGCGCGTGAGCCACGCCCCCGTAACCCTGGAACAAAAACACGAGGAGTAGCGTGCGTCTCCTCTTTAGAAAAAGTAGCGCGTCCATCATGTCGGACAAAAACAACGCTGTACGATGCTCCATCTTCTTGTTTCTCCAACATGCCCAGCAGCAGTTGTAGATACTTCTGACGTCTGACACCGACCTGCTGTTGTTGTTGTTGTTTTACAGGCAGATGTAGTGACAGCGGGGACAGCCAATCACATGTATGTAAGCGAGAAACCGGCAGCCAATGGAAGAGCGACATTTAGGTTAGAGGCGGGACTTCCAACAGAGACCGACTGTTAACCCTTTGTGTGCATTAATCATTGGTTGTGGTTGTTTTGATAGGGACTACACTGTAGCAGCTGATGATTGGTCGGGACGTGTCCCTAGCATTCTCTGTCAATTCTCCACCCTTGGATTACGCGTTACTGCCCGTCAATGCTGGTCAACTTTGCTCTCTTTTGGCGCGTCCCAGACCTGGAAACAAATACCAAGCTAAAGCGTAGAAATTTCACTGCCAACTAGTGTTTGGGTGAAGAATTGCACAGATAAAAATAGACTGTATAAAGAGACTGTAATGTCTTTTAGAGCCGCAGCTATCGAATATTTTAGTAATTGAGTATTCTACCGAATATTCTATCGATTACTCGAGTGATCGGACCCAAACGTCAGACTCACATACAGTTAGATTTCCTATAGTCCTGCAATGAAGGCCAGACTCGGAGAAATAGAGGCGACTCGTGGAACAAGCATTTGGTTAGCGGACTGCGATGCTCGTAAGAAAGCTAATTATGATGCTAACTTTTATCACGCCCCTAAAGACATTAGTGTCCGAGAGTTGAATAACTCCTTTTACCTGCTTCTGCTACGACTCCAGCAATGTTTTCCGCTTCACAAAACCTAAACAGCGCTTACTCCTCCTTCTACTGTGGTGACGTGAGCGCATTGTGTCACCTTCAAAAGAATCCGTGCGAAACAGTGACGATTTAAGGGCGGAGAAAATTCCTTTATCATTATTTGTAATCGAGGTATTTGAGGAATCGTTTCAGCCCTAATATCTTTGCTCGCCAGTGTTTGTTCCAGCCTTGAGTCTGAGCTGGTCTAGTTTGTGCAGCAGCAGTTAAATATACTTTCATTGTTACAAAGACGAAAAGAAGGGAGACGTCGGAGGAGACAACGGCAGAGATATCGAAAATATTTACGCTGAGAGTTGGAGCAGGTTGAACAGAGAAGCAGGGTGAGTGGCGTGGCTCCTAAAGAGGTTAAAAACAGCGCAGGAACACAAACACATCCACCTCTGAGCTCAGGATCATAACAGACATCAGTTCAATGTCTCAGGATGACAGGAAGGCCGGATACAACAAGCAACGAGTACTTTAAAAGCAAGATGAGGAGGTCAGTGCATGAAGAGGGAAAGAGCCACAAAAGAGATGATGCAGAGAAGAGAGAGCGAGGGAAGAAGAGGACGCTCGGCGCATGTTTCCATGGTCGACCAAGGCTGTTGGTGAAGCTTTAGAAAACCCAGAGTGGTCCTGAGGAGTCTGTTTACACCATCCCTCTAAGTGTGGATCATCTCAGAACAAACAACACGCTCATAAAAACAAACGTTTCTCTCTGCACACCCTGAGACCGACGCTGATTTTGTTGCTTTCTCGTCTATATCATCAACCGAAATTTGCCATCTGTGTTTCATTAGGCTCGTTGGAAAGGCTTTGATTGCGGTTTGTAAGAGATGACAGGAAGTTAAATCAACCCGTGGTCATGTGATGCGGTGAATAAAAAGCAGCTGTTTTCACGGAGCCTCTTGTTCAGGGAGGCGTGGAAGCTGATTGGATTTGTCTTGCGGCGTGTTGCTAAAACGGCGCCGACGGTCGCCTCGGGACACACGCCGAGCTTTCCGACATCAATCAGTGACAAACACGCAGGTATGTTTTAATCCAGGGAACTACAGCGAGGAGTAAAGCGGGCGGACAAACTTAGAGCTCATCGGAGTAAAAGTCTGACTTTAAAACACAGAGAGGGAGACAGACGCAGACAGGAGACGGTCATGAATATTTAACTGTGTCATCCCGGGGCCCAAGAGGTCAGAGGGTCAAATCCTCACAAGTCCTTCAGAAGTCAAAGAATTTACATAAAGTGAGTCATTATCCTCAGGACTCTCTGCTCTCTGTGTTAATGAAGAGCTCATATTTATAGATGTCCTTCAAAATCTGTTATCTTATATTTCGTGTTATTATTTCTACACCGAGAACACTTCTGGACACTTGACATTTATTTATTAAGTAGTCGGATCGCTGATGGTGCAACAAGCAGATGAACGTTTGTCGTAGACGCCCATCTTACTTTCTTACAAATCAGCTGAAATATACAGAATCTAGACGGTTGAAATTAGGTCTAAAAAAAACTTGTAAACCCAAAAGTCATCAAAACCAAAAGTAGGAGTCCCAACTTTTACAGTCCCCCAAAATGTCTAAAGGTATGGTCCTGATCCAGCCTAGTCCAACAAAAACTCGTCCTCCACAGTCCCAGAAAGGAAATGTCAGCAATGCAATGGGAAAAAAACCAAAGTAATCCAAAAGTAGCAGACTCACCAGTCCTTGGCATGCTCTCTCTGACCCTTCCTCACAGTTCCACCACTTCCTGGTCCAATGTCAGGGATGGTTGAGGATCACCTGCAGTTCCAGATGTGTCCTGGGTTTCCTCAGTCAGGATCAGAGAACCATCCAAATCTCTCCTCAAACATGTCCTCCTGCTCCTCCATTGTTCTCCTTCTGGCCCCTCCCCCCTTCTTCACACCTCTGCTCACCTGACTGCAGCAGGTCACCTGACCAGACCACACCCCAATCACACACACACACAACAGTACTGAAGAAGGGTGATCTTGGGGAGACCACCCAGATAATCCATAACAGAGACGTGTGATCCACGCGTGTCTGAAAAAGCTGCTCGTGTTTTAAATTAGAGGCCTGAGTAGATGATATTTAAACCTGCTAATGTTTGGTTGGCACTTTTTCTTTATTTTACTGAGGGATGGTTTTAATCAAAGCAGAGAAATATAAGAGGAATCAATCCTGGAGCAGCCAAAGGGAGTTTCAAATCGAGGTCGTCATGAGGAAGGAAAAAGTGACTTCTAGGCAGCAACTTTTCAACTCTGAAAGTTGGACTGATGGTGTAACCCGGCTGCTGCTGCTGCTGCTTTCAGAGAACTTTCCTCTGCTCAAATAAATCCCATATGAAGTCCCGTTTGAGCACCTGCACTCATACAGTCAGAGTCACACTCCACTACGATCAGAGCTCATAACTCTGCCAATTCACTCTGCTCTTTTCACTTTCCTCCCACACATAAGCGCTCGCCCGCCCGCCCGTCTGTCTGTGTCTGTGTGCCTTCCTAAAAGCAGCTTCATCATCAGCTCCGACTTCATCCAAACCCCGTTGTGATGGAGCACTTTATCGTCCCACACACACTAATGGAGGCAAAGAGAAAGAGATAGACGAGGACCAATTAGTTTCTATATGCCAGACCTAAACCCCAGAGAGTCCCAGGTCGTCTCCGAGTTTTCATTATGCAGAGGATCTCGTTCTCTCATGGAGCTAACTTCAGCTCAATTCAGGGAAAAAAACCTTCAAACTTCATCATTTTCTTCTTAAAGAGGAGGAAACTTTACCTGACAGAGTTTGGTTGAATTTATACCAGAGCTGGGACTCCATTAAAACGATTAATCTAATTAAAAAGAGGCTTTGTAATGAATTAATCGCAATTAATCGCATATAAATATTTGACCTGAGAACAGAGACAATCTTTTTTTTTAACGGTTTATGAGCGAATCAATGGATAGTGAACCAAATGAATACGGGTGAAGATTGGAGAGATTGTTAATTAGGATGAACCTTGTTTCTATGGCGATCATGGTCCTTTAGTGCGATCTCCACAAAGTGAAGAGAAAAAAGAACAGAAAAAATTTGTTCACCCTATCAGGTGCAGGGCTGCAAAAATATTGACCAATGGGAGCCATCCGTCCTGGACAGCTCCTATTGGTCAATCTCCTGCTCCGCCTCTCCATCATCCTGGAAAGTTTGTTCATTTTTCCGACATGAACTTACTCGTCTTAGCTCTGAATCCACTCGTCTGGTCGAGTGTGGGTTTGGTTTGGGTCGTGTACTTGGAGTCAGACTAACGCTAGCTTCCACACTAGCAGCAACATGTTTAGCATTCAGGTGATACCGCAGACTTGACGGGCTGCGTGGATTTGCAAATTCTTTTTGCCTTTCTTTTGGCCATCCACGCCGGAGCCGATCAAAGCACCTTCGATCAAATGCGATTAATTGCGATTAATTAATTACAAAGCCTCTGATTAATCAGACTTTCAGATTTTTTTAACCGAGTCCCAGCCCGAGTATGAATGCAACCAAACTCAGATGACATGTTGATTGGGTCTGGACCTGCTCTTTCTTTGGGATGACGACTGTTGTGAATTGGCGCTATGACATTCATCCGCGACTCACACACATTGGGGTGCGCCAGTATAAGCGGTATTCCTGAAACTCTTTCAGTGGGAAACGTTCCACAGTGCAAAAAAACAGGAGGTGTGATTAATATGGTTTAATATTCATAACAAGAAACATCACTGTAATTAATTAATCACAATTAACTTGTTAAAGTCCCGTTCTAACTCATACCTCTCTCTGTTCCCTGTCCTCACTCTTGAATGATATGTGATTCGTGTTGTTTCTAGATGGATCCTGGTCTCTTTCTCTGGATAATGGTGTTGATGAACATGTTTGCAGGCAGATCAAACCGGAGCGACAACAGTCCCCTGACCTGTTGCTCTCTGTGCATCCTTACTGTACACAGATAATTGACACGCCGCATCAGTAACAACATCCGACGTCTCCCAGCGCCCTGAAAGCATTTCATCTCCCTTTGATTTTCTTTCCTCGCAGCGAGAAGACAAGAGATGAATTAATGAAAAACAGCACCAGAGCTAAAAATGGAACATGATTGACGCACGTGTGCACGCAGTCAGACAAGATGTAACCTTCAGAGCCGAGTAAACAGGAAACTAAGCGGCTAAATGAAATGTTTGCTGCTGTTTCAGAAACTTCTCATCCCTCCTCTCCCTTCAGTCTCTCTCACATTATAGCGTGTGTGGTACACGGCTTTATGTGCCCTTCTTGAATTAAACAAGCAGCTACAACAATAGATCAAACTCTCGCTGTTATAAATCACCGCTTAAATATTTATGACCTGGAATGCAGACCATCTATTTTATACTTCTGGATTATTTTTGCTGCACCCAGCGGTAGTTTGTGCATTTTTTTAAAAACTCCAGTAAGAACATAAAACGATCATAAAAGTGTTAAAACAGTTATTTGATTTGAGGGTTTTTGGCTGTAATGCATGTCAGGAGTTTAGACCTAATTAAAGGTGGGCTGGAATCTGTTAAAGAAGCATCTTTTGTTGTGGTTTATAAACAAAAAATCTTCTAATATCAGTCAATAGTTATTAGTTATTGATGACATTTGGTAATATATCGATATCTCTGTGTTCTCTTATGTCTGTGTCGTCAACATTTGAACATTTTTGAGCGGTCCGCTCTTTCTGACTGTAAACAAAGCCGTTCTCCACCTCCTCTAACCTGATTGGTTGTGAGGCAGACGCTGCTCCCCCGTGTCGTTCAGGAGCCCAAACAAAGTTAGCTTGAAACAGAGTTCATAAGTTCTTCCTCTAAACTCTGACGATGATGATGACGATGATTTTCCCTCTTTTTTCACAAACAGCTCAGTTATTTCTGTCTGTGCAGGACCGAAGGACGTTTCTCAGTTCCACCTTAAAAAGAGCGAGTGAAGAAGAAGAGGAGGAGGAGGAGAAGGAGGAGACACGCGGTTGTGAGGTGACTTTGTAGGTTTTTTTTCTTCACCACAAACCCGAGTCCTACTTCCACGCTCGACTCCTTGCTGTTGGGTTTATGATATGTTCTGGGTGAGTTCCAGCGCCCCGCTCACCCCTCTCTCCTCCCCCTATACCTCCCTCTCTCCATCTGTTATTCAGATGAAATATTGGAGAAACATTGTTCTCCATATAACCCAGAATAGACCTGGCCTACTAAAACGGCCCCGTCTTCACCTTCCCTCCGGAGCCTTCACCAAAAATACCTCCAATGAAAAAAAAAAAAAACCTTCTTCCTGAAGTTTTCTTTGACTCTCAGAATTATCTGACTTGAAATAACCAGGAAGTGATTGTTATTGTGTACAAGTTCTTCAAAAAGGAGCTTTTCTGTCTGTTTCAGTTCAGCTCCGTTCAGTAAGGATGGAGTCATTTTTGGAGAAGTGGTCTTCATAGTATAAAAAAGGACTGCTTCATGCAAACAATTCAATAATAAGAAATGAGAAACAAAACTGGGAGAAATATCGAAACAAAGGACTTTAGTTTCCGTTCTGCCATTTTAAATTATTAAAGTAGGGAAAATAAAAAATACCAGGTAAAAAAGAGAGAGACAGAGAAAGTCTGTTTTTATTCAAAATGGTCAGGTAACAATTTTAGATTTACGGACATCCAGGATGGAAAAAGAAAAGAACAGTTATTATTTATAAAGGATGGTAAATTCTGCCGTCTTGAAGCCGGTTAGATCAAAATACCAATAATCATCCTGATTATAGAGCTGACCGAATACTCATCGTTGGTGTTGTTGGTGAGGCTGTTTCACGTTTTAGCGGTTTTAAGTCCTTCTTCACTTATTTTACTGACTGGTCTCTCCGTGTAAAGAAACACACAACCATGTGACAGCCATGTTTTTATCAGGACAACCTGGAGCCATAAGATCCCCAAGCGTCCCCCATCGTTTATGTTGACCCGGCTTTTTAGCTCTTGTCCGGTCTACCTCCGTTTTAAGCGCCCGTTATTCCTCCAGAGTCTCCGGTATTTACTTTGTTTTCTTGCTTGTGTCGGCAGTCGTGGCCAAAGGAGGATTCAGACAATTTTCCGAACTTTCTGGTTGGTTTCTACTGTCCGATATTGTAGCACGCTAACTTTGTTTGGGCTCCTGAACGACACGGGGGAGCAGCATTTTCTTGTTGACTGTTTTCTTGTTGCCTGTTTTGGTGTGGACTGTTTTCTTGTTGACTGTTTTCTTGCTGACTGTTTTCTTGTTGACTGTTTTTTTGCTGACTGTTTTCTTGCTGACTGTTTTCTTGCTGACTGTTTTCTTGTTGACTGTTTTTTGTTGACTGTTTTTTGCTGACTGTTTTCTTGTTGACTGTTTTTTGTCGACTGTTTTGGTGTTGACTGTTTATGGTCGACTGTTTTTTGCTGACTGTTTTTTGCTGACTGTTTTCTTGCTGACTGTTTTTTGTTGACTGTTTTGGTGTTGACCATTTTCTTGTTGACCAGTTTGGTGTTGACTGTTTTCTTGCTGACTGTTTTCTTGCTAACTGTTTTCTTGTTGACTGTTTTCTTGCTGACTGTTTTGGTGTTGACTGTTTTGGTGTTGACTGTTTATGGTCGACTGTTTTTTGCTGACTGTTTTCTTGTTGACTGATTATGGTTGACTGTTTTCTTGCTGACTGTTTTCTTGCTGACTGTTTTCTTGTTGACTGTTTTCTTGCTGACTGTTTTCTTGCTGACTGTTTTGGTGTTGACTGTTTATGGTCGACTGTTTTTTGCTGACTGTTTTCTTGTTGACTGATTATGGTTGACTGTTTTCTTGCTGACTGTTTTCTTGTTGACTGTTTTCTTGTTGACTGTTTTTTGTTGACTGTTTTGGTGTTGACCGTTTTCCTGTTGACAGTTTTCTTGCTGACTGTTTTCTTGCTGACTGTTTATGTTTGAGTGTTTTCTTGCTTGTGTCGGCAGTCGTGGCCAAAGGAGGATTCAGACAATTTTCCGAACTTTCTGGTTGGTTTCTACTGTCCGATATTGTAGCACGCTAACTTTGTTTGGGCTCCTGAACGACACGGGGGAGCAGCGTCTGCCTCACAACCAATCAGGTTAGAGGAGGTGGAGAACGGCTTTGTTTACAGTCAGAAAGAGCGGACCGCTCAAAAATGTTCAAATGTCGACGACACAGACATAAGAGAACACAGCAATAATGTTATATTCCTGTTATTTCTATAACTGATTCCTGCCTACCCCACCTTTAAATGCCACTTTAACCAGGTACGACATGTTCTGGATCAGTATTCTGACAAACCCCGGGTCACACGTTGACACCTCCTCGGACTGAACAGCAGCAGCAGCTCAGTGTGCACCGTTGCAGCTCCTGCACAAGCGCAAAGGTGCGAGGAGGGCCGACTCGTCTCCTCATATGTGTTCAGAACAATAAGGCCACGCCGTCCTCTTTATGACTCCTGACTCTGACACACACACTCATACACACTCATACATATTCACCACCGACAGGCCTCGTATAGAAGCAGCAGACCTAATCTGTGCCACACACTGTTGGGTGAAACACGGCATGAAAGATGCATGCATGACATTTGGAGCGAGGTTACACTCCAGCAGGGACCGACTCTGTTCAGATTGGTTGGTTGTTGTGTTTTAAAAGTCGTCGATTTGAGCCGGAGAGCGGCTGCAGAGTTTGAATGTGAAGTGAAGGTTGTGTATCGGTCTGAAAAGAATGGAGTTCTATCAGGCCGGCTCAGACGGGTCTGACTGCAGCGGCGGGGTTATTTTGTGGTTTCTAACGAGGTTTTGCTGAGTGATGAAGGTCAGGCTGTATCTTCTCTGTGGAGCTTTATCTCTGAATTGCAAATGGAAATGACTGTGGAATTAAGGTCACCCTGTGGGACCATTATAATGTGCTGTAATGTTAAAATAAATTGAGTCCTCTCCACAAGAACCCAAATTTGTTTCCCTGTGGGATTGAATCCATTATTTATTTTCATTCAAATATTATTTCTCAGATATCGTCAGCAGCTGGCAGGAAGAAAACTCTGGTTATCAGAGTTTTTGTATCACAGCTCAGACAAAAGAGACTCTAGACTGGAACAGGTATTGTGGAAATCACTGGGACCAGTTTTAAAGCTACGTCTGCTGGTGCAAAAAGCAGCGATTCTATTTTCTTATGTTAGCATGTTATTCAGGCTTTACATGCTTTTATTTTAAGAAAAACGCTGCTGATGTTAACTCCCTAATCTTTTTGATTATTTGTGCTTTTGGTTTCTTCATTATTATTATTATTATTATTATTATTATTATTATTATTATTATTAACTGAGAAGTACTATGAATGTACTAAAGGGATAAAGTGATTTAACTCCAGAATTGAGTTAGCAATAATTTATTTAAAGCTTCTGTCTGGAGTTTGGCACCCCCTGGTGGACAAACTTATACCTCTATATCCTTCTAGTAGGCCATGTGGCTTGTGTGTCCACATGGCTCACAGGATAAGAACATTGACTGGGACTCCTGACGTCATGGATTCAAACCTTATTCAGGATGAATTTTAAAGTCCAGGAGCAAAAGTACCAAGATAAAATCACGTAGAGCTCATGCCCAACTGTGGATGGTCTCCGGTGGCGCAGTGTGGTAGACATCTACACCCTAATGTGAGCCATATGTTCTGGTTGAAGACCGGCTCCTGGTTCGAAACCCGCTCAGCCCAGGGGTGGGGGGTTACCCCCCCGGTGTTTCCAGAGAGATAAAATAGGGGGGTTATGCTACAGGAAGTCAGAGCAGGCTGAACTTTAGAGTAACGATGGGGAAAAGGGTTTATGGGGGGATTATAGGGGGGGCGGCGGATGGACGGGGGCTGAGCAGCGGACGTCCCCAATAATGCGGAAGGAAAGGGTCCCAAACGGACCGGACAGATAAATGTATGTTTTTTTTTCTCTCTTGTAGGCCTGCACGATTTACGTGTGTGCGATAGTCACATCTCAGAGCCTACAATGTCGGAGGTGAATGAACTCAGTCAATTTCAAGGGTAGCTGACTGAGAAACACTGCATGTGACTCTGCATGTGCTTTGCAGCGATCCACCAATCACCTTTGTCCTTTACTCAGTTGCCAATCAGACTACCCTGCCAGCTGTCAATCAAAATCAGAGAGGAGGAAACCCACCCCTGCACATGTTCTGCACATGGAGTGAGACGAGTGTCCGCTGAGAATTATTTATGGAACTTCACTGACTGTTAAGCCCAACAAATAAGAACTGTATGGGTTTTAAATTGTACACTTCCGTGGACCACTCTACTATAAGCGGTGCGCGTTTTGCGAGGTGCATGCAATTCTCGGAGGACATGCGTTTCTCGGCACAACACCGCTAACAACAACAACAACAACGACGATTGCAGAATGAGCAACGAACAAGAGAAAACCACCGAAAACGAAGATTTGTTGCCAAAAAGAAAATGTAAATGGAATCAGAAATTGTAATCAAGCATCTAATGACATATTTGAAAAACTCGGGGCTACTGGAGAGGATCTAATTCCTTTTTTTTTTTTTTTTTTTTTAATTAATTTATCAATTTTTTCTGTCTACCAATTTACTGCTCCACACTCCAGTCCAGTAGGTGGCGGTAATGCACCTTCTCGTTGGTTTGCCAACCGCCAATAAACACCTTTGAAGAAGAAGAAATGAGACACAGCCATGGTTCCTTTTACCTGTGGTTGCAGGGGGGCCGTAATTAGTGTAACACCTGAAGACGGACATGGCGGAGCTGCTGCTGTTCCGGTAAGACGCCGGTTAAAGTTAGATCTTTAAAAGTTTATTTAACTTTTTCTAAACTTTAACAGAGAGTAAAAGTGGCTTTTATGAACACGTGTTTGAGTTTTTAACGTCTGTGTTTGTCGGTAAACTGACCGTAAATAATGTCGAGGATGGCGGATGGAGGAAGAGAAACCGAACCTCTGTCTGTGAGTGTGAGAGTTTATCCGGTGAGTCTCTTCAGAGGGACGTTAGGATGTTAAAAAGGTTATTTTAAAGTTTTTTGAACATAAAGAAAGACTGAAGCAGTTTTATAGATTAAAGTGAGGATATTTACACCTTTATTCACAGTATTCAGTGTGACAACAGGTGAGTGTAATATTTTATTTCAAAGTTTGTGAGTTTAAAAGCAGTTATTCACAGTTTTTAATTAGTTTTAAACAAGTATATTGTGGGATTGAGTGAGTGCTTGCCTCTAGGACTGCTCATTAATTAAAACTATAACTAAAAATGTTTGATTGATATTGATAAAAGCTAAAAACGTATTTTTTAAAAACTACAAAAGGTGTAAAAGAAGAGTTTCTCCTAAAATCAATCATTTTCTTTCTGTTAAACTGGATAACAACATTTTTTTAAAGGTAACTTAAACCATAACTCTAAAAGACCACACATCACTTTCTTACTTAATCTTAAGAGCTTTGGCTTCATCATCTGGACTCAGCCTCATGTCCACCATCTTAGTGTGCGGGTGTGTTGGTGTGTGTGTGTGTTTATCCCTGTCTCTGTGTGTGCGTGTGTATATGGGATAGTTTTTGTTCTAAACAAACTGTAAAGTATTTTGTGCTACATTCTTTGTAGGAAAAGCACTTTATAAATAAAGTTTGATTGTTGTATTTTGGAGATAATGCGCACTAAATCAAATGTCTGATTTCACTTGTAGTAAAGTATTTTGTACTTTGACATAATGTCGAGACTTGGGTTGATATTTGAAACGATGTTTCTCACATTTTTATGGTCCAGCAGTCAGAACTGTGTTTGCGCTCGTTCCGTCCTTCAGCTTTTCAGACTCACACACAGACACACACACTCTCCTCCCTCCTCCTCCTCTCTCCTCTCCCTGCTCTCCTCTCTCCACCTGTGCTTGTTTGATTGTTTGTGCTGCTATAACACAATAAGAACTCCCTTGTGTTTCCAGACTTTGTTTCTGGTTGATCTGAGCTGTTTATGATGAAGTGAAAGTGAATCTGTTTGAGGGGGACGGATCTATTCACCACTGTGTGTGTTTCTGCATCAATGTGCGGCTTTGTTTGCTCATTAAAGCACATTTTAATCCTTGTACTGACACAATATTTATTTTCAAGCAGACATACAGAGTGTCAAGGCTCTAAATCCATAAGACCTGCCCCTAAGTAACCATATTAACGCAATAAAAAAGGAGAGTGGAGCTGTAGGGATGTAAAACAGGTTGAAATGGGCACACTCTGGCATGTTTTAATGGATGGAGCCATCACAGAGAGGAGCAGAAGGAAAGAAGAAAACTGAACACTCAGCATCGGTTAAATGAACCTTTTTAGACGGCAGCTACCGCCAGCCAGGAAATAGCAGCCACTTAAATCCTGCAATCTGGCGACTCTGAAAAGATGTGTCCATTCCATTACAGCAATGACCAATAGACAGGCCCACCCACTCATACATCTCTCTATGATGGCCCAATTAAAGTAATGCTTTCGGCCCTAATGTGCTGCCTTTGCTATATTGCAAAATGAAACAATAAAACAAGAATAACGTGTTTTTGTCTCAGACAAACAAATCTTTTGCTTGGCTCCAGATCGCTTCAGTTCAGCCAAGTACTTGTTGACTGCCAGTGAATCGGTAGCTTGAAGGCCAACGTAAACATAAAACTTGAAAAGTAGGACCCGCAGGCCTCCAGCGTTTACAAGCCAGCGCTGAAACAAAGAAAAAAGAGAAGAAATGAATAATAAACTGTTGGACAGATGGAGCCTTTGTCCTGCCAGAGCTCCACGTTTTACTACAAGCCTGCTGCTGAACTTGGACTTCCCCCTCTGAGGGGGTTTGGAAAGTCAAAAGTGGGTTTCTGTCAGCTGTAATAAAGTTGATTTGGTAACTACTGAGAAGGCGAACACTATTAGTCTTTGGTTGTTTATGTGTTTTATTGTACGGTATAAACTTTTCAGATATTTAATCATTTAAACGGTGTTGTTCAGATATGGCTTTGGCCCAGGTTTGTTTCCTGCCAGCTGCATGGATTCATTAACTATCAGCCATTTTTTCATGATTAAGGGTGTAAATGTGAGAAAGGTTCAGCCATTTTTAAATTAATTCTAGGTTTTTTTCTACACGGACAGTTATGAGACCAGGACGGCTCAAATGGAAACCTCCCGGGTAATCAGCCCAATCACAGCGCCCCCACAGCGCTGATATTTGACTCTGACAGATCCAGATTGGTATTCAGAGACTGACAGTATAGCAGATAGTTTCCCTTCTGCAGAAATAATATTTTGAAGTTATGACCTTTTATATCGTCTCTTTTTTAAAGGTCAGTTCAATGATGTTTTCAGCTGTTTAAACAGGACCTAGTTCTCTTTAAAGAAACTTCTGAATTCTGTTTGGAGGATCTGTAGCCTAGTTAGGGTTGTGGTGATAACAAGGTGCCGCTCTGACTGACAGTAAACCAGATAATGTATAGTGAACAGGTAGTTATGTATGTTAGATTCCCTTCTTAGTCTCATCTTGTCGAGATTCCAGTTTCCATAGCTGCCAGTACACTTTATTATCTCTTTGTTTATAAATGCAGATATTCTGTTTTTTAGTGATTTTCTCTTTATTTTATTTTTGGTCCCTTAAAGATGGAGTAGGCAGGATTCCGTTAAAGAAGCATCTTTTTTTGTGGTGTTTAGATAAAAAATCTTTTAATATCAGTCAATACTTACTAGTTATTGATGACATTTGGTAATATATCGATATCTCTGTGTTCTCTTATGTCTGTGTCGTCAACATTTGAACATTTTTGAGCGGTCCGCTCTTTCTGACTGTAAACAAAGCCGTTCTCCACCTCCTCTAACCTGATTGGTTGTGAGGCAGACGCTGCTCCCCCGTGTCGTTCAGGAGCCCAAACAAAGTTAGCGTGCTACAATATCGGACAGTAGAAACCAACCAGAAAGTTCGGAAAATTGTCTGAATCCTCCTTTGGCCACGACTGCCGACACAAGCAAGAAAACACTCACACATAAACAGTCAGCAAGAAAACAGTCAACCATAATCAGTCAACAAGAAAACAGACAACACCAAAACAGTCAGCAAAAAACAGTCAACACCAAAACAGTCAACAAGAAAACAGTCAAAACCAAAACAGTCAACCATAAACAGTCAACACCAAAACAGTCAACAAGAAAACAGTCAGCAAAAACAGTCAGCAAGAAAACAGTCAGCAAGAAAACAGTCAACAAGAAAACAGTCAGCAAGAAAACAGTCAACCATAATCAGTCAACAAGAAAACAGACAACACCAAAACAGTCAACAAGAAAACAGTCAACAAGAAAACAGTCAACCATAAACAGTCAACACCAAAACAGTCAACAAGAAAACAGTCAGCAAAAACAGTCAGCAAGAAAACAGTCAGCAAGAAAACAGTCAGCAAGAAAACAGTCAGCAAAAACAGTCAGCAAGAAAACAGTCAACAAGAAAACAGTCAGCAAAAACAGTCAGCAAGAAAACAGTCAACAAGAAAACAGTCAGCAAAAACAGTCAACAAGAAAACAGTCAACAAGAAAACGCTGCTCCCCCGTGTCGTTCAGGAGCCCAAACAAAGTTAGCGTGCTACAATATCGGACAGTAGAAACCAACCAGAAAGTTCGGAAAATTGTCTGAATCCTCCTTTGGCCACGACTGCCGACACAAGCAAGAAAACAAATTAAATACCGGAGACTCTGGAGGAATAACGGGTGCTTAAAACGGAGGTAGACCGGACAAGAGCTAAAAAGCCGGGTCAACATAAACCATGGGGGACGCTTGGGGATCTTGGTGACCCTGTAACCTTTCTGCTGGACAGGTAAACCACTTTAACAAAGTAAGACAAGTGTCTGTAACAGAAGTGTTTCTTGTCAAACGGACCTGCTGTAGCGTGTTGTAGCGCCATCGCTAAACTGTCCTCCCTCGGGTCCTGGACTATGTCACTTTATCCTCGTTGTAGAAGTCCTGCAAACATTGTGTTTGCTGGTAGTCTGTTGGCATCTACAGTAGCACCAATGCTTTTGACTTTCACCTTGACTGGGCCCCATTCCTCAGAACTGGACCTTCCTCAGATCCGGACTACCCCACCTTTAACCAAAAAACAAAAAACTTTGAGTTCATTTCCCTTCATATCCAAGTTTCCAGAACACCTCAGCTTTCAGACTGTAGGAGCTGAGATCAAACCACCTCTGAGCCACAGCAGCCCTGATAAAACTTGTATTTTACCTTCAGTAGAAAGGTCCGTTTCTGTTGTGGGCCCCCTTTGATGCCTCCCAGTTTTTTCCTGGACTACTTAGCATTCACTAGAGCTGAAGTAAAGCACAAATATTCGATCTTCTTTTGTTTGGAAACCATTCACACTCCCAAATATTTCAAAATACGGCCAGATTTAACAAGATCAGACTTTCTCTGTAAGCCTTGGATGTTGAGTGAAGGATGCTCAGCTTTTCTGTGAGAGAATACAAATATTTGAAAGACTGAGCAAAAAAAATGAGACGGGAAGGTTTTTTTTCCAAAAACATTGTGCATCACCATGTCAAGGACTACTAACAAAGACCGCAAAAACACACATATATAGGGGTTATCATTAAAAGAATTCATATAAATTGTACCTTTAAAAAAAACATACAGCACAAGGTGACCGTCCTCTTCCATATCGACACACTGCGACCTTTCTGAAGAGTCTCAGTGCGTCATTCATATCCAAGTACCTCCAGATTTAATGTGCAGCTCATATGGGAAATGTAAAAGCAGCTGAACAAACACAGAGTCAGTTCCTGCTGTAAGTATCACTCTGTTCGGCTGCTCTTCATACGTACATTACAGCTGATATATAGGAAAACCACAGGGACATGTGTAGGGGCTAAAAGCCTGCAGTTACAGCAGTACGCAGTATCCATAGCAATATGGACGATCTTCACTCTATGAGAGAACTAATAACCTGTTTGTATAACCTCAGTCTGTCTTGGAAAAGCAGAATAAATGCATGAAAGAGGACGGAGCGCTTCACTGTGAAACAACAAAAAGGAGAAACGTCTAAAACGACTCTTTGGGATTGTTGTTCAAATTAACTCTTGATTAGAGTTTAGAGTTAGATTAGTGTTCGACAGAAGCTGCAGGATTTGGGGTTTCATAATATAATTATATATATGATATTATATATTTTCAAAATATAACACTGTGTTCCAGCAAGGACTGAAGCCAATTGATAGTCATTTAAAAAAGTAAACGACACACATTTTTTTGGTTTAACTTTTTCTCCGAAATCTGAGTTTAAAGCCAGAATCATAAATTAAAATGGAATTCTGAGATTAAATTCAGAATCCTGATATTTGATTCAAAATTCTGAATTTCAAGTCAGAATTCTGAGATCAATGAGAGATTAATGAGATCAATGAGATTTATGAGATTAACGAGATTAAAGTCAACAATCTGAGATTTAAAATACAATAAAATACGAGAATTTTATTCATCACTAAAGAGAAATTGATGTTTGTCAGATTTTTGACATCAAAGTGAATAATGAGGTTAAAATAAAAATTCTCGGATGAAGTCCAACTTCTGATTAAAAAAAAAGAGAGATTAATGTGATTTTGCTGAGATTAAGGTCAGATTTATCAGTTTAAAGCATAAAGTTTAACAGTCAGACTTTGGATCTAGAATTCTGAGATTTAATTTAGAATTTGGGATTGAATCAGAATTATCAAATGGGATTAAAGTCAGAACTCTAAAATTTAATCAGACTTCAGATTTTAAAGTCGGTCAGGATTTTTACATAAAATTCAAAAAAATTCAAATTTCTGACTTTTTTCGAAATTTCTGGCTCTTCAGTGCAGAAATTTGTCATCAAATCAAGACGTGACTTTTTTTCCCCCTGAATTTTTACTGAAAACTGAATTCTGACTTCTAATTTAGAATTTGTAACAGCCAGTTGAATGAATGCTTTATTTCTGCAGTACCAAACAGCGCCACAAGGTGATTCCACATTTCAATTTTAATACATGATTTTAACACTAACCCCCAGAGACTCCATGTTTTGACCAAACAGGATGGTCATCAGTGACGACCTGGTGCAGGTTGTTTGATGTGTCTGACTGACAGATGTTTTTCTGTCAGTCAGTTTTCTCAGAGATACTCTCTATAAGAAGAGCGATAAGATATATGGACCATCTCGCGCTGTGATATCTGGAGGCGCACAAACATGTTAGCTAAGCCAATGAACGTAAACTGTTGCGTCATCAAGGCGCTCTCTCTCTCTCTCTCTTTTCTCTGTTGGTTTGTTGGTGTTTGTTTCACCTCAGCCTTTAAATCCCCACATGAAGCCGTTTTCCTCTCTAATTCATCCAAATGTTGTTATATAATCTTTTATAATTGACTCTACCGTAATAAACTGCAGATGTATTCTGCTTTCTAAATGAATTACACGACACATGTTGCGTTTTTTAAATGTATTACATAAACATTTGCATAGCTTCAGCGCTCTGGAGGTATGCTTGTTATTTACAGCCTCCATATCAATGCATAATTATGTACCCACAATGCAGTTCAGCTGATGCAACACTGACTCAATGGCTGTCTGTCAATAACCTCCGCGGCGTTCACAGGCTTCTGCCTTTCGTGGCCGTAGGTTGAGCTCCGTCTCCGTGCTCTCCGTGCTCGCGGCGCCTCTCTGCCTCGCCGTTATCAGTCAGTTATTCTCTAATCTCTGAGTCCAGGAGCAGCTTTGGTCTGCCTCCATGTGGCACAGAGCTGAGGTGGCATCTGGCCCTTTATCACAGCACGGATCCCTGGCCAGGTTACACACTCACGCACAGACAGACTGCAGCAGCACCTGCACTCCTGCAGGCACGAGCCAGATTACACAGCGAGTGGAGGATACACACAAGCTGTATGAAATGTACACAGAGACAAACAAGCTCCTGAAGCATCAACATGAGTCGCACAGAGCAAATACCAGCATCAGTGCGTGTGCAGATTGTCCGAAACCTGACAGAACACATGTACCGACAGAAATGACGCTCACAGTCTTGATTTCACGCACAGTCTGTTTAAAATCTTCTCCTGCAGCTCCGTCTCGTCCTCTCGCTCCATCAAAGGTTTATTTAGCATTTCATGGAAAGGCTACAGCTGTTGGGAGTCCAGCGCAGCCTGCCGGTGTCACCTCCGTCATTCTGAGCAGCTTCACATTTTTCATTCAAAGCGTGGCGGCGCTCTTCATGTCCCGCTCAGAAGCCACTTCCTCTGACAGTCCTTTTGTTGGGATGTTGAGTCGAATACTAACTCTTGAGTCGTTTGGTCCAAACAAAGAGTGAAACTGTTCTTCTCTTTTTATCGCTCTGACATGTGGAGATGGTTCAACAGGGACGTTTTGAAATCATCTCATAATAAAACTTAAATTTTCTGCATTTGAAGAACTTCTGCTCTTATAACCTGCAGAGTTCAGAGTTGTATTGTTGTGTTGTGTAACACAAACAGCTCATTATCTGCAGGAACAGAAATAATAACAGTATTGTGCACATGTAGACGCTCTTGCTTTGTGTGATAAATCACTTTTGGCTGCATCTCCCTGTTTACTCTGCAATAACCGAAGAAAATCACGTCTCTCACAGCCCATTTCTGCAGCAGGAGCTCGAGTCACACGAACTGTTGGTTAGCAGGTTATATCACCGAGATTAAAGGGATATTCCGGCGTAAAGTTAATTTAGGGTCAAACACACAGTAACACTGAGTTAGACCCCCCCTCCAGAGATGAATGTTGTCGACCGCTTGCTTCTCTAGTTTTACCAACTTTAGTAACGACCACAGGATAGTAATACAGAGAGCCACGCGCTCAACCAAAACGCCACTCTATAGCCACAAATAATGTTCAGAACAGCACCTAACTTCATCAACAGGACATATAGGGTCACAGACATAGTACTAGACACCAAACATCTTTTTAACTTTGACTCATTTCTTTAGCAAAGAGATTAAATACAATTCACCTACGCTCCTCCAGCAGACGCTTGTTTGTAGGGAGACCTCAGGCCAGTCCATTACGGACTACAGCGGGGTGCCGCAGCTCAAGGAACAACATTTGTGATAATTTCTTTATCATTTCCTTGAAGTTCATATTTCAAGGAAAGTATTTGGTCTGAAGAACCTCCTGTTTATATTTTTAAAAGTAAACTAAAGACCTCCCTTTTTAGTCTGGCTTTTAATCTGCATTATGTGATTTTACGCTGTTTTAGTCCTAGAGTAATTATTTTGTGTTTTATTACCTCTTTTTTGAATTTACTCTCTTTTATTGTTTGATTTTAAGACTTTTATTTAATTAACTTTTAACGCTTTATCACCTTTATTATATTTTATCTTGGTTGCTCATCTTTTTTAACTCAAGGTAGCGTTCCCTCAGTCATCTGTGGCAAGTTGACGAGTTCTGGTCTTTTGTGTGTGCATCAGTGTGTGTGAGTGCTGTATGTGTTGAATGGGGACTGGGAGGCTGGGTGGGGTTTGGTATTGGTATTTGTATTTGTATTTATTTTATTTCATTGTTTTTTTTTTTTTAATATCCTGCATGAATGGACAGCACTTTGTGCTTCATTCCATGTGTGAAAAGTGCTTTAAAATGAGGTTTGATTGATTGAAGGAATATTTATCATATTAATCATTTTACAGACGCGGTAGTTCTTCTGTCTTAGCGTCTCGGTCTGATTGTATTTCCATGAAGAAATGATCATAAATGTTCTTCCTTGAGCTGCGGCACCCCGCTGCAGTCCGTAATGGACTGCTGGAAGAGAGTAGGCGAGTTGTGTTTAGTCTCTTTGCTAAAGAAATGAGTCAAAGTTAAAAAGATGTTTGGTGTCTAGTACTATGTCTGTGACCCTATATGTCCTGTTGATGAAGTTAGGTGCTGTTCTGAGCATTATTTGTGGCTATAGAGTTGCGTTTTGGTTGAGGGCGTGGCTCTCTTTATTGCTATCCTGCGGTCGTTACTAAAGTTGGTATAACTAGAGAAGCAAGAAGTCGGCAACATTCATCTCTGGAGGGGGGGTCTAACTCTGTGTTTCGGTGTGTTCGACCTTAAAATAATTTTACGCCGGAATCTCCCTTTAATGCAGCAGATATAACAGTTATGTGATGATCTCATTTACCTCAAAACAAAGCTATAAGGTTGGTTGACACTGAACTCAGACGTCCTCACTAACTGGTTGGAAACAGACTCGGTGGATGTCTGCTGAGATGGAGCTGAGATGGAGGCGTCTTTAAATCCACATCCTCCTTGTAAACAAGTTTGAAGAGGCTGACATAAATATTTCCTCTGAGGCGTTGGCTCGTTTTCTTCTTCTTTTCTTTACAATCAATCCCTGTAGCCGGGTCTGGACTTATCACAAGGACTGCCTGGTATAATGGATGAGACAGGAACTGAATCATCCAGCGGTCTAATGTACTATCAATTACTTGATTTGTGCCCGCTCTCGGTCAGATGCACTGATACAGCGCGAGCTGTGAGTGAAAGCTCCTTTGTTCAGACTGTCGATAGAGCTCAGCTGGAGGCCAAACTGGCATCACTAATCTGCATAATGTATGTGGAGAGGTAGGACAGGAGACACACTGTGTGGAGCAGCTCATTAATCAGAACCAATAATCTACTGTATCATCAATAAGTTTACTGCTGACTGGTCTGAGCCTGATCTATTGGAGCAGCGAGTTTCCTCCTTTCTGTCTAATGGGTGGGCAATGTGTGTGTGTGTGTGTGAGATAGTGTGTCTCAGTGTGAAGGAAGTACACAGTGAAAGGACCTGTCCATTAGAGTCTGGTTTCTATCACTGCTCTGGATTCATGTTCTTATTTTATCGAGTTATTCTCTGATTTAGCCGTAGAGGGAAAAGACTTAGGGCCTGTGCACATCAGCAGCTTTTCTGCACTGGCAGCTCCACAACCTCGATATAAGGGCTTTTTTCACTGAATCTAACTCAGGAAGTGAACATGTTCTTCAAAAAATCTATTTACGTTAAAGAGTTTACACGCAGCGCTTTGACCAGTGGGTGTTTAATCATGAAAATGTGCTGCTGGGATGTAAACAAACGTAAACGGACGGTGGAGACGGTATTTTTAGTGTTTGACAAAAGTTGATTCGCCACTTTCTAACATGTTTTGTTGATTTGGTGATTGATATCAAGCAGGACTCGACAGTGCGACCATTTCACTCACATTTGCGACTAAAAATAGATGAGCGCAAATTGTAAAATGTCTCCAGGGGCACGTGTGCGCATAAAAAAATCAGCCGAGGCTACAAGTTTTAGGTTGGATATTCTGCCGATCTACCGGTGTCTTCTCACTCTCCATAACCGGGAATAACAACAGCAGCGCGGTTAAATCTACTCGGCACCCTCACTGTCAACGTCGGTGTTGAATAAGGGACCGTCAATAAATTACTGGTTGATGTTCTCAGAAAAGGCTGTTTTCCTTCAAAAGCTTCCATGTCATGTGACCAAAAGACCTAAAACTGATTTTAAATAATTGTACTTATGTCGACCAATAAGACAAACATTATTTGATCAATTTTCATCGTGCCCCTAAAGTTCTTTACTTTTTCAACTTAAGAGAACATGCTCCTTATGAAAATAGTTATCATCAAGCCCTGCCCTCAAGGGTCCGATCTCGGCCCAATCTTTTTTCCTCTGTATAACCCCCAAATTCCACCACATGCAGAACGGTGGCAAAAAGGCCATCGGCGCCGATTGCCTCTGACCGTTTCCATTCAAGTTAATGTGTCAAATTCCACAGGCTTCTTTCTGGCCCCCTGCGGTTCAGCAGGCTTCGTAGACGATCACCAGGTTTCTATTTTTTCCAGACACTGCAGCATGCCACATAAATTCAACCCGTGCTGGAAAGGAGGTCAGGCATAGACACAAAATAAAAAATCCGGCGTCCTTTCCAAAATAAAACACAAGGTACCGATTTGTTTTACAAAAACAAGCCGTTCTTCGAGCTGGATGAATGACACTGATCTCTATGCACAGTCGGTAGCCGGGCGAGTGTGCAGGGACCGTCTGCAAATTACGCTGCAAATAAAAATCAATTGTTTTTATTGTTATAAATCATTAATATCTTCCAATATTAATCAATAGCTCCACTGTCATATAGTGGTGACACCCCCTCGCATAAAAAATGTTCAGGCACAGGATTTTTTTCTGCTCAAACACTTTCTGGTGACATGAAAGTCAAACCGACTTCACTTAGAAATACTCTTACATGCTGGTTTACTCAGAAGAACAATCAGCTCCACTGAGGACAGTCACTCACTCATATGTGCTCTCACAAATGCATTTCCAAGGAGACGCATACAGACGTGTGTGTTTGCTGGTATATAACGATAATATATACAGTTTTCTTCCCGCGCACATCAGAGGAGGAGTCTCCCTCAAACAGAAGGCATTGTTAAAGAGCCTTCACAAATGATATCTTTTGAAGCTGCAAGGATTCCTGCAGCTGCACAATGAAATGCACGCAACTATCATTCCAGCCTTTTCTCCCCTCACACATGAGCGCTCCCGGAATAAGCGGTTAAAGCAGTCATCGAAGTATCTTCTTCTGTCAGTCAATTTAGAAGCGGTTTCTCCTCTCAGCTTTCTCAAAGGGGGAAGAAAAAACACTATAGGGAAATTGAGGCAAATAGAAAAAGAGATGGAAAGAGAGGGAGAAATTCTTCATTCGTGAATTCATTTTGACCATATCTCCCTACGCCTGAGCAGTTCATATCTCCACTTAATGTGGTTTTATGCATACGCGGGTCTGAGGCTGTTAAATGCAAGAGAAGCTGCAGAGCGTCAGATACTGTGAGAGTCAGGAATAGAGGAAGCATTTAGAAAAAAAGAAAGAAAGGGTCGAAAAATTTCCTTAAAGTGAAAGAATAAATGTCCAGGAAAGTGAAACGCTTCACTAAGTTTTACCTTCAACATGGATAACGACCTTAAATCAGATAGATTCACCCTAATATTTAGGAATCACTCGACTGCAGGTTTCTGAGTGTAATATTTATGCGGCTCTCTACATTATTTCCTGATGTGACACTTTGTGAATTGGGATGTGAGCTGTCAGCTCCGTCAGCCCGGCGAGGGTTCACATCACCGGCACAACAGCTTGTCACTTGAAAAGCCCAGTTGCCCGTCGTCTCTGTCGTTTTGTCAAAATCGTTGCCATCTGGAGACCCTGCAAAGTCAAATAAAACCAAAAACCACCCCGGCTTTTAAAAATGAAAGTAGAAAGTAGGAAAAGTTTGACAGCGTTAAAAACTTCCTGAGTTCAGTCGGGCGTCATCTGTCGTGTTTAATTTATTAGAGGCTGCAGACTCACTGAGGCGGAAAGACTATTTGACCTTTATTATCAACTCCAAAGTGGGTTCTTCTGCTGTGAGGTTTAATAATACCTTTCTCCTCCTCTGACAGCTCGGCACCATCATGATCTGTCACTGAGGCTAATGTGCGAGCTCCAACAATGAGGAGTTGACTGTTTCCTGTCTGTTAATTTTCACTGTTGGTTTTCTGTTAAATCCAGTTTTCTGCAGTATTTCCATTTTTACACCAGCTGACTGAACAAACAACCCACCTTTAAAATATGTACGTGCATGATAGCATGTAGGGCTGGGGATATGGGAAAAAAGTTTACCACGATATATTTTTTTCCCATATCAGTCGATATCGATATAAATCAAGATATCATTTTTTTTTTTAACAGTGTTTATTGGTCGCATGTCTTTTAAAACACAATAATCTCCTGCATCTGTGAGGTCTTTGTGTCTCTTTGACGTTTTGTCGTAAGGCGTTGCTCTAGAGAAAGCGGACTGAATTGTCGTCTGTTTCGGCTGGGCTTTGTAACCTTTTGCGTTGCGCGTGCTCTGCGGCGTGGCGCTGCTTCAGGTGGTGAAAAAGATTTGAGGTATTCCCCGACTTTGTGAGAACATGTACTCGACATAATTTACAGTCCACATTACTCTGCTTCATGTCCGACCTCCAAAAACCAAAATACCTCCACACCACCGACGTTTTCCTAACGCCAGTGTTGTGGTTGACATCGATGTGGTCATCTGTTGAGCCTTCATGGTCATTTCTGTCGGGGGTAGCACTCATTTTCTTTGTTTCTCACCAACAGTGCTGTCGGCTTCACCTGTTCAAGTGCTATGGTTGGGTGTAGCTGCTGTCTGCTGTGATGCAGTTGGTTCTAATTCAGCACATGATTGGTTCAGAGTGAAGCGGACCAGGACCAACTCCTCTTATCATTGGCTATTCGTATAGTCTACCAAAACATGGCAGAATGACGACTATCGAGAAGCATATTGATCGTGTTTTATATTGATATTGAGGGAAATTAATTTTCGATATACAGTATATCGTTATCGTTTTACCGCCCAGCCCTGATAGCATGCAAAGAGATTTGGAGTCAAAATCGTCAGTGTGAGTTCTTACACCAAGGTCAGACTAATGATGATAATAATAATAAACATAATGAACTCTGACCGAATAAAAGAGAGGGGTGTTAACAAGAGACATAACCAAAGATAGCAGCAGTTTTAACAACCTCTTTGTTTTGATTGTATGTACAGCTTCTATGATGATTTAGTCACTTTTTGATTTAAGAAACTGCGATTTACAGCTCTTCTTTTCTTGTACGCCGAGTGATAAACTTAATACTTGAATTTCCTTCTGAGTGACCTGAGCTCAGAAAGCAGAGACATGAAGTCTGACTGCAGTGGATCTTTAACAGCTTTCCTTCAGTCTCCTGCTCAGTGTGAAGACAGACCTCCAGCCTCATTCACACCAGCTCACATTTATTTAGCCGACATGTTGATCTTGTTTTACAGCTTGTTTAAAGTCGTTAAAGGGAAGCTGCTGTCGCTCGACCCTGCAGACATTCTGACTATTGGACCCCGTCCTGCATTATTTGACTGTCATGAATTATAGAGTGAAACTCGTACTGAGCACGCTCAGTTCTCTCTGACTTCTAAAATATCCAGAATGTCTATTTGATTAAAGACGAGACACTTAAAGTCGAGATGAAGACAGAAAACAGAGAAATGTAACTGCAGAGAGATCTCACTCCCCGTCTTTTTATGATCTCAGTCCGCTCTCCGTCTCTGACGCTCAGACTTTATAACTCCTGTTTCCTCCTCTTGGCTCCCAGCTATCCAACTTGCAGACAGTATTTATATATTTCTGATAATAGAAACATTCGGGGATGTCTGAGGTTTTCATTTCAAGAAAATCCAAGAAAAGCTCCTAAATCATTTTTACATTTTCGCTGACGTGTTCACCCAAGGCTGCGTATGGATGTGTGATAAATATGATAATTTCAGGTTCACCTTCAGTCTCAGTGACGTCCTGAATGACAAGTAAGTGACTGTTCACTAAAGCCTGTGCAGCAGACTCAGGATTTCTCATAGCAGAGACAAAGTGGTGTGAACAGGCCTGCAGCAGGAGATGGACCGGGTTTTACGCCGTAGATTTCAGGGCCCAAACAGGACAGATGATCTTTTACCTGCGAGGAATAGTGAGACGCTGAATGTCTGGTTTTGTGTTTAGCATCACAGCAGGTGTGTAATTTAATTTCTGCGCTCCAGGTCTGAGTGTAATTTCATTACTTCCTGTAGTGACTGTTTTCCTTCAACGAAAAAGGTTCGCTTGCATCTGCGACATGTCAATTATCAGTCCAGTTTGAGTGTTAAAAAAGTGATTTATTGTTCAAAAAGGAAAAGTAAACACGCTGATCCAGCGCCAAAAGGTTAAAACAGGATGAATGAGGCCGTGAAAAATGGTCTACAGAAAATTATCAAAGCTTACCACAACCCAATTATCCGACTAAACCGGTGAGATTAAAATAACCCGCCAAACATACCAAAGCCACACCCCTCAGTGAGGATCCCTGGAAGTGACGTACCTCAACAAATATATTTTGGCTCCTACTCTAATACTCCGTCTTCCCGTGTGTCTTCCTCAGGGTGGAAAACTCGAATGTTGTTACTGTGGCCCCGGTCATTTCCCAGCTCTCAGCCACAAAACAATGGATAGTGAAAATCAGGAGACGTCCAATCATATTTGGAGTTAAAATGACTTCTTGTTTGAAGTTCGAGGATTAGCCACTTTGTTTGTTTCGATCTTAACTTTTACATCGAACATTTGCGGACAAGATAAGTAAATACTCCTCCTCGACATCTATCATTGCCTGCGGTGTTCGCCGAAATGTAGTTCTTGGTCTGTTTTTTGTTTTCCTTTTACTTCTACACGTGCTACTTGGCAAACAATACAGCTCCTTTTATTGCTATGCAGACGACACACTGATTTACTTTCCTCTGTTATCTTACAACCCTTGATGACTATCTGCTTTCACTATTGGATGGCTTAAAACTTTCCTCAGCTAAACGATCCAAAATCAGAAATAAACAGGTCAATCTGCAAAACCCAAACCATACCCTCAACCAAAAACACCAAAAAGTTGTTCTTATTTTCTCCACGGTTGTTTCTTCAAGCATGAAACACTCTCCCACCGTTAAAGCAGGGACAGTAAAATTGCTGGTTATTAGACGCATGTTTTGCATGTCTGTCCAGAATAGGAAATCAGGGGATGAATCAAGGAGGGCTTGAAATGCAAAACAACAAAAGCTACAAAGGAACAGAGGTCAGTATACGAGGAAAAACCACAAATGTGCTCTATGGCTGCAGAAAGGAAAAAAAACACTCAACAGCAGCTTTCATCAGCTCTTAACTCGAAGGTCTGCTTGACGTTATTTTTCATACTTTCTTTTCATCTCGGGGAAATCCTCTAGCAGATGCACAGGCTGCAGAGTCTGCAGGAGTCATTACAGCTGCTGTTTGTTCAGAGTCTGATGAAGGCATTAAGGCAGCCGAGAGGAGAAAATACACCCGAAAATGAGAAGAAAATGGATAGGCTGGCTGTGTTTATGGAAGAGCAGGAGGCTTTATGAAGGTATTTGGATTGCAGGGAAATGAATATATTTGGCTGGCTGGGTATGATCAGCACTAAGACTGGTTGATGAAGCATCAGGAGGAGACAAACAAAGGAGGGAAGACAAACAGACGGAGAGACGAAGACTAACAGATCAAAGATGGGGGAAGTGTTTTGAAGGAAGCTGTTTTTTCAGATGGTTGGAGTTTGAACGTTTTTAAATGAAGATGGATGTCTGGAGATGGATCAGTTTCAAAGACGATGAGACAGAATAACTGCAGAAATATGTTGGAGGATGAGTTTACTTTTATGTCTGCCTGGATGAAGGCACAGGAAACAGGAATAAAACCAAATCCAGAGTCTTTCATTGACGGTTACAGATGTAATGATGCCAAAATGCAGCTCAAAACTGGTGGTAAACAGAGACAGTATAGAGACAGTAAAGAGGGGGAGTTGACGCTTAATTTACCTGCTTGATGAACACCTGCCAGTCAGATTAGCAATATGAAAGTGCAAGTACGCAAGGAAAAAGGATGATGCAAGTGAGCATGCGAGTTAGCTAGTAAGTAGGTAAGAAAGTAAGGAGATATACTACCAAGTGAGTAGGTAAGTAAGCAAGCAAGAGAGTTGGCATCCAAATAAGCAAGTATGTAAGCAGGGAAGTATGCAAATAAGCTAGTGAGTAAGTTTACATACTAACATGCAAGCAAGCAAGTATGGAAGTATGCAAGAATGTCAGCTAGTATGTAAGGAAGAGGGTTAGCAAAAAGTGAACAAGTAAGTAAGTGAGCATGCAAATGACTGAGTATGCAAATGAGTGAGCGATAAGTAAGCAAGCAAGTAGTCATAAGAGGAAGTTAGTAAGGGAGCTACTTTGTAAGTAAGTTAGAGAGGAGGTCAGAGACAAAGATAGTTAGTGCGCACCTAACAAAGTTTGACAGAATATTAGCAAGTAAGCAATTTACATGCTAATATGCAGTATGGCAGTATGCAAGTAAGTCAGGAAGCATGTGAGGAAGAAAGTTAGCAAAAAGTGAGCAAGTAAGTAGGCAAGCAAATGAACAGACAAGCATCCAAGTAACTTCGCAAGTGAGGGAACTAGTCAGTAATCAAGCAATTGGGCAAGTGAGTGAGTGATAAGTAAGTAAGCAAGTGGGCATGAGAGGAAGTTAGTAAGGGAGCTAATTTGTAAGTAAGTTAGAGAGGAGGTCAGAGACTAAGTTAGTAAGTATGCACCTAACAAAGTTTGTTCAGAAATACGCAAGTGGGCAAGTTTACATACTAATATGCAAGCAAGCAGGTATGGAAGTATGTGAGCAAGTCAGCAAGTATGTGAAGAAGAAAGTTAGCAAAAAGTTAGCAAGCAAGTAAACAGACAAGCATCCAAGTAACTTAGCGAGTGAGGGAACTAGTCAGTTATCAAGCAAGTGAGCAAGGGAACAAGGGAGTAGGCAAGGATGCAAGTGACTTAGCAAACAAGTGAGTATGCAAGTAAGTGAGCAAGCAAGTAGGCATGAGAGGAACTTAGTAAGGGAGCTACTTTGTAAGTATGTAAGGGAGGACGTCAGAGACTAGTTAGACTAAGTTAGTATGCACCGAAGAAAGTTTGTCAGGAAATAAGCAATAAGGGAGTAATGAGTAATAAGGTATTTAGGGAATTAAGTATGTTTGTATGCAAGCAAGTAGGTGAGAGTAAGGAACTAAGTTTACAAAGTGAGGAGGTATACAAGGAAGAAAGCAAGTTAGTAAGAAACTGAGGAAATGATTGAGCAGAAATCTGAGTGTGTGAGCAGGTAGGCATGTAAACAAGGCAGTGAGTAACAATGAACAGAGATCTCAGCAGGCCCAGTGCTGTCGGTGTAATCTGAGGTCAACTGCATCCTGGGGACAAACTCTGGGGAAATCTTACTCCTTGAATTTAAGAGGCTGTTTCTGAAGTAGAACATGCGACAGAGAGGGAGAGTCTGTCTGGGACACATCGTTCATACAAGAGAACATAAAATAGGGCAAAAGGTGATTTCTGCAGCACTCAATCATTATAACAACCAGCCTGCTCAACAACCTGAAGTCTGCAATCTCCCATCAGTGCAAGCAAAGCACAATGCATACTGCTGGAGGCCGTCATTGGCACATTTGAGAGCAACAAAGAACTAATGAGAGGCAACAGATCTCTGAAAATGGGCACAGAAGACAGGAAAGAGGGAAGATGGGGCCTATATGTTGTCCCACAACTGGGAGCTTGTTGGCAGCGATGGAGGTTACTTTGGGAAAGATTGGTGCCGTATATGACAACCTGGCAGAGCCGCAGATATTTCTCGAGGAAGTAAAGCCAAAGCTGCCGGGGTAAATAAAACAAACAGAGAGGGCGGATGTAATGTAAGGGATGTAGAGACTCGTGTTGGAGCAGAGGAGACAGATTTACACAGGGCACAGGTCCAGGAACAGCTCAGGGAGTGTAGCAGCCTAATCTTTCTTTCACTGCCAGTTACACGATGAGTCCAAAGGGGGTTCTGATGATGCCTAATTAATTCATACACAAAGAGAACAGACTCCATTATGGACAACACAGAAGGATCCCTGTATGGAAGATGTTAGATTTGGCAAAGCGAGGAGGCGCTTCATGGTGGAATCAAGCTGGAAGTGAGGTCTCTAAATGAATGCATGAATAAAGTAAAATGACAAGAGTGATTTTAATTCAGTAATTAGATAAGACAATGTAAGGTGAGCCTGCAAATTTGTCTCGATTAAAAAATATCAAAAGTGTCAAAAACATTCAGGTTAATTAAAATAAAGAAATAAGTGCAGCTGGGACTGTCGTGTGTTTACGCACTGATCAGTATTTATGAAATATTCTGGGTATTTTCAGACAAAAACGTAGAGACAGGGAAAGTTCACCATGTTGCATTTCTCTGTTTACAACTGGGAACCCAGGAGACCAGGTTCATGCTGTTGTAATCCCTGTTGTCAGAATGTGGTTTGGGATCATATGAAGGTCTTCCCTGAAACAGTCTTAGTCTGGATGGCAGCAGATGTTGCTCCTAAACCTGGAGATGTTGTTTGAAACTGAGGATGCAGCATCTATGATTTCTAGTTCTTTGTTGAAAGGCTAACTGGACTCACGCTGTCCAAAATCTGCCACAAAACTCGCCTCACAGACGTGTCCGATAGGAATTGGCGCCATTTTGTAGTGGAGCCATTGCAGATGTGGTGGAAAGTCCAGTTACCCTTTCCAAAAGAGTGTTACCCCCCATTTCCACCACATGTGGAACGGCAGCGAAAAGACTGTATGCACCAATCGCAGTTGATCGTTTCCATTCAAGTTAACGTGTCGATTTCCACTGGCTTCTTTCCATTACGCTGCGGATTGCCAGACTCCGCAGCCTATCACTAGTGTTCTATTTTTTCCGGACGCTGCAGCATTCCGCATAATTTCAGCACAGATTAACCTGTACTGGGAAGGATCCGTGTTTCAGGCGGATCCATGTAAACGGGCGGAGACGAACACCTGAAAGGTTTTTAGACGTCATTTCACCCCGATGACACCATGGATGAGGAGATGCTGATTCTAGAAGTCTAGAAGTAGATTTCCTCCTCTGGAAGGACACAATCTACTGCTTATATGTCTAGGTGTCTCTTGAGTTGTCGCGATTCCCGCTGTCCGAAATCTGCCTCACAAACTTATCCAGTAGGAATTGGCAGACGGTGAAAATCGGCGCCGTTCTGTAGAGGAGCTGTTGCAGATGCGGTGGAAATTGGGTGTTAGATTTTGATTTATCGGCCCTCAAGACAGTTCATGGACGAGTGATATTGAGCTCATGCGGTGACTCCAACTCCAGAGTCCTGCCGCTCCTAAACCTGCAGATATTGTTCAGCATTGATGGAGCCTTCACAGATGTGGAAGATACCCGTGACATGGATCAGGGATGCTGGATGTTGAAGTTCGGTAGTCGTGTCTGTTTTTTAGTATAGTCTCTCCTAAAATGGGCCTGAAGATCACAGCCACACAGTCTTTGTTCCTGAAGAGTGTCGTATAAATCAAGTTTTCTCACCTACTCGCTCGCCCTCATGATTGATCGCTGTCAGGGTAGGACTCTTCAGCTCAACAGTGGAGTCAAACCTGACAATATTTCACTGTCTCCTCCTGCAGTGCAGTCATTTCCTCGGTAAATTACCTCCTCTTGACCTGTCACGGCATTTAAAAGGCCACTCTCACACATTTTTATCTTGAATGGAGAGCTCCCGCAGTCTTTTTGTTACCAACAGAGAGAAAGCAAAGGCAGCATGGGAGATTCATTACAGAGGGTTTTTTTTCAGCTCTACATGCTCGATGAGATTCAATGTAAATCTTCCTCCGGCCTTGAATGAGTTTATTAGAGGAGAGTCACTAACAGAGTGTGCTAAAAGACACACAAATCCAGACTCTTCAGATTAATATGAACCTGTTTCATATCCAGCTGACCCAGCGTGTGGACGCGTAAAAAACTCCCATTCATATAAAACTGAAAGTCCAGTCTATGATATAAATAATTACAATGTACGCCATTGTTGATCTGAGCTCACTTTTCTGTCACAAATAGGGTTTAAAATTGAGATCTTATGAGAGGGGTCTGGCTGCAGACCTCCACTGAGAGGACCAGGTGTTGTTTGAAGCCTTTCAAATTAAAAGTATGGAGTATATTTCTTTTTTTTTTTTTAAGGTCCGAAGTCGATTCAAAGCCTTTTAAATGTAAATTATATGAACCAGAAGTATGTGTTTTTTTTAATCCTTTCAAAATAAAAGCTAATATACTAGGAGTACATTTCTTTTATTACGTGCAAAGTGGATTCGAAGCCTTTCAAAATAAAAGCTAATATACCGGGAGTGCATTTCTTCTTTTTTAACGTCTAAAGTTGATTCGAAGCCTTTCAAAATAAAAGCTAATATACTGTAAGTACATTTCTTTTTTTTATATGTCTTAAGTTGATTTGAAGCCTTTTGAAATAAGAGCAATTTCACCAGGATGAATGTTTTTTTTGGTCTTGTGTGAATATGGTTTTTTTCTTGGGGCTTTTTTTGATGTGTATGACATTAATATCTTTTTTTTTTATTCATGTGTTTAACAAAGACAAAATACAAAACGGGATGACCACTTAAACAGTACATGAGAAAAAAACGTCACCTCGGGTCGTCTCAGCGAAGGTCTGCAGCGACACTGTCTTGGATTTCATTGGCAGAGTTACCAGATGATTTATTGGACAGAAACATAAACTGTTAGACGCTGCTTCACTGTTATGTATAATACACAAAACAAAACACAAGGAGACAACTGAGGACACAAGCATACGCTGATAAAGACATACAAACACACAATGAACCAGCAAGACAGAGGGGAAGACAGTGACTATATATACACACTGAGAAACGAGCAACAGGTGAAACAGACGAGACACAGGTGAGACTCATGAGTGATTAACGAAGGAGGGAAAACTAGACTAGAAACACAAGGAATCAACTCCTACAAAATAAAACAGGAAATAAACTCTGAAAACTGATCTAAAGAATAAAACTCTGAGAAGAGGAGGGAAATAGGGTCAAAGAAAAACCAAAAACTCACAAAACTGGACTACAGGGGAACAGGAACACCTGGGAAAATACACTTAAATAACAAAATCGGGAGAAAACTAAATTTAAAGAACACATCATGACAGTCAACAGTCTCACTTTTACTTAAAGGTACAGTCAGCGTCGTCGTCCTCAAAGTTCAGTTCACTAAGGTTTAAACGAACCAGTTCGACAATCCAAGCAAAGTTCAGTCACTGCCTGAGGACGACACATCGGTAAACATTCAGTTAAAAACCCAAATTGAGTTTGTTGCACCAATTAAACAGAAAATTCCTGCTGCTTTGGGAACCTAGAACTCGTCACAGTTTCTTACCACATCTGAGTAACTTTCGATATCTATGCTGAAAGTATGTAGGGTCTGATAAATCCAGGTTCAACTGCATAAAACTCAGATCCTCCCAGTTTGTGAGCCGTCGTTGACTGTCACAGAAATACATGAAGAAGAAGAGGAAGAAGAGAGTGGTGGAGGATTAAATGCATGTTAGTAAAAATATGACAAGTTAAAGAGGTTATTTGTCCTCGAAGGCCACCGTAGCAGTTTGAATTTTACCAGGGAACATTTCAATCTAAAACCGGTCATCATAGTTAAGTATCGCCGTTTCTGGATTTCTGGTCTTGACTGAGACTTTCTTGACCCCTGATGGCCGACAGTCTCCACACGACTCACATTCGTCCGTGCTCACTGTTATTGCGGATTCATTTTGTTGTTTTTGTTTCTCCTCTAATTTCCCAACAGGGGGATTGTCGGTTTGTCATCCGCAGACAGGTGAAATGGTGATTTTAGCGGAGCTGCTGTTGCAGAAATAATTCCCCACATTTATCTGTTTTGTCTCTGTGAAAACAGTCAGCGGTAATGTTCGGCTAATCACAGTTCAGCTCAATTCAGAACGCTGCACAGTTTCATTCAGAGGGAGGGTGGAAATAGTGTCGACATGACCAAAGGTTAATGGGCTCGGTTCATAATTTAACACCGCACGCTATTACAGAAAAAAATAAATGTGTTTACAAATCTATTTCTGCAGGTTTATCTTCTGTTAGACAGACAGACCGAAGCATGCGAGGCAAACACAGCGACTGTTCTGTCTGCAGCACTAACATGAGATCACACACTTTTGTGGTGAAGTGGCGTGAACAAATCACAGGAACGTAGAAGGAGGATCAGCTGTGGAGGGTAGAGAGCAGAAATGCTGGACTGTATGTTTCATTTCAACTCCACATCTTGCCGGCTCCTCGCTGTTCTCTGCGCCCCGTCTCTCTTGACAATATCTGCTCGATCACCTGGGTCGTCCTTGTCATTGTGGGAGCGTCCTTTGTCTCCTGAAAGCCTCCATCTCAGCTCCTCAGAGGACTTCTCAATGGGGTCAAGAGCGTCCTTATAGCTGCGCACTTCATGCTGGTGTACCATTCATCCGAGGACTTGTGCAGGCTGGGCTACAGGGTACGGCTTTATGTTGGAGGAAGGACTCTGCGGTCTTAAAGAGGAAGCTGAGCGGGAGAGTTTGGACCTCTAATCATACCTCTTTGTACAAGTATCCTTGTTCCGTTCAGAAGAAGAACTGTAGAAATAACTTCTTATCAGAATTATTTAGTTTGCTTTTTAAAACAGTAAAAACTACTTTCTTTACTTTATGATGTTTACTGTGTGTCATAAAAGTGTTTGAGCTCTTTTGTAAAATCGTTTTTAATATTCCACTTGCTGAAGAAGACACTCACTCACTTTACCCGTTTGCACACGTTCCTCTGTGGTGCTGATGACACATTATTGCCTCCTACAGGTCTGGCGTGCTTGAATGAACACTTTCAACCATTTCTGTTTGTCATCTGGACACAGAAATATAAAAAAAAAAAACTGTGGTGTGGACGGGTTTTCTTCTGTTTATCTGAAGTCAGGTCGTGACTTTGCCAGTCTGAGCAAATCGGCCCAAATCTTCCTCCTCCCAGCAACACTCAGTATGTTTACATGACACTCGAGAAAAACGAATTATCGCCTAACTCCGATAAAGACCGGACAGCTGACATGCATGTAAACACCTTAGTCTGACTATAATCGGAGTTTGAGAACTCTGATGAAGACACCCAGATAATGTGATTGGAATTCGATTTTCTCTACCATGTAACCAGCGTAGTCGGAGTATGATCGAGGATGGATGATGTTGTTTCCATTTAAAAGCGCAGAGTCTTTTTAAACTTCTAGGATGGTGACAGTATTATCCTGTTTGAAAAGTTTCTGTACACATCTGATCATCGAGGCATCGATTCCTGATAGAACAAGGAGTTTGCACCTTCCTATCTTCATGGTTAACCCCAAATTTCTACCACATCTTGAACGGCTACGAAAAGGCCGTATCTGCCGATCATATCTGATCGTAACCATTCAAGTTAACGTGTCAATTTCCACCGGTTTCCCTCTGTTCCTCTGCGGATCGTCGGACTCCACAGCTGATCGTAACAGTTCTATTTTTTCTGGACACCGGAGCATGGCGGATAAATTCAGCACAGATTAACCCGTGCTGGAAAGACAAAATAAAACATCCGACTCATTTTCAAAATAAAAGACTGATCATAGGCGGATCGTATTTCACACTGTGCAAACGGGCGGAGACTAACAAGTGAAAGGTTTTTAGACGTCATTTCACCCCGATGACACCATGGATGAGGAGATGCTGATTCTAGAAGTCTAGAAGTAGATTTCCTCCTCTGGAAGGACACAATCTATGCTCATTTGGTTAGCCTCTGTGGCTAAAGACAACTTGATATCACACAATTGCATGTGAATTTGTGGGTTAGGTTCTTGCGATTTCCGCTGTCCATAATCCGCCACAAAATTCGTCTCACAAACAGATCCAGTAGGAATTGGCGTACGGCGAAAATCACTGCCATTCCGGATCCGAGCCGTATTCCAGAAGTGTTGGAAATCCCGGGTAACATGAAGCTAACTTCCTCCATCCTCTCTTTCCTGTGCGGTAGAGTTTAGCCGCTGGCAGATTGAGGTTTCCATGAAGCTGGAGCAGCCTTAAATCCACGCCTGCAGAGCCTCTGAGTTTTGCTCTCAGTTCGAAGGTCAAATTTCATGACTTCATTTCTGCTTTTCAATTGGCCTTAATTATAAATTGATGCAGTTTAAAGTGAAGCAGTTTTCTCTTCTCGTAGTTTGGCTGTCAAATGTCTGAATAAAAGCGCTGACCCCCCCCTTCTTGACCTCTCTCTGCCCTGTGATTCGTTATTGTGTCGAGTGGCAGCTGATTCGCCTCTTCTCTGTAACCTTTCACACACGCCGTGAAAAAAAAAAACCTCCTTTCTTTACCGGCCGAGCATCTTCCTGATCTCACCGAAGATTGAGAGCAGATTAGTCACATTGTTTAACAGATTGGACTTGAACCCAGGATGTGTCGGAGTCTCTCCATGCTAATCCCGCTCTTTCTATTCCCGCTCTGGACCCCTCAAAGCGAGCGGCGAGAGAGCGAGCTGCTCATTCCTCCCTCGTTCTCTCCATCTATAACAGCCTGAGTTGTGACAATTCAATCTGTTCAGCGTCTCCCCGCATGAATTATGGATGAACCCTGCAACCTCTGAATGTGGAGGGGATTTACGCTTTATAACTGCTGCTGCTCGTGTCACGGGCTCAATGAGGATTTGAAAGAGGTTGGGGGGGAAAAATTTAAGGTAATTCAGAGCGCATCAAATCAGTTGAAATGCCAGTATTAATATCCTCTGATGGCCGAGCACTGATTCACTCTTGTGTGCTGAAAGCCATTAGCAAAGCTCATTGGGAGAGGGCAGGGCTGTGACTTCTCTGATAAGCAATTACTGGAGCATCATTCTGTCCTGATGAACTGCTATGAGAAAGCGGCTCCCACAGGTCGAATAAACAGAGAGATCCCATCAAGACTCCTTAGAGGTACAACAGGATACCAGCCTGTTCATGGAGATGATCAAATATTGATGCTCTGCTGCTGCTTTCATTCAATCCAGATCACCTTTTAGTGTGTTTTCTTCCACTCCAACTCCGGGCTGATGTTAAACAGACTCTCTGCTCAGTTCTAGGTGTAAAAGGACTCCGTTTTGGGCTCTGCTTTAGCTGCTTTTGGTAGAGCTTGTGCCTCATATACACTTGTGAGTTGTAGTTATGTCAGCATGGTGTTCAGCTATTGCTCACAGCTCTTTGCTGCAATTTATTTCTAGTCTTTTTCCCAGATTAATATCAATATCTAATATTTTGACCCGCTGACATTGGTTAAAGGACCGTGCTTTCAGTTTATCATCCAGTTTCTCTCTCTGAAGGCCAGCACCGATGACTAAACCCTGAGTTTTGTTCTGGTTGAGCTGTAAAAAGCTCATGACTCCATATCTAAAATACAGTTAGATAGTGTACCGATAGTGTCATCAGGAGACACGCCAATATAGAGCTGTGTGTCATCTGCATAGAAGTTGATCCTGTTTCTCCTGATTTCATTTCCAAGTTGTGACATTTCACATTATAACATAATTCCAATTATTGATTTTGAGTGCACCTGTTTTGAACGCACATATACAGAGGCTACATTGGCCTTCCCATGATCCTCAGCGACAGTTACCATGGTGAAAGATGCCTCAGAGCGCTTCAAGCGCCAAAATCTTCCGTTGTAACAGAGCTCTGGTTGTCATTTTTTCTACAGTCGTATCTTCCTCCTTCACTGTGACCGATACGATACGTAGGATGCATCCGTCTCCATGACAACAGGTTAGCCTTTCTCTACCACTCTGGCCTGGACGTTTTGGTTATATAGAAAAACAAATAAACAAAATGTTGACTCATTTTTTTGGATTGAATGGAATAATTGAACAGACGGATAATACACCGACCAAATTACTTCATGTTACGTAATGAAAGGTAACTTGACGTAACTTAACATGTTGTAATGAAAGTTTTTGGTAATTTTTGTAACTTAACGATACAGAAACTAATGTTATAAAAAGTTACAGAAGGTGACCTAATGCAAAGTAATCCGACCTTTTAAAACCAAACCTTACAAAACCTAACATTACCCATCTCCCGTTAGCTAATCTTAACCTTTAGGTGTTATATAACCCAAAGTAATGTGAGGTATATTTCATGAAGAACATAAAATAAAGGTTCAGTTCAGGTCTGAGCTTTATTGTCCCTGAGGGAAAACTAGGTTTACAGTTGTCAATTCAAAATGGTTCATAACAAACAATATAGCGTTTAACCCGGCTATGTAACACTGTGTAAAAAATACAATATTACATAACAAATGTAATAAACGTAACATAAAGGAATTCTTGGGTTAGATAGATATCATAATGTAACAGGAAATATGGTTATAGAGCAGAAAAGGAGGAAAACTGAATAGAAGTGAAATGAATAGAATGGAACAGCTGACAGGAGTGAAATGGAACAGATGGGATCAGATTAGAAAAGAGGTGAAAAGGACTGAAGAACATGGGATAGAAAAGAGACGAATAACGGGGAAAAGAATAGATCTAATTATTTTCAAAAGCATACATTTGGCTTTGAGTAAAGCTCTTCAGCTGGTTCTGATGGTACATACTGTATATTTGTCATGGTAGGCGGATATAAGAATCTGAACATGGTGTCACTTTGCAAAAGTACATCTCTGTGCGGTGCAGACACCTCCTCTGCCTTTTTCTCTGAACTGATCTGAGATTAAATTCAGAGAAAGCTCTCATTCAAGGTTTGGAGTCAAGCATCTGTGGTGTTAAAAACAAAACGAGGATCACACTGACGACGTGCTCGACACGGCAGTAATCACATTCACTGCATCTGCGAGTGGAGCCTTGAGAAGGAATGCTTAAGAAAGAAAAAGGAGGAAGAGAGGAATTCAACAAAATCCTCCTCAAAGAAACAATGAGCAGTTATCTGAAGACGGGTTTCAGTTTCCATTACAGACACACACAAAAAGACAGGAAGACAAAGAGCGCTGAGTGAGGGCGGAGACTTCGACTTGAAAGCTGAAATTTAATGACTCAAAAGAAATCTTCAACCTGCCAGTTTGAGTTTCCTTCAACAGAGAAACTCCAGACAGAAAGAAGCTCTTTACTGCCCTCTACTGGTCACACGTCCCTGATTCTCTGAACCCTCTGGGGGTTTTTGGAAGTGTGCTGTTACACCTGGAACCACACCCAGTTCATCCTTTAAACCACACCTTAACACCCGCAGTAAAAGCAGCTTCAGTGAACCCTCTCTGAGATTAGAGCTTTCATGCATCAGAGTGCAATTTTAAAGTCCTGATTGACGATCTGAGAACCAGTTAAAAAAATTAAGCCGTTGAGGCAGATTTGAAAAAAGCGTTTCACCCCCCACACACAAACCTCTCCCCCATGAACCTGTATCGCCCTCCCCACGACACACCCCCTCTGGCAGAAGATCCTACGCTAGCTTCAAATAGGATCCACCATGTCGGATTGTTAGTGACTTGCGGCGGTAAACGCCAGCTCTGCTTGCGAGCGCCGTCTGCAGCTGCCTGAACAGCTACCGTGTTGACATGTCAGAGACTAATCAGAGTTATTTATGTAACATGAGCCACGATAAAAGGAGATAAAAATGACCTGTTCAACAAAAACTCTGCTGTCTCAGCGTCTGTTTTCAGGACCAAATCCTGGCGGAGCTTTCTCCACCGCTCCAAGGATGACCCGATGGTTATTCACGTTAGATTCCTCGCTTGGTCACATTTCCTCTCCCACTTCACACTTTCTTCTGTCGGTTTGCATTTTCGGTAAACAGAAGTGTTTTTTTTTCGCGTCCTTCTCCATCATAGCTCCTGTAGCTAAGCTGCTACGCTACTTTTAGCCGCTCAGAGCTCCGAGGAGGGCCGGGAGAGTGGGAGGGGATGAGTCAGAACTACGGGAGAGGGGTGTGTCGAATACAGTGAGTTGATTGGATAGAGAGGCGGAGCAGGAGATTGACCAATAGGAGCTGTCCGGGACAGATGGCTCCCATTGGTCAATGTTTTTGCAGCCCTTCACCTGATAGGGTGATCGGATTTTTTCTATTCTTTTTTCTGTGACCATCACACTATAGGACCATGATCGCCATAGAAACAATGTTCATAATAATTACCAATCTCTCTAATCGTCAACCATGCCTTTAAGTAAAACTTTTAACATTTTTATATGACAAATAAATGTGTTCACAGAGGTCGATCACTGCAGGTTTAAAGCCTTTCCTGATATTTTTAACCTAAATAGAGCCTGAGGTGTAGATTTGTCATCAGGTTTGAAACGTTGAGCAGTAATCCTGAATCAGACAGAAGGAGACTCTTTTTTTCTATATATACTCTGTTCAGATGATCAGAGTGTCAAACCTTTAAAAGCCAAACACTTCGAGCAGATTTTATTTTCCTATTTCTCTCACTCAGAGTGAAAAAAAAGCTGCTGCACTGAGACTGAACGGACTCTTATTTTATCGATAATCTTCACCAGTTTGTAGCCGAGCTGTTGGGCACCGTAACAATCTTGATCCTGGTTATTTATGTGATTGTCGTGGAGAGTTTCCATGCTGTTAATGTCTGGATTTTCTCTCTCCGGGTCTCCACTGGAAATGATGAACTGCATCAGGCTTTGAACTGCATTATTCTTGTTGGAGAGAATCAGAGAAACCACAGGAAGCTTCTTGAGTTACCCTTCAAAACAAAAGAGCCGGGCATGGAGGCAGAACATGCTGTTATCTACCTCCTGTAAAGATCACTCTCTTGACTGGGAGGATCATGTTGGATGATCACAGACAGCCTGTGCGTCTAACCCGGGATTTCCTCCACATCCGATTTTTGCCGTCCATCAATTCCTACCAGATCCCTTTGTGAGGCGAATTTCATGGTGGATTATGGACAGCAGGAATCGCAAGAGCTAACAAGAACCCACAGATTCACATGAAATTGTGCGATGACGAGTTGTCTCTATAAAGACAGACACATAGACATACAAGCAGTAGATTGTGTCCTTCCAGAGGAGGAAATCTACTTCTAGACTTCTAGAATCAGCATCTCCTCATCCATGGTGTCATCGGGGTGAAATGACGTCTAAAAACCTTTCACTTGTTCGTCTCCGCCCGTTTGCATGGTGTGAAATATGATCCTCCTGAAACACCGAGTGTTTTATTTTGAAAAGATACCGGATGTTTTATTTTGTGTCTGTGCCTGACTTCCTTTCCAGCACGGGTTAATCTGTGCTGAATTTATCCGCCACGCTCCGGCGTCCAGAAAAAATAGAACTCTTGTGATCAGCTGAGGAGTCCGGCGATCCGCAGAGGAACGGACAGAAGTCGGTGGAAATCGACACGTTAACTTGAATGGTTACGATCAGCTACGATCGGAGGATACGGTCTTTTCGTAGACGCTCCGGATGTGGTGGAAATTGGGGGTTAGAGACAAAGTGCAGCACACAGGACTGGACCACCACCATCACACAACAAGCTGATATCTGCAGAAGTTCTCGGACGACACCGCCTCATCACCAATGATGACAGGAGCGAGTACCAAGAACTGAACCTAAACTTTCTGGACTGGAATCTTTGGATCAAGACAGGAAAAAAAATAAAAAATAAAAACAAGGAACTGGTGGTAACTTTCTGCAGAGACCCACCCCTCCCACACTGGTGAACATTCAGGGGAGGGTCTAGAGATTGTGGACTCTTAGAAGTACCAGGATGTTCACCTGAACAGTAACCTGGACTGGACTACCAACACAAACTCACTCTACAGGAAAGGCCAAAGTAGACTCCACCTCCTGAGGAAGCTGAGGTCCTGTGGGGTCAGGGAGATCTCCTGAAGTCCTGTCATGACTCTGTGGAGGCCTCAGCCGTCTCCTGTGGAGTGGTCTACTGGAGCAGCAGAATCACAGACTGAACAAAGTGGTGTCTGTTCCCATCATGCAACAGTCCACCAACTCCAACGTGTTATATTCTCTTGAAGGAGGTGTAGGGTCTCAACATGCCCAGCTTTACCAGCCTCTGTCAGACTTCACTGTGAAAAAAAAACACCTAAGATTGTTGCGCGTGAATCCGAAACCTTTTATTTTGAAAGTCCTGACCGGACGTTGCGTCTCCTCGGGTATTTGAACGAGCTTCAGCGCAGTCTTCCTCCCCAGTCAGAGTGAAAGTTGTCTCCGCCGAGGAGAGCAGGGATCCGGGACTCGCTCGTTTCCACCGCCGCTGCTTCTCACGCTTTTCTCCCGGAGAGATGAGGCGGAAAGAGAAGAGGCTGCTGCAGTTCGCCGGGCTGCTCATAGCGGCTCTTCTCTTCCTCCCCAACGTCGGATTGTGGTCTTTGTACCGGGACCGGGTGTTTGACAACTCGCCCGGCTCGGCGGACGGTCCGGGCGGGATTCTGTTGCTGCAGGTAGGAACAGTCCTGGTGGGTGTTAACTTCGATATTTGGAGAGAGAAGGTGGGTTTCAGATTGGACAGGATCAGACAAAGACTGAGTTAGAGAGAGGGGTGCTCGGATATAGGGATCCGGTCTGTATTCAGCAGCTGCAGGGTCAGGACCATGGACAGATCCTTGGTCTCCTCCAGGCTGCCTCACTTCAGCACCATGGAGAGCGCAGAGACTGTCAGATTTGAAGCTTCTCTTCAGGAAAGGAGAAAAGTTCAGCAATGATCCCCTGAGGTCGAATTCACTTTGAGCTTGACTTCTGCTCTTATACTGTCTAAATTTAAAGGTGATTTGTTTCTGTTTAGTTTATTTGTTTATTCGAACAGGTTAAAAGAAGAACAAAATAAATACATTATACAATGTGCTTTTTAGCAACATAGATAATCATATTTTGTTGGAAAGGATGTAGGATGAAAGGATGAAGTTGGTAAACCTCATTTAGTCCTTTATTGTTGTGTTTCTATAATGTAATCAGTCGGAGCATGTGTAGGACTAACAGCTCAGAAGAAAGAGGATATATCAGAAAAAAAACATGTTGCTCATTGTTATAAATTCATTTTTCTCTCTTATATCCACTCAGATTGTGGTTTATAAAAATGAGTTTGAACTCGCTCAGTGATCTGCAGGTTTCATTTCTGCTGTTTCACAGATTAACTCCTTTGACATTTTAGTGTTTGTACATACAGGTTAGTTTTTAAAAAATGAGATTATGTTTGTTTTCTCTTTTAGACGCCCTGTGGTGACTGATTCTGATCTGAATAGTTTAGAGGTCGACTGAATCCTTGAACTTTTGTGCGTTCAGTTTGATGAAGAGTGGGTTTGATGGTTCTCTGGAGGTACTTCGATTTACTACTTTTAATTGCTGTTTTTTTCTTGCTCGTTTAAAGGAGAAGTTCGCCTTTTTCCAACTCCCATTCCCCAGAACTCCCAGAGTTCATTTTCAGATTCTTTTATTTGTTTTTAAAACCTTAAATGGTCCGGCACCATCTTACCTCTCTGAGCTGCCTCTCCCCTACGCTCTCAGGTCAGCTGACAAGCTGCTCCTGCAGGTACAGAGCTCTGTTGCTGCTCCTACATTATGGAAGGATTTACCTCTCCACGTTGGACAAGCTCCCTCACTGTCCATTTTTAAAACTCGTCTAAAAACCCACGTTTACTCCTTGGCTTTTGACCCAGCATGAGACGACATTTTATTATATTTTAAAACAACTATTTATTGTTGTTTTATGTTTTATGTTATTATGTGCAGCACTTTGTGTCAGCTTTGGTTGTTGCTTTTGCTCTATAGTTGAGTTAAATATTGATAAATGTGGACTTGAAAATGTGATTTTAGAGCCGATATTGAAGAACTCTACCGTCGTGTTTGAAAAAGCTGCTCCCCCCCGTGACCCTCGGTTTGCTGTCTTAATCCGTCCAACTGTGATCAACTGTCACTAATATGAGAACCAGCATTCGCACAGACAACGACTTCCCACCACGAGCGTTCACTTATTGATGCTCTCATTGATCTCCCAGTTTCCCCCTCTCTGTGTTTGAGCAGAAGATGAGAGTCAGTGATTGGAATTGATCAGAGAGTCTCCTGACCGACTCGCTCTTACTGCGTTATTAATCATCACACTTTTGTTGTTTTGCTTTCAGAAGTAATTTATGTTTTTTTATTTTTTAATGATGATATCTGATTGCTCTGAAGGTCACTACGCTATCAACAACGTAAAAACCCTCTAAGAGAAAAACTCTAACTTCATTTCTGATGGGAACGTACTTTAAAGTTAAATAATACTGTGAACTTTTAATTATGTAGAGAAAGTCTCCTCTGCAGGTCCTTCCTACTTGACTTTGTGATACTTGAGGATCTCGACGTCTGCAGAGGATTTGAATGGAATTTATCAGGAAACAAAAGCCAGTCGAACCCTGACTCCTCTCCTCCTGTCAGAGTCCTCAGCCCTCTGAACTCTAAAGTGTTTGTTTCAGACTCGTAGAAGCTCAAAGGAGAGACTGAGAGAGAGTTAGAGTGACGAAATATTCAAAGGAAGGAAGCCAGTAACTGTAAATCAACATGTAGGGAGCTGTGTGGAGCGTGTTGTCAGATTTATAAACCAGCTGAACCATGAAGAGAGAGGAGAGAGAGTCAACTATCTCGTCCTTTTTGTCGTTATTGTTTGAGGACGGGAAGGATCAGGGTTCGAGTTGGAAGGAGTCAAGCAGCAAATAGTCAGAGCCGACCTCTGTACCTGATACTTCAGGTTTTGAAGATACACTCAGGTACAAGGAGGTCATGGTGAAGGCCCTCCTTTGGATCTTCAGGGTTATCATCACACAGGCCCTTTTATCCGTCGATGGTTCATTATTTGTGTGAATTTTTAAATTTGTTATTGACTCAGAATTGATTTAAAAAACCTTTTACTTTTGTCATTTTTACGTTACTTGGCTTCACAGCAGGATTGTTGTACAGTCTCTAGGTTTGGACTGACTCTTGGATCACTAAAACACTTGGAGAACTTTTGCTGAGGTTGAGAAAGAAGAAGGACCCTAAGCTGCTCTTGCATGTAAGATGGATCACAGACTACCTTGAGCATGGCTGTACAGCCTCTGCTGTGATCTGTGGGTTCTTGTGGATGGACTTTGTTTGGACCATATCGAGCCTCTCTGGAGGAGGAGGAAGTAAAAAGTCAGACCTTTAAGGTGGACTTCCATGAGACAGCACCCTATCACCTGTAAGGTCGTAAGTCTGTCACCTTGATCGGTTCGAGGCAGCAGCTTCAACTTGATAACTGGATGGTAACTTTCAAAATAAAACCTCAAATTTGATTTATGGAAATCTTTTTTTGTACAGAGTTTTAAAGATGCTGAAATATTCCTGAGGGAGTCGAGTCACGTTTAGTTTAGTCCAGTGGTTCTCAGCTGGTGTCTCTCTGGGACCCTCATTTTCCCATGGTCCTTTAGTCACTACCCACTTTTATAGAAATTTATTGATTTATATGAAAAACTTGAAAGACTCAAATCTTTCACACAAATACACTGTTTTATTCAGTGCATTTCAGAGCTCATGAATTGAAGACGACAACGACCGAAGTTGCTTATACAGAAAATATCAAATAAATATCAAATTGCGCAAAATAAGCTATTTTTCAAAATAAAAGGCATGTCAAACATCAGATGCGCATTAAATATTTTCTTTTTTGACCCATCCAGAACGTGTCGGCGACCCACTTTTCGGTCGGGACCCCTCAGTTAAGAACCACTGGTTTAGGCAACATTGTCTCTGTCTGAACATGAGTCGAGGTGAAGGGACTTTTTGTTTGGTAGTGATTTAGCCAACAAAAGTAAAAACTTCAACTCTGCAATTACAGAGAAGTTCTTTTGTAAATTGTACCTGTTCATACCACCCAAACAGAAAAGCAGTGTATCATCACAAAGTTGACAGAGCATTCAGCAGCAAGACGTCCATACAACTCCCAAATCAACCAGTCAATAGAAATGATCGATAAACTCAAACCAGGTTGAAAGTTGTTAAAATAAGTTTTTTAAAAAAGTGAAAAGTTAAGAACTGCATTTGTGAAAAATCCAGTCTCTTCTTCCCCTCTCTTTGTAACACCAAACTCTGCTCCCCTGCTGGATGCCGGCTGCTGGCTGCTTTTCCAAACTTTTAATGGCAGAGGACAAATGGAAGAAATGACAAATGAGGAGAGGAGGAAACAAAGTGTGTGTCTGTGTTTGAATGCTCCCTGTGGGCTGTTATAGCTTCACTGAACTAGATAAAAATCAATACCCTTATCCCATTCAGCCTTTTCCCACATAAGTCTTGTTAGAGACATTTGTAGCCGATATAACCCCCTCCCTCCTTCCTTCCCCTCGTTGCTCTCTGTCCGCTCGGCTTGTCAGCGACACAGTGCTTGAACTCTGTGAATAAGATCAGAGCGGATTATAGACAAACAGAATGAGTATCTGCCTCATTCAAACAGGAACTCCCTCACCGATGTCGTAGATTAGACAGAATATAAATGAAGAACAGAGCGCTCCTGTGTGTGTTTGTATTCTTTCTAAAGATTTATTCACACGGTGAGGAGGACTCTCATTCAGATTCATCTGGACTTGTTTTGCTGTTTTTGCCTTCAGGCGTTTTAATTTCCCAGAGTTTGCAGTTTGAGCTTTTTCTCCTCACTCTTAACTCTGAAATGAGTCATTCACAGCTGGTGTGGTGAATTCTGTCAGAAACAAACATTCAGAAGTGTCCAAAAAATCTGCTGGGACTTCTTAAATGCTCCTGCAGTTTAATCCACTGCTTAATCCATCAGCAGCTCATGTACTCAGTCCTCTGTGTCCACAAACTCTCAGTGTGTCATATTTAAACCATCCTCTCCTCGAAGCTTTGAAGCTCAGCCAAGAGTCTGACTAATATAACCGCAAAGAAAAATACGTGCTTATGGTCAGCTGAGGGCTGCACGGTTTGTGCTATGGTTGTGTGTAGCTGCTGTGTGCTACGACGCAGTGGTTTGCTACTTGGTTCTAATTCAGAACATGATTGGTTCAGCGTGAAGCGGACCCGGAGCAAGTGACATCCCATTCCTAATCCATAGGGTTCAATATGACGTCGGTCCAACCTTTGCAGTCAGAACAGACTCAAGTGTTCTGGGAAGGCTGTCCACAAGGTTTAGGAGTGTGTTTATGGGGATTTGTGAGGTCACACACTGATGTTGGACGAGAAGGCCTGGCTCTCAGTCTCCGTTCTAATTCATCCCAAAGGTGTTCAATCGGGTCAAGGTCGGGACTCTGTGCAGGCCAGTCAAGTTCATCCACACCAGACTCTGCCAACCATGTCTTTATGGACCTTGGTTTGTGCACTGGTGCACAGTCATGTTGAAAGAGGAAGGGGTCAGCTCCAAACTGTTTCCACAAAGTTGGGAGCATGGAATTGTCCAAAATGTCTTGGTATGTTGAAACATTCAGAGTTCCTTTCACTGGAACTAAGGGGCCAAGCCCAGCTCTTGAAAAACAACCCCACACCATAATCCCCCCCTCCACCAAACTTTACACCTGGCACAATGCAGTCAGACAAGTACCGTTCTCCTGGCAACCACCAAACCCAGACTCGTCCATCAGATTGCCAGATGGAGAAGCGCGATTCCTCACTCCAGAGAACGCGCCTCCACTGCTCTAGAGTGCAGTGGCGGCGTTCTTTACACCACTGCATCCGACGCTTTGCATTGCACTTGGTGATGTATGGCTTGGATGCAGCTGCTCGACCATCTCAAGAATGGTTGTGCAGATATATTTTTTGGTTGTATCACGTAGCTGCGTGTCCCACATAGACTTAAGAATGAAAGCTTTAAGTCTTAGGGTTTATAAATGGACACGGTGATGTTTCAAAGACTGCAGTTTCCACCGTTTGTCTGTCTAATGTGTTCCTAATGCAATTTTTGATTAGCTGTGTATTATGGAAGAGTCACATACGTAATATCCTCATCTCATAATTTCAAAGAATGGCATCCTCATCCATGATACACTGACCTGTGTTAAAAAGTATATAACCATGTGAATTTGATACCGCCTTCAGACAGACTTTGCAGCAGGGAGTGGTTTACTCTTCATCTGAAACTGTGAAGTCGTACCAATTCAGCACGACTGACTCGCTCTTGTCCTATTTAACCACGAAATTATCGCCTTCTTTTGCAAACGCCATGTTTGTTTACACTGGTGTGTGAGGGACATGATAGAGAGGATAATCGATTTGAGTATTTTAACTTTTTAAACATCGTCATTATCAAATAATCCAATTATGATTTAAAATTGAGCTGGTGAAGGTGACAGTTTTGGTTGTTGGAGGCATATTTGTTTTACATTTGCATGTGGTCGGCTGTGATACATATACTTCATTATTTAAAGAGTTTGAATGCAAGCTTCTGAGTATAAAGATTATTAAGTATATTACAGTATAGATATATAAGATGTCTTTGCACCACAGGAAAGACTTGCTGTTGCAGAACATCTCTGAAGGGTGGGTGTGAGGTTGCATTGACACCACTTTAGAATAATAAAATCTACCCCATGATTTTCTTTCTAACAGAAAAACTCTCAAAAATACAAAAACAATTACACAGGTGCAGTTTATCCAGATAAAAGCATCTGTTTCCATCCCATCTTTCAAAATCAGCGAGTAAAACAAATCATATTTTGTTTTTTTATTTTAAAAGCACTCCACTCGATATTGTTCCTTCCTGATGATCGTGTTTTGACAAGAATAACAAAAGAAATTTAACTCGACAAACCATTACATTTTGCTTCTAGTTGGTTTCTTCCTTCTGTTTTCCAACAAACTGATATTAAATTTACGACTCAAAAGAGACTCAGATAAAAATGAAGAAAATCAGAGGAGCCGATCTATCGCGGAAGAATTCAAGTTTTACCAACAAAAATTACAGACAGGATAAAAAGCGCAAAAACAGACGGTGTAAATATCTGAGTACATGAAGCAGCGATGAGTGTCGTGATGGCGAGGACTGACTTGTCCGTCCTCGTCTGTTCAGCTCAGACCCGTGCAGATGTGCAGTATGGAGGGCTGCTGGGAGGCCACATCCGTCTGAACGATTCCTCGTGTCGGATGAAGCCGAGCTCTGAAGCAACAGGATGAGTCAGGCGGGTGAATCCTGAACTCAGCTGACGGAGAGACGTTCACACAGAAGGAGAGAGAGAGAGAGAGAGAGAGGACCGCAGGGCCAATCTGCCTCCGTCTGTCATGTGACCGAGTTTTATTTGGAGCTTTGAAAACAGCCTTGTCACACAGATCAGACTGTTGACCTTCACAGTTCCTCCCCAGATCTACAAAGTGAAGTATGGATGTAACTCTGAGCCAACCCTGACCCAACCACGGCAACGCGCACAAAATGTGAGAAAATAAACAAACAAAGGGCGCTTTCATCGAACCTTGGAGCAGCGTGTTTGCAGCGAGAGCACAATCAACCCGGCGACTGAACAAACAGCTGCTCGGCTCATCAAACCAGGAGGAGGCGAGCAACAGATGCAGTAATACAGCTGCAAGGCCATCTCCATTAACGTTACCGTTCCAGAGCTGGTGCCAGACAAGGCCGTACACAAACAGACTGGTTTAGTCTAGAGAGTTCAGGCCTGAATCAGGAGAAATCAGGAGGATTTGTCTTTCTCAGAAGTGAAACGTTGAGCTGGTCTTTACCTTTAAGGACATGACTCTAACTTTTTTCACATGTTCTCCTAAGTTGAAGAAGTACGCAGCACACAAAGAACTTTAGGGGCACAATGAAAATTGATCAAATAATGTTTGTCTTATTGGTTGACATAAGTACTATTATTTGGAGTCAATTTTAGGTCTTCTGGTCACGTGACATGGAAGCTATTAAAGGAAAGGTTCAAAATTTGTCTTTAAATTTAACACAAAATTTTTTAGAGGACAAATTAGGGAAATAAAGAGGTGTGTCTTATTGTTCGACCATGGTACTATTATTTTAAATCAATTTTAGGTCTAGCTATTGAAGGAAAACAGCCTTTTCTGAGAACATCAACCAGTAATTTATTGACGGTCCCTTATTCAACACCGACGTTGACAGTGAGGGTGTCGAGTAGATTTAACCGCGCTGCTGTTGTTATTCCCGGTTATGGAGAGTGAGAAGACACCGGTAGATCCTCAGAGAATGTCCGTCAGATATCCAACCTAAAACTAACTTCACCGTCGTATTTACAGGAAAATATATCCAACCTGAAACTAACTTCACCGCCGTATTTACAGGAAAATATATCCAACCTAAAACTAACTTCACCGCCGTATTTACAGGAAAATATATCCAACCTAAAACTAACTTCACCGCCGTATTTACAGGAAAATATATCCAACCTAAAACTAACTTCACCGCCGTATTTACAGGAAAATATATCCAACCTAAAACTAACTTCACCGCCGTATTTACAGGAAAATATATCCAACCTAAAACTAACTTCAGCGCCGTATTTACAGGAAAATATATCCAACCTAAAACTAACTTCACCGCCGTATTTACAGGAAAATATATCCAACCTAAAACTAACTTCACCGTCGTATTTACAGGAAAATATATCCAACCTGAAACTAACTTCACCGCCGTATTTACAGGAAAATATATCCAACCTAAAACTAACTTCACCGCCGTATTTACAGGAAAATATATCCAACCTAAAACTAACTTCACCGCCGTATTTACAGGAAAATATATCCAACCTAAAACTAACTTCACCGCCGTATTTACAGGAAAATATATCCAACCTAAAACTAACTTCAGCGCCGTATTTACAGGAAAATATATCCAACCTAAAACTAACTTCACCGCCGTATTTACAGGAAAAAACATTTGTTAGCTTGGCTAATTTTTTTAAATGCGCACATGTGCCCCTAAATACATTTTACCATTCGCACACATCTATTAGTGATGGGCGTAGCAGTTCTTTTAGATGTACTGAATCACCAGAATCAGTTCACTTAAAAGATTTGTTCAAAAGATTCATTCATCGAATCGTTCAGTGCTTGGCAGGAGGAGCCTGCGACTTTCTGGGACTGGGAGATGAGAGTGTTTGTCTGTGTTGCTTAAACAGGTTTGTAAAAATGAACTTGTTTATAAGTCATGATGTTTTAGTGTCCTATGGTATGCTGTTTATAAGGTTTAAATTGGGGTCTGTGAGTGATTCGTTCACTGAACGTTTTGAAGAATTCACACTGAACATGAACCGTTCCCTTGCAAACCGCTGCAGTGATAGGACGCTGCGGGTTTAATGCACTTCTTGTTACATGTTGTGTCCTATTGTATGAAGGTTGTTGTGGTGGCAATTTAGCAGTAAAAAATAAAGTTCGTTTTGTCCAACAAAAATAATTCCAGAGAGGGTAGTTCAATGTGTGATTCCTTTACCAAGTGATTCAGGTGTTGGTGTATGCGAATCCCTCATTCGCCTGGCAATGCTGTGTGCTGTAGCATCTGCCCTGCTGACAGCTCAACTGAAGTGAGAAACGAACGAATCACTTGAGAAAGTGATTCGGTTCAGTAGGTTCACTTTAAAGATTTGGTTCTTTTGAATGAATCGTTCGCAAACGACACAACAATAACATCTATTTTTAGTCTCAAATGCGAGTGAAACGGTCGCGCTGTGGAGCTCTGCCTTTACAGTCTGTTTGAGCTGGTTTGTGTTCAGCAGCTGAGAGTAGAGCCTGTCTGTCTGTCTGTCTGTCTGTCTGCCTCCAGCTGTGGGGATGCTCTTTAGACACTCAGCACCTCTCTCTCTATTTTAGGGCGATTATTCTTCTGCCTCGCTCTCCTCCCTCTGACATGGTAATAAGGAGCTTGTTTGAACAGCTCAGCTCAGTTTGGACAGAATCCAGTCCAGGCTGTGATCCCAGCAGTGCCAATACTGTCGTGAATCACCAGTAACCCTCCAGCAGGTCCATCAAACTACCTCCATATCTAAAGACGTCCTTTTCCATGTGTGCGTGTGTCTCCTCTCCAGTAAGTCCAATTTCTGTGCGTCTCATGGCGGATTACCATCTGCGTGCTGCTCACTTTGTGTGCGGCCTTGTAAAATTTACAGATGAAAAGGACAGGTGTTATAAAACTCCATCTATTCCCTCTTTCTCTTAAAAACTCACAGGCAGAAACACGAGTATGAACTCAGATATTTGCATGTTTTCAGCCGTTTAATAATAAACCCCTGAAGCTGTTTGAGGCTCTCATGGTCAGCTGTTTGCAGCTGATAGCACGGCTGCTTTTCGCTGGAGGTGTGTTTGTGTTCAGTGATGCTGCTTATCCTCCCTACAGCCTGTTAGGGAGGTATTTTTTTGTATTCATATATTTATTTATTTATAGCTGACTCTTTGTCCTCCTGGTGTGAAGCTCCTGAAGAGTTTTTCTATTTTTTCTCTTGATCTTTTCGCCGCTGTTGTGTTTGTTTACCATGAGTATATGCACTGAGCGCTGATTTAAGCCGATTCAAAGCTTGTGAGTGGAAAAGCGAAGCAGGCTGCTGCAGAGCGAGAGTGAAAGTACACTCTATGACCTGATGTTAGATGCTTTACTCCCCTGTGAGATTACCGAGCAGCTTGTTCCAAGCTATGAGCGTCAGCCTGAAGTTTGAACAGCCTTCACTATTCGGGTGGAAATCCTCCTGGTAGTCAGAGTTCTGCTCTCATTCAGCCGGCGTTGGTTCAGTGAAAGATACAAGTTTTTCTCCATGTTGAAAAGTTGTGTTTGGTGTTAACCTTAAAGGTCCCTATTATGGCATTTTTCATCAAGTTTAAATCGGTCCCACAATATAAGGTTTGTGGTCTAAAACATCGGTTTATTTGTTGACATCAGCCAACCTGTACTCCCCTCTCCCTGATTCTGTGCCTGTACCTTTAAATGATAATGAGCTGTGTGTAACCACACCCCTTTCTGAAGGGGGCTGCGGCTTTTGCTCTGATATCATGCGCTAATGTTTACAGCCTGCGCAGTGTGATGGCTCGTAGAAGAGCTCTGGTTCAATCTGACCCAGAGGGAGAGGCACCCGTGGAAAGTCAAAAAACTCTGCGGCTGCAACAAGACGTTTCTGAATGGTTAGTTACAAATATGTGTCTTTATATTTCTTTTTTTCACTTTGTTTGTGTGTTATGTTACGTTGCTGGGTGGGTTAGCTTATCTGATGGCTACGTCTCCGCTGTCTCGTTGTTACTTGGAGCTCTTTTGGCGAATACCCAATATTCTGAAAAGTGGAATGTTATAGTTTTCTCTCGTGACCAACGCCGTTTGGTTTTCGTCTGTCCATAATGTCCCCCGCTTCGTGCAAAAAGACGAACTGAATAGTAGGATAGGATGGACTGAATGCTCTGAGGGGGCTTCGAGGGGATGCATATTATTGGTAGAAAATGACCCAGAAGTGGATTTTTCATAATAGGGGACCTTTAAACTCAAAATGACAACAGGTTTGAGGAACACTATCATCATTGGTGAACCAAAACAAAGTAACATTTGAAAAATCGTACATTTTCTATTGAGATTTAAAAAGTGCATTATTTTAGTCTTAGGACAAATATAAACAACCTTATCTTTCGCGTAAAACTTGAATTTTGCATCAGTATTGTTTTCATATAGAGGTATATTACTAGTGGGCAATGCTGGGTCCAATGTAACTGTGATATACTTTTACTTACACAGTAACACAGGGCCCAGTATGGCGCCCTGGGGGACACCATGATGCATTTTAAAAAAGGTGAGAAACTGTCAGGTTTCAGAACCTTCAGACACACACTGATCTTTTTTTAATCATTTTTATTGATTTTAAAGTGTTGTTTAGACCCCCTCCTCCAAAAAACAAAAAAATAAAAAATAAAATAAATTAAATAAATAAATTGATATTAAAATGAAAATAATAATAATAATAATAATAATAATTGGGTTCAAAATTTCAGATTGTCCTCTAGTAATTTTCAGAAAAACTAGGCAAATTTGATCACGTTAAAATTAGCCACTACATGTACCATCCTCTGATCTCCGAACATTCAGAGTATTTCCGATGAAATCTGTGCTCAGGTTTTTCACGACCAGCAGCTTTTTTCTGTGATTTTCAGGGAAAGTTTGATCTCTCTGTAAAAGCTGCTGTGTGCAGAGTTAGTAAATCTGACTCCGGGTGCTCTTTGCTTTTCAAGGATCCGCCTGACCTTCTCACGGTTCACAGCTTCCTGTGAAGCCAAGTGGGATTTTACTTCATCTTCAGTGGATTTAATCATCAAAATCAAAGAGGAGCAATAATCTTAATCTGGATTAATCTCATTATTGATTTCTTTTTCCTGGTCATGTCATGGACGCAGCATGTGGTCAAAGCACTGCGGCACATTTATAGGAGCAGCGTTCACGTTATAATCCATCCGTGTCTCAGTGAGGACTCCCTGAGAGCTGTCCTCTCGCTGGTCCTCTGCCCGCTCTCTCCCTCTCAGCGGGATTCTGGGTAATGACTCTTTTTGGAGGATAATGGAGTGTGCAGTGGCCTCATCGGGCTCTTCTCTGCAGAGGGGTGATGGAGTGTCTCGCTGCTGGAGCTTTTGCCTGGAGGTCTTCTGCCTCAAGCGCATGTCTGGCTAAGACAGAACGGGGAGCAGATACCCCGAGCGATTAGCATCTGTACCATCAAAGAGCTGCTGCCTCCGTTTTCTGCTGCTCACCCCTGGAGCGAAAAATCTGTGTTGCAGCAGCTCGGCTGTTGAACTCCACTCTTATTTGCATAATGGTTCATGTAATTGGGTTATTTTTCACCATTTTAAAACAACTTCACACCTATTAAGCAGTTTTTGGGGAGATTTTTTAAAATTAGAGAAATGATGAAACACTGTCAAATTTTGGTGGTACCAAAATCACAATAAGGTTGAACTTATTTTTAAAAATATTTTCATCATTATAGGCTCAAAACTCTGATCAATTGCTGCATCCAAGCGGTAACTACATAATGCTTTGTCGTCTTGTAGTGCAGCAGGGTGTGTCAGCGTGTTGATTTAAACATGTTTTTGTGTAAGCTGTGTTTGGTTATTCGATCAGAACAGTGTGTAACCAGCTCAGGTATGTAGATGTTAACCTGCAAGGAGAACGGTAACACTTTACAATAACCATAATTTATAAATGGTAAATAGATAGTTAATTAATATAAGTTAATAGTTACTTTACCATGAACAAGCAATGAAATTATCATTAATAGTTTTCATTAATTATTAATGGACTATTTATTAAGTTTATATAGGGTTTAAATATTGGTTGTATAACATGTAGATTAAAATGTGTGTCAGCAGCACTTTCTAAATGGTTAATATTTGGTTTATAAACCACCTATAAATATTACTTAGATAGTTATTGTAAAGTTAGGTTTAGGTTTTTTAAAATTGTATAACTTACAATTTATTAATGGTCTAAATATTATAATAAAGCTATTATAAGCTATTATAAATGATGATTAACATTGATAAATTATCTGCTTACCATTTATAAGTTATTGTTATTGTAAAGTGTTTTCAGGAGAACACTTGGTGGTGCTAGCTCTTCAACTGTTAGCCAAAACTCTGCAAACCTGCAGACTGAGTCAACACGTCAGCTGTGTTGTTGTGTAAACAGTGTTGGGGCTCGACGGTGTGACCGTTTCACTCGTATTTGTGACTAAATATAGATGTGTGCAAATTGTAAAATATTTTTAGGGTCACATGTGCACATAAAAAAAAAATCTGCTGTCAATGTCGGTGTTGAATAAGGGACCGTCAATAAATTACCAGTTGATGTTCTCAGAAAAGCCTGTTTTCCTTCAATAGCTTCCTTAAAGACCTAAAATTGATATCAAATAATAGTACTTATGTCGACCAATAAGACAAACATTATTTGATCACTTTTCATTGTGCCTTGACTTCCTTTAAAACAGCACTAAAAAACCCAGAGTTTATCAGTGTTTCCCTAAACTTTAGTTTTTTTTTCTGTCCACACAACAACAGCTCAGAGACATTTTCCAAAAACCTCCACCTGAGGAACTCTTTTCAGAAACCTCGTTTTTTAGTGACCTGAGTGGGTGGAAGGTCAAAATATTTTCAAAAGTGTCAGCTGAGTCTTTCAGTGGGACTTAGATGTCTCCGTGTGTTTAAAAAGTCCAGTTTCAGTCGAATAGTTAGTTCATATACGGTAACGTTCTGTTTTTAGCACATTAGATAAATTGCTCTTAATTGAGGAGGTGGTTTTCTGCGTCTTTTCTCACCTTCTGACTTTTCGGTTGTTTCGAGTTTAAATGAGGCTCTTTGGGATCCACTCCTCCTTAGTCCTGAATTAAAACAGTTAATATTTCAAACAGCAACAAACCGATTCCAGCCGCTGATCTGAATCATAAAAACGGCGGGTCATGACAAGCCTCCGTCCCTCTCCCTCCTGCCGGCCTCTCAGAGTCTGAACTGAAGCTGGAGTAGGTCACTGAGTCTGTGCTGATGTTTCTTGTTCTTGGAAGAGGCAGCGAGGGATTTGTGAGCCTCCGGCACAGATTGACTCGTCTGTGAAGTGGCTGAAGGTGGAGGAGGGAGAGCAGGGGGATGAGGTGAAACGGAAAAGACAGGTAATTGTGTCTCTGGGGGTTTTGAGGTGGATTTGTCTGATCTGACAGAACAGGAAGGGAAAAAAAAAGAAAACGAAGAGAAAAGCTTCTCCTTCTCACTCTGCAGGAGGAGAGGAAACACAAGTATTGACCCAAGGTGGTTCGAGTCGCCCTTTCTCAGAGGATGAATGGGCAGCTCTCTTCTTATCTGACTTGCTGCTCTGCTGGTAATACCAGCGTCTCCTCTGCTGCAAACAAAAGCAGCACAATACAAGCCCTCTATCGCTCCTCCTTCATTCCCCATCTTTGTTTGGAGATAACACATCTGAAAAAAAAGTGCAGCCTTCATCCAGAATAGATAGGAGGGTTACACAATTTTTAAAGTAGTACGACAACTGTTGAGTCATCAGCTGCAATCACAGGGCTCAGAACGGTTTGTGTCTTCAGCTCCTAACTCGGCAACTCAATCGATTTTCATGTAACATGTTGTTCAACTTCAGTTTTTTTTTGGGCAAACGTCACTTTACAACTTTCTCAAAACTTCAACTGAGAGGTTTTGTTTTCCCCTCAGCTCCTCCTCCCCCTCAAGCCCCGCCCACAAACAGACGCTCCTGCTCGCTCGTCTCGTTCCAATTAAATTCAGATATAATGCAGATAAATCCTTCAGATCATTACAAATGGGGCCCAGTCAAGGTGAAAGTCAAAAGCATTGGTGCTACTGTAGATGCCAACAGACTACCAGCAAACACAATGTTTGCAGGACTTCTACAACGAGGATAAAGTGACATAGTCCAGGACCCGAGGGAGGACAGTTTAGCGATGGCGCTACAACACGCTACAGCAGGTCCGTTTGACAAGAAACACTTCTGTTACAGACACTTGTCTTACTTTGTTAAAGCGGTTTACCTGTCCAGCAGAAAGGTTACAGGGTCACCAAGATCCCCAAGCGTCCCCCATCGTTTATGTTGACCCGGCTTTTTAGCTCTTGTCCGGTCTACCTCCGTTTTAAGCGCCCGTTATTCCTCCAGAGTCTCCGGTATTTACTTTGTTTTCTTGCTTGTGTCGGCAGTCGTGGCCAAAGGAGGATTCAGACAATTTTCCGAACTTTCTGGTTGGTTTCTACTGTCCGATATTGTAGCACGCTAACTTTGTTTGGGCTCCTGCACGACACGGTGGAGCAGCGTCTGCCTCACAACCAATCAGGTTAGAGGAGGCGGAGAACGGCTTTGTTTACAGTCAGAAAGAGCGGACCGCTCAAAAATGTTCAAATGTTGACGACACAGACATAAGAGAACACAGAGATATCGATATATTACCAAATGTCATCAATAACTAATATTGACTGATATAAAATGTTTTGACCTGTGTCTTAAATCAGCTGTAAATTACACTAAAAAAAATTCTCTATCATCCAGTTTGGTTCTCATCTCTAGGTCACCTTGTTCAGCTTCATTATCCATGAAAATATTGATTATAATAGTTTTTATTGTGGTCCTCTGGGCCTATTATACCCCTCACACAGACATGCCTGACGTTGTTTTTAGTCCAGCGAAAAATATGGAAAAATAAGAATTTCCTAAATCTCACATGATTGGAAGAGGATCTACCTGATAGTGCACCTGTGTATTAAGTTTATGCTCTGATTATTAGATATTGATCTAACCGGGTCAACAACGACCCTAACTCGACAAGTGCCATATCATAATAAAAGCATTTAATAATTTAGTCAATTTAATTTTTTTATTGGTATTTTGTTGAAATCGAGGTTCCTGACAAAGTCAAAAAGTCTTGATGTAAAAAAAGCAGATTTCAGTGTTTCTTTTAAGCATTTAAAATCAAAACCGGGTCGGTGCTGACCCTAACACAGGAGGAGGTTAAATGTTGTTCAGCCTTGTAGTCGTCCAGTACCAAGTGGTCCAGTTTTGTGAACCTCGATCTTGTCTGTGTTTGGCTCCGTTTGTGTGTATTTGCCTCCTAACATATGCGTCTGTTTTTCTGCGACCGTGTGGATCTTGGCTAAAACATACACAGAAAAAAATGATAAACTAACATCTGGAAAAAAAAAAAAAATCAGCAGACTGAACAAACTGGGCATTCACACCAGCTCTGGTGTTCATTTAAAAACCGAGCAGACAGAATGGAGAGAAATCTGACAGGGACAGAAAAGAAAAGCTCCTGAATCTCGGAGACAAACAAGACAGGTGACAGTAATTGACTAAAAACGCGTCAAGGAAATCTGACAGAGCTGATCTTGCTCTTGAGTTCGCAGTACATACCGAGGGAGATGAGGACAGACTGGTGCATGTTTGAGTCTGGAGAAGTTGGCAGCTGACAGTTTGGGAGCCAACAAATTAAACCGAAACTTAGAGACGTAAACAAACCGCTGAAGTTCCTCCACAGGAAAGGAGGAGAGGCGGTGAAAATCGCCTGCAGGTTCACAGATTTTTGAAACATAGAGCATTCAATGATTTAGAGACGCTTTTATTTAATAGTAATGGCTGAAAAAGAAGTGAAATAAACACTTAGACCTTGTTAATATGTCAGTGAGTTTCTGGTTGGACACGGTCAGAACTGAGCTGTTGTTTCTAGACTGTAAACACCGACTGAAAACGTGCGTCTGCTCCAAGACTAAACGAAATAGGATGGTTCTGTCTCATGATTTCATTTTGTCTTCACGATTTTAGACATTCATCATAAATTGTAGGCTCTGCTGTAATGCTGTTGGGATTATGTTCAGGTTGCTTTCAGTCAGAGGTAACACAGAGGACCCGATGGCATCCTCACCTCTTCTTTCATTTCTTCTTTGCCGAATTTTCCGATGTGAAGCTATGTCAGACCTTGAAGGTCGCTGGCATTTTGTTCTGACTTTGCCGTCACCTATTTCTGCAGAAAAATCTTTCTCCCTGGCGCCGTAACACAGCCTCAGAAGAACAAAGCAGCTCCCACAAAGCACAGTGAGGTAACTGTGCAGGAGAGGTGACACCTCAGAGGTTAGCGCGGCATTTCCCTCCATTGTGTTTCATTGTGGAGACCTTTTCAGGCCCAGGAGCAACGAGCAGGATGCTTTCAGGAACCAGGGGGAGACGGCACAAAGGGGTGAGTTAGGAAGGAGGATATAAAACAAACAAAGCATGAATTAAAAATGCAGAAATAACAAAAATAGAAGCGAAGAGGTGAAAAACAGACTGCAGGGTGAGCTTTAATTATTCAGCTGACGGTTCGCAGGTTTAGGTGGTAAAATACCTAATCCTTAAAAAGACAAATGAGTCAGAGGTCCACTGTATCAAAAAGAATATAAAAAATATATCAAAAAGTACTATCATATATTAAAGGGATATTCCGGCGTAAAATTAATTTAGAGTCAAACATCGTAACACCGAGTTAGACCCCCCCTCCAGAGATGAATGTTGTCGACCGCTTGCTTCTCTAGTTATACCAACTTTAGTAACGACCGCAGGATAGAAATACAGAGAGCCACGTCCCCAACCAAAACGCCACTCTATAGCCACAAATAATGCTCAGAACAGCACCTAACTTCATCAACAGGACATATAGGGTCACAGACATAGTACTAGACACCAAACATCTTTTTAACTTTGACTCATTTATTTAGCAAAGAGACTAAACACAACTCACCTACTCTCTTCCAGCAGCCGCTTGTTTGTACAGACTACAGTGGGGTGTCACAGCTCAAGGAAGAACATTTATGATAATTTCTTTATCATTTCCTTGAAGTCATAATCACCATATTAATCATTTTTCTCTGCAGACGCGGTAGTTCTTCTGTCTTAGCGTCTCGGTCTGATTGTATTTCCATGAAGAAATGATCATAAATGTTCTTCCTTGAGCTGCGGCACCCCGCTGTAGTCTGTAATGGACTGGCCTGAGGTCTTTCTACGAACAAGCAGCTGCTGGAAGAGAGTAGGTGAGTTGTGTTTAGTCTCTTTGCTAAAGAAATGAGTCAAAGTTAAAAAGATGTTTGGTGTCTAGTACTATGGTTGGGTGATACAGTGTGTTTTACCCTAAATTAATTTTACGTTGGAATATCCCTTTAACTCTGTCTCTGTCCTTGGTGCTGAAACAGTGAACAGTCTTTTGATTCTCTGTCTCCGTCCGTTGTGCTGAAACTCTCCTCCTTTTATTCCCTTTGAACATTTTTCATTTGTTCATGTCATTTGTTTCCAGAAATCCTCCAACCACACAGTGAAAAAGTCCTTTAAAAGATCAAAGTGAAACCTGTGATCTTTATCTCCGCCCACAGATGGATCCTGTCACTGCGCTGTAACATTAGACAAATGGACCATTACAAGCTAACATGAAAGTTCATTAGTGATCACTCATGCAGCTGAAATCGTCCATGTCTCTGTCACTCTCTATGTGTACGATGAGTGAAACGTCCTGAGGTCGGAGTTTCCACTGAGACCTGTCTCCTGTCTAAATCCATACTTGGTTATTAATGACTGACAAATTAGTGCCGCACAGAACACGGGCTACATGGCAAGTGGCGAAGCTCCTGTTGTGCTCTATTAGCTAGTTTATGCTGCACTCTGAATATTGATGGAGGGGAAAAGTGCCCAGAGCAGAAATTTGTTTGTGGCAGCGTGAAACCTGGTCCTCGTGATAATGGCCATTAGGGAGGTAGCAGCAGAGCTCACAGCGGGGGAGACAGACAAATGGTACCGAGAGCGGACTATTGATGGCTGTGTTTACTGTTTGTATTTCTCCTTTTCTGCGCTATTGATGCCACTTACCTGTGCTCTTATTGGACTGTTGATGTTCTGGTTGAAAGTACAAAGTATAAACCCACAGCGGGGGAGATTCTTTGTGTAAATGGAAGTGCTGTTATTAAATTGAACCCTGTTTGAGTGTTTAGTGGGGGTTAAAGGCTCTGGCACCCTCAGAGGTTTTTTAACCCTTAGAACTCCCAGCTATATTTAGCTATTTTTGGTCCAAAAATGATGTAAATTGAATGTGACGGTAGATTCAGAACCATCAAAGTCAACCAAAAAACAAAAACAGAAATTGATCCCAACAGTACTTTGCTCAAAAAACACATAATTCTACAGTGACCAAGCCTTTTCTCACCTGCACATCATTCTCTCAAGTCTTGGCTATCAGGAGAAGAAATATTGGGATTGGAACAAACACACAACAGAAACTATTGACATATTTACATTAATTCTTCCAGACGTTTTTGACTATTTACAGTTATTTATGCCACTCCTTGAAGTTCCTGTCTGGGATGAGACAGAGGACCACATCATACTGCTCAGAATCTCTTCTTTGCTTGTTTCCAAACATTGAGGACCTTTATTGTTTTATTTTGCAGACAGAGAACTTTCTTGTCTCTTGTTGATCTTTGGTTGCCTCTTATTCGACACTATCGTCAAGGGAACGATAGAAGATTTACCATCAAATGTCTCTGATCAAACACCTGTTTTTGTGGCTGGATTGTAAACCTTGTGGCGGGTGTAGAAATGTCTTGAAACCCTCGATAGATCGCCAAAAGGGTAAACTTTTGAACACTTTTCGTCTCATAGAGATACACGGTATAGTTCCTATGGAAACAATATTAATGGTGTCACATGGGATCCCCAGGAATCCAGTGGAGCTCTAAATGTTAAAGTGTTTCATGTAAATTTTGAAGGACTGGTGAAGTGACTGACAGAAACCTCTCTGTTTGGAAAGGTTCATGTCATAATTAAGTACTAAAAGATGATGTTTGGAGGTCACCTGATTTAGTCAGTGCTCCTCTACAGACCTGGTTTAGCGACCCTCCTCCTCTGAATGGGAACAGTTTTGACTGAGGTTGTTTCAGTGGTTTGATTGTGACTTAAAGCTAGAAAAACAAATATGTAAAACCACAAGTATTGTTGTACAACACATAGCTGTGAATTTAGAATCTGTCGCCGCCGTTGCGGATCAGAGCCGTTCCAGATGCGGTGGAAATCTTGGGTAACACAGACCTATATTTAGTGCTTATTTGACTGTGATCTCTCAATCTAATGAAAGCAGCCTTCTTTTATGACACCTCAAAGTTTCAGTAAAAACAGAAATCATGTCTCTTTTCAAACCTGAAGTACATTAAAGTTCAGCATTTACAGTAAAAACAAACCAAAAACAGCTTTAAACTGACGGATGACTCACAGTCCAGAGCATCCTGAGACTCCTAAATGTGAGGGCAGTACCCCTTTTTACTAACTTATGTCTACCGTGAATTAAATGTGAGAAGTGACTTTCGTCTTACTTCTTTTCCGAGGTTTGGTTTGCTGTAGGAGAAGTCCCTAAATCTGAAGGAAACTAGAGAAACCAAACAATCTAGATTCTATATATTGAGACTCACGTCTTAAAGCTGCGTTACACCTACACATTAAAATCAAACTGAACTGGAAATACAAACACAGTTGAAGTGGAATTAATTGAATGGAAGTGAATGTGCTTCTATAGTTGGGAGGAAATGGGTGTTCCACCAGAGCGCCAGGCTAATGCGGTGTCCGCTCTCATTTCCTGCGTGTTAGTATTGAGCGATTACGACAGCTTTTCTGGGAGTCCAATTCCCCTGGCTGTTTGTTCCCTGCAAGGTCCTCTACATCTGCTGGCACGGTCGCTTCATTTTAGCTGAAAACACGAGGACGGACTCGCGCCTGCTGTCAGGTCCTGGTGTGACACGGGGGGAGCGAGCAAAGTCGAGATAGGAGAGGATTTGAACAGATTTAAGAGCGACAGGAAGGAAGTGAAACCCCTGCTTGAAACAGGAGGACAGTAAATACATTTTTATCCTTTTTTAATGAAGTTAGTCACAAGAGCCCAGCACAAAGAAGGACCACCGGACAACTGAAACCATGTGAAGCTGCTGTGTACTTTGCTGGATCACCAGAGCTGAGACAGTCCCTAATTCCTTCATTACCCAGGATTCCATTATTCCATTATAAAACATTGTTTATTGTGTTGCTGGTGGTCTTGTCAACTATTTTGTATCTTAATCAGATATTAATGGGAACATCAAATGTTGAGACTGAAAAATGTTTTAGTTTCATGAAGATTTTACGCTTATTTTAAATCTAATCCAGATGTTATTGCGGGGACATCAGCTTTTCTTTACCCAACACCCTGTCAACATTAGTGGACCCAGGAGACCAGTATCTGGACAGTGATATGTTGTCCCATCAGTGTCTGGTGTTGGATGTTAGCTACTGAACAGTTCAGGCTCTCCTTGGTCCTGTTTTTGGTGCTTTGAATGTTTTCAATGTGGGACAAGTCAGGACCACATCAGTCCGGGACTCCTCTCCTACAGAGCCATGCTGTTGTAGTCCCTGTTGTCTGAGTGTTGGTTGTGATCATATGAAGGTCCTCTCTGAAAAACTCTTTGTCTGGATGTCAGCAGATGTTGCTCCTAAACCTGGAGATATTGTTTAAATCTGATGATGCAGCATCTATGATTTCCAGTTCTTCGTTGGCGAAACGTCCCAATTAAGTCCAGTTGTCTTTTCCAAAAGAATATTAGATTTTGATTCATCAGACCTCAGGACAGTTCAAACCTGTATCCTCGCTCTGTATATGTGCAAAGACATAAATCATGCAGATGTTCCAGTAAAGATCTTTATTTCAGACTCTTCACTCTCACGCTTCCATGGTCTTCCTCGGCGTCTTCCTCGGCGTCTGCCTCGGCTGCGTTATGCCGTCTGCTAACATAACAGACTGGTTAATAGCGCTCCACGCAATCAGACGTGTCGTTTGTGTTAACATTATTTCACTAATTGTATCCTCCCTTAGAGCTAATTACTTTACTGATGCGCTGTGATCCCATAATATCTGCAGTCACTGAAAGTCGTTTCCAAAGCGGAGAGGATTTCATAAATGACTGCTTTTGCATTTTAATGCTGAGGAGGTTGGAATAGCTTATGGTGATGAGGGTTTAAATTTGTGCGCATGTGTGTGTGTGTGTGTGCATGTGTGTGTTTAATGTTAGTGACATTTTCAAGCACCATCCCAATAAAAAAAACAGATTGTCTTTTCCTTTGTGTAAACTCCCAGCTGTCATGGAGACTTTGGCGGACAGCCTTGAGGAAAATGACGAAGATGGAAATCTGTTTTTTTTCTTCAAGAATCTGTTTTTATTTTTAGACGATGAGCTCTGCCTTTGAGAGGAGCACAGATCTGCAGTCATAGATGTTTAAGGAAGTGTCAGCTGCTCAGCTCCACATAGATATACATCACTCCCTCTCTGGTTCATGCACTTCTTTTTAATCCCTAGTTCTGCTCCTCCTTACGCTCAGGCGTGCTGATGTAAAGGTACCATATGTGTGATCAGGTCAAAGTTTTGTTTCTTTATGGATGAATTTTGTGAGTTTGTGCAGGTTATGAAATAATGAAACGGTGACTCATCTGTCGGATGATGTTGATTCAAAGCAGAGATGTCAGTTGTGTTATTTTAATTAGAGTTAATTGTTAAACTCCAGAGTTGGTTTGTCCAGAGGGAGGGGCTGAGCGAAGAAAAGCTTCTGGTCATCATGGTTAACGAGTTCTTCCTCCAGTCTGAGAAACAAAGACTGAAGAGATCTCATGTCTGAAAAGTGTTTTGATTTTATTTTAATGTCACGTCTGACTTTGTTTTCAGGATTTGAGACCTCTATCTGAGAATTTAGATGAAAGTCAGACTTCTGAATAAAAAGAAATCAAACTCTTTTATAAAAGTCTTTTTCTGTGAGATGGAATTAAATTCAGAATTCAGAGTTTTAGATTAAAAACAAAACAAAAAAAAGTCTGAATTCTGAAGACGGAAGTAATAAAATTGGAAATTATTCAGAACTTTTAGATTTTTTCCCCCTCATGCTCCTGAGATTAAACCATAGACTGTATATACTATGGACAACTTAGCTCCAGCCGATATGCTCTCAGTAATTCCACGTTTTTTCTCGCCCTGATGACACTCGGCTCAAACGGCGTATCCCCTGATTGATCTACACAATCTTCGTACTCCCATAGGCTGTATCAGGTGTCAATCATAGAAAACATTAACCCCCTGATAACTTTTAAAAATGGAGCTGCACAGAAAAAAAGAGAACTTGAGCACAAACCAGTCTGACAGTAACTACATGTCAACATCACAACCAGGGGGGAAAAACATTTATATTCTGTGTCATTAATTTATAAAGTTTGTCCACAGCTCCATAAGGATTGCTGGAGGAGGCGGGATTTATGACTTATACTGCAGCCCGTCACCAGAGGGTGCTGTTCTCGGGGTGGCTTTACTTAGCCAGGAGGCAGATGGCGTCTATTCTATATACAGTCTATGGATTAAACGCAGATATTTGAATTAAATTTTAAAATGCTGTCTAGCTTCTTACCTGTATTTTTGTTTTCTGAGAAATAAATAAAAAAAATAAAAAATTCAGACTTCTATCAAATTTTTTCTATCACTGGCGTTTAATAAAGAAGAATAAAAAAAAAAATGACAGTAATAAAAATGGGGTTTAGAGGGGGTTTGTGGTCTTTCTGCTGGTCTACCAAGTCTGTTTTCAGGAGGGTCTGTCCGAGTTTTTACTGAGTCAGCTGTTTCAGCTCCTGAAGTTCAGTCTTGAACCGAAAACATCCAGGATCTGTACTGAGCGCGTTGTTCCGTATTTGCTCCGTAGAGCAGCATTGGGTCTCATACAGGATCAGCGTATTTGGAGTGTAGCAGCGGCGTAGTGAAGTGGGAGTGAGCAGCAAAAATCGACTCGGTGCATATCTTTCGCAGAGCTGCCCTCAATATGATGCTGCGGCGGAGCTGATCGGCATTCTGTATGTTGTCGCCTTTACCCCAGTTAACTTAAGGTGGATTCAGATATTAGTATATTCTCGCAGTATGTGAAAAAGATGCTGATCAAGGTTTCAGATGTCCCGTTAACTGACGGTCCAATCAGGTTAAAAATTCTCGTTCTTTTTTCTCCGTCAGGGATTGAACCAGGTGAGGAGAGAAGCTCAGCTGGGATCAGACGGAGTGTGGCGGGTGGACTGGCACGACTACGAGGCGATGCGGAGAGACGCCGCCCGATCAGGTGGGTCCAGACTTTTCTGCTGAGCGTGCAGATTTGTTTGGAGATGATCTGCTCTGTATCTCACACACACACACACACACACACTTTGTAAAGTGGGTCTCGTCTCGGTCTAATTCCTTCTGAGTGCGTCGGTCCCTCAGAAGGGTGTAAATCAATGCTGTGAGTTAAGTTCTCAGTTCATAATTAAACACAGTTAATCTTCTACAATAAGCATCGATTCAGCCGACGGGCCTTGAGAGAGAAAAACACCTTTGGCTTTTTATCAGGAATGTTGGGGTTTAAGGGGCTTTTATGTGGTATTATGTGCTGCTTTAGTGCTAAACGAGCCTGATGAGAGATCACGCAGAAGACTTAGTGGACATAACAAAAGGTTCCTGGGCTCATTAACCGAGCTGAAAGCAAAATAAGCATCAATTATTACAGCGGGAGGAGATACATTTTTAACTGATCTCATCCCCGCTCGATAATAAGAGTCTGCAGCTCAGAGTTTTTACTTTTCTCAGATAAAAACGCTTGTCTTTAAATTTGACTCCAGATAAGTGGTTTTGGTTTAGACCTGGTCCTGCTCCTGAACCTGAATTACAGTTTCTTTCAGTCACTAACAAGCATTTGTCCAAAACTCTGAACACAAGGATCACAGCATCGGTCTTCTGTGGCCATAACATTTACACATTTAATGTCGTTTTCACTCGATATGCAGTCAGGGAACACATTTTCACATTTCTTCCTTTTTCTTAACAGACAAGCTGTAGGCAGGTGTCTGTGCAACGTCATCGCAGGTATGTGCGCGCAGCCTTGGAGCAGAGAGCGGGACATTTCTTGTTTGTTTACTTGCGCAGTCATGGAAGTCATGACAGAGACATGGCCTGACACTGAGACATTACATGAGGAAAGAGCGACCTTTAGGAAACACTGGAGATAAAAATAAAGATAAAAATGGTGAAAAGAGTAAAACGTGATGGACTTAAAATAAGAAAATAATAATATTAAATGAAAAAATAAATAAAACGGGTAAAAGAAGTAAAAACTTGCGACAGGAAATTAAAAAAGGCTAAGAACAGAGATAATGAACAGAATGAACTTTCATTAAAATGAACATTTGCAGTAAGAAAAGTCTCAAATGGCAGTCAGTAAAAAGCCTGGTTAAAAAAGTGAGTCTGGAGCCTCTTCTTAAAAATATCAACAGAATAATTTCATTTTGAGTCATTTTTCCAGTGTTTTGGTAAAGTCAGTCTGTGCAGAGAAATGAAGAGTTAGTATATATTTAACAAAATCATCCATTTGTAGGTGTGAGTCTGAGAATGGGTTAAAAACTGTGATCCAGTATCTGAGTTTGGCCTCCTGTCCCTGGTGTCTGCAGGGCGCTCTCATTTGGCTCCTCCTCAGATTCATCAGCCTCCACGCGTGCGTCTGAGCGTGTTTGCGTACGGCGCGTTGATGAGCGGCTAATGAAACGTGCAGCACGCTGTAATGTGATGCGCTCCTGAAACGAGCGGAGATCCCTCACTGTTGGTGGAGCGCAGGCTTGTTTGAGAGTCATTAGAGTCACGCTCGTGTGTACATGCTATTTATCTGGCCTCAGTGTAATATACGTCCAATATCATATACGCGAGGTGAGAATTGATTGTTTGGTGCCTGCACTGAGACGATTAGTTAATTAATCAATAACTCAACTGGGTGAAAACTAATGAGTAAATATCTGATTTTCTCCTCCTTCAGCTGATTCTTCCTCCATAATGTAATTCCTCGACGAACTGCAGGGTCAAAAAAAAAAAAAAACAGCTGTAATGATATAAAATTCACTGAGCGTGTCTGACCTCATAAACATGTCTGCGTTGAATCTCATTGGTAGTCAGCTGCAGTGTGTGTTTTCACCGACCTGTTCGTGTGTGTGTTTGTTTGTTGCAGGTAACGGCGAGCAGGGGAAGCCGTTTTCTCTCAGCGAACCGGATCTGGCGGACCAGGCCTACAGAGAGAACGGTTTCAACATTTACGTCAGCGACCGCATCTCCCTCAACCGCTCCCTCCCTGACATCCGCCACGCAAAGTGAGTCCAGAGACATCAGCTGGGTGTTTGATTAAAAGGGAATTAATTGGCTGGCTGCTGAAACTCCTCCCTCTTTTATGTGGTTAATACTTTGGTTTCCCTCTCACTAGGGCTGCACAATTAATTGATTTTTAATCCTAATTGGATTATTTGATTATGAGGATGTTAAAAAACTAAAATCCTCAGATCGATTTTCCTCTCCATCATGTCTCGTGCCTCCAGGCCACCGTGGTTTTCAGTCTTTTGCTTCAAACTCTTGACTCGGGTTCTCTCACCTCGCTGGTGAAAATCCAGAACCAAAGATGAGGACACGTTTTGATATTTGAACTTTTCATTCAGACATTTTGAATACTTTATAATTCGAACAGACAGCCATGAAAATATTTTCACAGTAAAGGAAAAACAGTGAGTGACCTCCTGCTTTGACATGTTAAAGACTTGAATCTCCGGCTCGGTGAAGCTGTGTGTGTTTCTTGTCTCTCGGCTGCTGCAGCAGAAAAATAAAGACTCAAAAGTTTTAGAAATTCTCCTCAGAAGTTGTCAAGACTACAGTGACCTGTGGTCCTCTTTTCAATCCAGAAGTAGATGGTGAAAGGCCTTTAATCACAGCTTTCCCTCTGTTTGACAAGACCTTTCCTCTGACACTTGACCTTCTCGCTTCTTTCATGTGGAAAGCAGCTTTGAGTATTTCCTTTCTGCCTGCATCCTCGCAGTGACTGATTCTTTTATCAAAGCTTATAAAGTAGGCTTTTCATGACCTACACATTTCCAGCCATGACAGCTACTCAGGAATAAATTCAACATCGAAAAACAGAAGCTGGAAAATGTCAGACCAGAGGTCGACTGATGGAGCCGCAGCTGAGAATCGGAATCCTGCGGACAGACCTTTATGTAACATGCAAACCTTAGAGAGATGTATGCTGGATGTGAGGGTTCAATATTTTAATTAGACCTTTTTAATTTAATTCAAAGACACTTTTAGGGTCATCTGAGCGGTTGTTCGGCCGCCTGAATGTCGTCCGCATAAATGTTCCTGCTGCGTTCAGAGATGAGCAGGAATTCTCTCTCATTTAAGATCTGACCTTCAGCGACCCTGAAGGTCAATGACACGGGTATTTCAGGAGTATTTACAAATTAATAAAACACAAACATCTCCACATGAACATGGAATTTATTTAGAAAAGGTTTCATAGCTATTCCAGTTTCATGTTTTGTAAAACTGTTTGTGTCTAGGGGTGTCCTGATACGATATTGATATCGGATATTGAATATTGGTCTGATATCAGCAAAAAAATGAAAAAAATCTCTGATATCAGCAGTCCATTCCAGACTCCGCTCCAGCACCTCTATCTAGCCGAGCGTGCAGAGCCCACATGATCACAACAACAGTGTGTAGCAGTGTGAGCATCTTTTTCTGTGGTGTTTACACAAAAAACTATTGATATCAGTCAATACTTATTAGTTATTGATGACATTTGGTAATATATCGATATCTCTGTGTTCTCTTATGTCTGTGTCGTCAACATTTGAACATTTTGTAGTCTGTTGGCATCTACAGTAGCACCAATGCTGTTGACTTTCACCTTGACTGGGCCCCATTTGTAATGATCTGAAGGATTTATCTGCATTATATCTGAATTTAATTGGAACGATACGAGCGAGCAGGAGCGTCTGTTTGTGGGCGGGGCTTGAGGGGAGAGGAGGAGCTGAGGGGAAAACTGGTTGGGAGGGGTAGAGTTTACGTTCAAGATTTCTCCTAAAAACTGGAACTAACTCAGATCCTGACTACAACACCTTTAATCCAGACCTCAGCTGAAGCAGGAACGCAGCCTGATATCTGTCAGCAGGATAGAGTGTTAAATAAATGAGTGGTATTACGTCTAAATTTAGACCCTGTGGCCGCCACACTCTTGTCATTCTCCTGTGACCAATCAGACTGACACACCTGCTCTCCTCTCTCTCTCTCTTACCCAAACGCCCCGTAGGCAGCAGCTGGTGATTGGCACGTCCTCTGTACCTCAGAGGCAGCCAGCCCGTGACAGACGACTGACACATTCGATTTCTGCACGCTCACAATTTGATTGAAGCGCACGTGCGCAGAAACACACACTCGGGCATAAGCACACCTGCAGCCTCCTCTGAATCGGACCGGGTTTGTTAAGAGTAACCGGGCCTGTCCGTCACTCTGCCCGCCTGTTTCCCGGCGCTCATATTTGAATGTGTAACACGCAGGCTGACGTTCAACACAGACATCGATCGTCTGACACAGCTCACTACACACTCTCTCCCTCTCCCCGCCAGCGAGGGAACAGAACTCTCTGCCCATGATTAGCTGCTCGGCGAGGGTCCTGCCGCTCGCTGTGATGATCATGTACAAGGTGAACGCTGTAACCCGTCATCAGAGCGCACGCTGGCGGCTGATAACAGCTGTATATGCTGAAAGTCATAATATTACATCTGCCTGGGATTTAGGAAACTGGATTCAGAGGCTTGAGTGTGGACTGAGCTGAATTCAGCAGCTGAGGGATGAATTATTAAAAAGTGCCGTATTCCTCTGTCCAAATAGAAAATACAGGAGTCCTTTAATAATGGAGAATCTCCCTCTAAGAAAACAGACGGAATCAGCCTTTAAACGGACAGATACTCCTCAGAGTGAAGCAGCTGCATCATCATTAAAGCTCTCAATAATTATTAGCTGTTATTTTCTGAAGTTTAATATTTGATCACCATGAATTTCATGTTTTTAAATCCTATATTAACAACATAAAGACATTCTCTTGAGTATTTTTCATTTGGAAATCGAAAAGTACTTTATGATTTTGCACCATGCTGCACCAAAAACCACATTTTAAAGGATCAGGATACAGAAGCCTCAGTTTAGTTTCTTTCTCTGTCACCGTGCTCGGCTCTAACTCGCCATTACAGTCTTTGAAGGTTATTCAGAAGTGCATTAACGGGGTTATTTTCCATCATGGCAGCAGAGGAAGTGATGGCTCAATTATGGTGCTCCAAAAGGGACAAAAAAGCATCAAGTTACAAAAGTTGATGTATTCATTTTCACACATTAATCATGCTGTGATCGGCACCGTATGTCATATGTTTTGTTATTTGACTGTATTTCCTCGTGTTCCTGTTCCCCTGTCATCCAGTCTTGTGAGTCTTCAGTTTGTCTTTGACTCTGTTTCCTCTCCTCTTCTCAGTATTTTATTCTTTAGATCGGTTTTCAGTGTTTATTTCCTGTTTTATTTTGTAGGAGTCGATTGATACTTATGACTAAGCCTGTGAGATTTGGCAAAAAAATGATCACAATATATCTTGTCGTATCGTCCGATCTCGATTATTATCACAACTCATTTTTTTTTAAACTGGCAGTTTTAAAGCATCTGAACTAAAAACTCAAGAAACTCGAGATTAGTTCAAGATTTTATTAACATACAAATTAAATAACAGAGAAAACTGACGAAGATAAACTTAGAAACATATAAAATAAACATTTTAACTCAACAGAACAACAAATGTAGATCAATACTAAATAATATAGTGATAGTTTACAGTTCTGAGTGTTTCTGCAGGAATGATAGTCATGTCGTCTATTGAATAGAAAAGGGAAGTGGTTTCAGAGTCGACTGCGTGTGGATTTTATTCATCAGTGTGATACTTCAGTCTGAACAGGTTTCTGAACAAAAGATCTTAATGAAGTCCTTTCTTCTAAACTTCTTCTTCTGTTTGTTTCTCCTGCAGCTGTAAAAAGAAGCTCTACGCAGAGAAGCTCCCCGTCACCAGCATCATCATCCCGTTTCACAACGAGGGCTGGTCGTCTCTGCTGAGGACGGTCCACAGCGTGCTCAACCGCTCTCCTCCGCAGCTCATCGCAGAGATCATCCTGGTGGACGACTTCAGCGACAAAGGTACCGAGGACACTCACCTGCTCGTCCGTCCTTTAGCTTACCCAGAAGTCTTCTTGTCCAAACTCTGGTGTATTTTGTGTCTTTTCGCATCATGGTTGTTTTGAGGTTAAGGTTAAGGTGACCTTTGAAATATGAGCGATAATCCCCGCCACTTCCCATCCAAGGTGAGGGTCTGACCGTGGTCCAGGAACAGGTCCAGCTGTGCTAAATGTTGAAGAGGCTGAGGGCCAAAGTGATCCATGAGAAGAGGACACAAAAAGAGACAGACAGGGCTTCAGATCAGAGAGGGAGATCAGCTGATTTAGTGTCACTGAGCAGTGAGTGGGTGGGCTGTAAAAGCAGAAAGACCCACGAATGGGCAGGATGAAGACCGGGACCCTTAAAGTCCCACTCTGATCGTTTTTTACTACTCTAAGTGTTCTCAGTGGTCTTTAAATTGTGATTATGAACTTTTCAGCCATAATCATGTTACCTGTTTAATTTTTACAGGCTTTTCTTTTGCAGAGCTCAAGTAGCTCATTAGCAATTCGCCCAACATTGTCGATGTAGTAGAAGAAGCAGGTAACATAGGAGCTCTTCAGCTCTCGGACGCTAAGGTCTTTGGGGACACGATGAAAGTTAACATCATAATTAGCTTTCTTACGAGCATTACAAACCGCTGACGCACACGCTTGTTCTGCGATCATCCTCTCTACTTCTTCGAGTCCGGCCTGCACGGCGGGGCTCAGGGGGCGGAGCTTGGAATTGTGACATAGGAAATCTCACTGTTTCTGAACTTGCTGTTTGAGCCTGCCAGAGATTTATTGTGATTTGACTCAGAAATGCAAATTTGCACCTTTTTTCCTCCTGATATGTCCTGTAGCATCAGAAAAATGAACATATGAACATGTAGACGACAAGAAAAACATGATTTTCACCGGAGTGGGTCTTAAAAGTTATAAATGATCAGGTTTGAGGTGTTTTCCTTGTTATTAGGTTCACAATAGAGGAACAGAACTGAGATGTGTCGGCCTGAGTTCATCTCAGCAGGAAGTCTGAAACCTGCTGTGTAAACAGTAACACCCCTGTTCACAGGTGCACTTGGCATGAATGCAGGGATTAGTTTGATTCATATTGTGCCAAAAACAACATGTCTGTGAATAATTCGATTCAGACTCTTTGTATTATGTATCCCCCAGTTTAGATGGTTCAGATCGGTCTCTTCAGATTTGCACATTTTTGGATCTTCTCATGTTTCTGCAGATCGTCAAACAACAATAATAAACCCATAGAAGCTGTGCAGACAGTTTCTTTATGTATACATATTATTATTTTACATTGAAAGCATATTTTTCATGTTATACAGGATATTTATGAGCACATCTACTAGTTTGAATGATTGTATTTGTTACTCTATTGGATCCATAAACACAAACATCAGCATCAAAACAGCAGAGGAGCGTCGACTGAGAGCAGAAAATCATCAAAAAGAGAAAACGCTCGTTTCCATTCGCTCCTTTTCCTGCAAACAACTTTCCTTTGTTGAACAGCTTTGTGTAACTGTGTGTGTATCTGTGTGTGTGTGTGTGTGTACCTGTCTGCATGTAATTTCCTCTCTCACTCTCCCTTCAGCGGCCCTCTTAAGAAAGCGTTTAATTCCTTGTTAATTAGTGCTCTCTGTCACGGTCCCTCGTTGAAGGATGTGTTTACCTGTCGTCTCGGCGGTAATGAGATGTTTCGCTGCCTCAGACTCATTTAGAGGTTAACACCCATCAGAGCTCACAGACCCAACCCTCCCACCACCGCCGCCGCCGCCGCTGCTGCTGCTGAGTGAACCGCAGAGAAAAATGCTTAAAGGACCAATAACCTCCTTCGATTTCAGACGAATGAGCAACAAAACGCTTTTGATTTCAACAGAGAGTCGTTTCTATCTGTCAGATTTGATCTTTATATGTGAAATCACACCAGACTGCACTTTAGTTTGTGTTTCATATCAGTTTTTGGTGAGTCGGTCTGTTTCTTTCTCAGTATCTTTGTGTTTATTTATGACACTTTAGGGTGAAAATCTCAGTGTCTGTCGAACTTCCAAAATCTGATCCAGTGCGGCTGCAGTCGGGCTAACGTGTTTTTTAGAGGCCAGTTTGAAAATTAAGTCATAAATCATTTCTCTGAACAACATGAAAACCTGCTGAGTGTACAAAGAAATCAATGAGTCAAAAATCAATCTTTAAAACAGACTTTAATTTTGAGGAAAGACTGCAAACACTTTTTCTTGGCTGTTGCAGACAGCCTCAAGTGGCCGCTCCAGGTACTGCAGTTTTTGTGACGACTTACTCGTATTTTCTGCACCTAAAGGATCTTTTTGAGTCTGAAGATTTGCAAATCTTTCCAGAGCTGAAGAGAATTTTTGACTTGATTAAAGTCGATTAGCACTAATTTGGGATTTGTGTTAAAATCACTCACCGCAGACACGGCTGTGGAGCTGTCTAATTATTTCACTGTGTGGTTTATTTGTTGCAATAACACTCACATCCTGCTGTGGATATCTGATGAGTTATAGAGACAGACATCGTTTTTGTCGCCGTTTCCACAACATACAGCAGAGTCTTTCCTGTTTCTCAGTGTCACGAAATTTCTGAACATCCTGATAAACTAGACGCAGGAGTTGCACGCTCCAGCTGACACATTAAAGGTGGGGTAGACCAGATTTCGTTAAAGACGCGTATGTTTTTGTGGTGTATTTACAAAAAATCTTCTAAAATCAGTCAATAGTTATTAGTTATCGATGACATTTGGTAATATATCGATATCTCTGTGTTCTCTTATGTCTGTGTCGTCAACATTTGAACATTTTTGAGCGGTCCGCTCTTTCTGACTGTAAACAAAGCCGTTCTCCACCTCCTCTAACCTGATTGGTTGTGAGGCAGACGCTGCTCCCCCGTGTCGTTCAGGAGCCCAAACAAAGTTAGCGTGCTACAATATCGGACAGTAGAAACCAACCAGAAAGTTCGGAAAATTGTCTGAATCCTCCTTTGGCCACGACTGCCGACACAAGCAAGAAAACACTCAAACCTAAACAGTCAGCAAGAAAACAGTCAGCAAAAAAACAGTCAGCAAGAAAACAGTCAACAAAAAACAGCGAAAAAGAAAACAGTCAACCATAATCAGTCAACAAGAAAACAGTCAACAAGAAAACAGTCAACAAGATAACAGTCAACAAGAAAACAGTCAACAAGAAAACAGTCAACAAGAAAACAGTCAACAAGAAAACAGTCAACAAGAAAACAGTCAGCAAAATCAGTCAACAAGAAAACAGTCAGCAAAAAACAGTCAACCATAAACAGTCAACACCAAAACAGTCAGCAAAAAACAGTCAGCAAGAAAACAGTCAACAAGAAAACAGTCAGCAAGAAAACAGTCAACAAAAAAACAGTCAACAAGAAAATGCTGCTCCCCAGTGTCGTTCAGGAGCCCAAACAAAGTTAGCTTGCTACAATATCGGACAGTAGAAACCAACCAGAAAGTTCGGAAAATTGTCTGAATCCTCCTTTGGCCACGACTGCCGACACAAGCAAGAAAACAAAGTAAATACCGGAGACTCTGGAGGAATAACGGGCGCTTAAAACGGAGGTAGACCGGACAAGAGCTAAAAAGCCGGGTCAACATAAACGATGGGGGACGCTTGGGGACCTTGGTGACCCTGTAACCTTTCTGCTGGACAGGTAAACAAACTTACCAGCTCGTGAACACTCGCTCAGATCCGTCTGTGCTGCTGAGCAGGGGAGTGTCCAGACTTTTGGACTGGGGTGCAGCTCCGTAAAAACACCCGGAGCTCAGTTCAGTCTGGACCCTGTGTGGTCAGGATGGATGGAGGAACACTGCAGAGGTCCAGGTGAGGATTTGACCTCTGCAGACGGTCTGCTCTGGCTCCTCGCTCTCTGACACGGTCGTTTGATAAGAAATGAGCCCAGCTTTAATTAAGGCTTAAGAGACACAGAGACAAAGTGAACTTCAATACGTCCTGGTCTCTGCTTGAAAAGCTGGCGATACAAAGTCAGAGAGAACGATCCGGGACTGTTTCTGAGCAGAAAACCACAAATCAATACTCGGCATCGAACCCCTGCATAATGAATCAGGGAGCGAGCGAGAGAGCGAGAGAGAGAGAGAGAGAGAGAGAGAGAGAGAGAGAGAGAGAGAGAGAGAGAGAGAGAGAAAGAGAGAGAGAGAGAGAGAGTCATTATAAAGCATGAAAGTTAAAGTCCAGAGATTAATCTGTGATTTATACATTCATTCGTGGAGCTGAGGAGTCGTTTCATCAAAGACGGATTCATCTGCAGCTGTGTTGTTGGATGTCTGACCTGTCGAACCACATCAGCCACCGCCATCACGCCATAAATCCTCAGGAAGTCATTAGCTCCATCTGTACACTCAACCTGGCGGGCTGCCGTTTATGTCATCTGCAAAAATGAATAGTTGAGGAGGGCCGGACACACTAAAAGAGGACCCGGCCCTCCTCATATGAGGCTCTGATCGTACGGTTACAAATGAAGACCCCACGCTCTGAGTGGAGAAATAAGTTTGACCAATTATGACAAGAATCAAGTATAAAAGTCAGTAATCCAGCAAAATGAAAACCAATTAATGTTGGCAGAAAATTAGATTAACAGAAACTGTAATGAACGCTAATCATGCTAACATCATGCTAAAATCACTGTGCATCTGTAAACTAATAATAATAATAATAATAATAGATTTTATTTATTACGCACTTTACATTTAAAAACAAATCTCAAAGTGCACAAGACAACAGTAATAGTAAACTGACTAAAGAGTAACAACCGCCGTACCACCAAAAAGTGTGCAGACCTGATCTTTTAGTCACCGATGGAGTCAAGATGAAATTTTAACGGAATTAATAACCTCTAACTCTCTTTTTCTCCCCACTTCCTGATGCTCGATTGTTTTATTGTGATTTGACGTGCTGGAGATGTACGAAGCACAGGAAAAGTGTATTAGAGACAGCCTCCAGTGGCTGCTCTAGGTACTGCGTTTTTTGCGACTCCTCTTCTCACCTCTTTTTCTCAAAATTCGATGTTCGTTTTTTTTGCGCCTAAAAGATCTTCTTGAGTCGGAAGCTTTGTAAGACTCTCCAGAGCTGAAGAGGTTTTTTGACTTTCTGTCAGCGAACTTTGATTAAAGTCGGTTTGCGCTGATTTAAGTTCAGGAAACAGACCTGTGTTTATATCTCTTTGTTGCAATAACGCTCATGTCCTGCTGTGGATATTTGACTAGATTCGGAGAAAGACGTCGTTTTTGTCGCTGTTTCCATGTTTCGCATGTTTTCGAGTCTTTCCTGTCTGTCAGTGTTATGAAATTTCTGATAAACTAGACACAGGGGGGTTTCATTTGTGCACGCTCCAGCTGACACATTAATCCTCTGGCCAGTACAGAAGTCACCCTTTTTCTCCCTTCTTCCTGATGCTCTACTGTTTATTATGATTCGACGTGCTGGAGATGTACGAAGCACAGGAAAAGTCTGCGCCCTGAAGAGGTTAAGACTCCGCACGTCTAAAAATCATAAAACTGGAAATATTTCTCAGCACGCTTAATGAGGAAAGTCTGAGCAAGCATGCAAACATGAAGTATGAAAGAGAGCGGCCGAGCATGTGCAGAATTAATGATCAGGGAAACCTAAAGGTTTACTCTGCAGCCGCTGACAGAGCTGCAGGATTAAAGAGTGGAGTACAGTAAAAGTCGATTCACACATGAATGCAAACTCGGCACAACCTTTCGGCCCTGTTGTTCTCAGCTGTATGTAAATACGATCTTCACTGAGAGCTCCGATAGAAAAGATTATCAGCCGACCATGAGCTCATCTGCATTCAAGTCACAAAACACCATCAGTCTGTGTGAGTCATTAGAGCCCAGCCCACCTCCACGACAGCACACAGACACTCAGAGAAAATCTGTTCTGCTGACTCTGAGTGACCTCCCTCTGCTGCTCCCTCGGCCTCCACAGAGCCCACAGTCACACCCACGTCCTGTTATATCACTTTGAACTCTCCATTATTCACCAGGGCCGCCTGTAAGACTCGTCCTGAGGGCCACAGGGAGGGAGGTTATTTAAGGACATTGGAAAGATAGTCTTAAAGTCCTGGTTGCCGATCTGAGAAGCATCGCCCTCCCCACGACACACCCTCTCTAGCAGAGTAAGACGCCGGCCGGCAGAAGATCCTACGCTAGCTTCAAACAGGATTCACCATGTCGGATTGTTAGTGACTAGCGGCAGTAAACGCCAGCTCTGCTAGCGAGCGCCGTCTGCAGCTGCCTGGACAGCTACCATGTTGACATGTCAGAGACTAATCAGAGTTATTTATGTAACATGAGCCACGATAAAAGGAGATAAAAATGACCTGTTCAACTAAAACTCTGCTGTCTCGGCGTCTGTTTTCTCCACCGCTCCAAGGATGACCCGATGTTTATTCGAGTCACTGGCTAAACCCACAGGATCTGGAACGGCTATGCTCCGCTCCAGAAAAGCAGGCGGATCAGATCTGCAAGCCTAGAGTGCTGACCAGATCCGATCCGATGCTGCTGTGGGAGGAGAAGTGCTCGTGTCATTACCCATATTTCTCGCGAGACTGGACGTGATCTCACGAGCTCTCGCGTGTCTCCTCGGGAGTCATAGAATGAGATCCACTAATTGGTGTGTGATCCTGTGGGTTTTGCCCGGTAGATTCCTCGCTTGGTCACATTTCCTCTTTGACTCCGCCCTTTCTTCTGTTCGCTTGCATTTTCTTCCCACTTTTGGCGGTGGGGCGAGCAGAAGTGGGTTCTTTCTGCGTCCTTCTCCATCACAGCTCCTGTAGCTCAGAGCTCCGAGGAGGGCCGAGAGAGTGGGAGGGGATGAGTCGGAACTACAGGAGAGGGGTGTGTCGAATACAGCGAGGTGATTGGATGGAGAGGCGGAGCAGGAGATTGACCAATAGGAGCTGTCGGGGACTTATGGCTCCCATTGGTCAATGTTTTTGCAGCCCTGTGCCTGCATTTTTTCTGTTCTTTTTTCTCTTCACTTTGCGGAGATCGCACTATAGGACCATGATCGCCATAGAAACGAGGTTCATAATAATTACCAATCTCTACAATCCTCAACCGTGCCTTCAAAGTGAGTCAGTTTACACGTTATTATATTAGAAATGAAACAAAACCTCAGGAAAGTTGATCTTCTTTTCCATTTCTTCCCTCTTGGATTCTGAGACGGCGTGAGGAATTAAAACGCTGAGAAATAATCTGATAAACTGTCTCATCTTCTGTCTCATCTTCTGTCTCATCTTCTGTCTCGTCTTCTGTCTCGTCTTCCTTTCTTTAGCGGTAACAGAATCGTACAGCAGCTCCAAACATCACGAACACCTCATGGATTATTTTACCATCTCTCATGCTTGTGCGCTGCATGTCTTGTATGTTTTGCATCATTTTGAAGTCTTCTTTTTTTCTCTGAGCTCAGCCTCAGCGCTGCGGTTTTTCCTCTTTGAAGACTTTTTTTCAGAGAGCTGCTGAACTCCGGCGTCTGCTTTTATTCCTTCCCACCGTTTGGTAGTTTTTAAAGCAACCCCGGTGGGAAGCAAAGAGGACATCTTGCAAGAGTAAACTTGAATTATCTAGTGCGTGCATGGCAAGAGATAAAGACACTTCAAAGCTGTCCTTTTAATTAAAGGTTTTATTTCGGAAAAGATTCATCTGAAAAAGGAAAATGTCTGTAAAACGACTTTTTCTCTGCTGCCTGACAGACTTGTGTTGGCTCCTGTCTCCTAACAAGCTGCAGGTGACAATTATCATTAGTCAGGTGGCTTTGAGAGGCGATGTTGGTGCGGTATCTTAGCAACAAGAGTCCCTGGAGGTAGGCTGAGAAAACTCGCCTTAAGAGTCACCTCTTGTCTTTTCACACATGGAGCCATTCATCTCAGATATTCACACCTGCGACTCTCTTCCTCGTGTATTTTTCTTGCTCTGAAACACAGTGGGACATAACTTTAAGGTTTTGGGGACCTGTGCTGCACAGTGTGAGTGTTTTTCTGCAGCACAGCACAGCAGGAGAAACCTGTTCCCCGCTCTGACATGGTCACAAACAGCAGAGAGAGTTTGGCCTGTGGCTGTTGCTGTCGTTCGCGGACTCTCTGTAATATTTGAACTTGATTCGCAGATTTAACGGCACACAGCACGTCCTGATGTGGTTACTCAGACCTGTTTTTACTCAGCAACGACACCGCTGAATAAGCCAACACAGCTGCTTTTATTTATTTTAACTTCTTTGAACATTTCCCACCAAAACGCAGAGGGAAAACTTTTTTATACCAAACAGAAAATACAGTTTGTATGAAACGCCACTCTATAGCCGCAAATAATGCTCAGAACAGCACCTAACTTCATCAACAGGACATATAGGGTCACAGACATAGTACTAGACACCAAACATCTTTTTAACTTTGACTCATTTCTTTAGCAAAGAGACTAAACACAACTCACCGCTTGTTTGTAGTGAGACCTTAGGCCAGTCCATTATAGACTACAGTGGGGTGCCGCAGCTCAAGGAAGAACATTTATGATCATTTCTTTATCATTGCCATCATTGGTAGTTCTGTCTTAGCGTCTCGCTCTGATTGTATTTCCATGAAGAAATGGTCATAAATGTTCTTCCTTGAGCTGCGGCACTCCGCTGTAGTCCGTAATGGACTGGCCTGAGGCTCAATTTATGACATCACAGATTGAAGAGTTTCCTAAAAAGACCAATAAACATATACCTGATCAATCTTAGACTTAGACTTTCCAGGACAAATTCAAGGTCTAAGACACACGACCAGAGGTGAGCACAGGTTATTGTCAATGAATTTAAAGTGTTTCAGTGGTTAAAGTTCCCATGATCCAAGTCCAGTAAAGATGTAACCCAAACAGGTTAGCCGTAAGGATCCATGAATGATCTTGTTCAGTTTGATCCACCTTACCATGTCAGAGCAGGTTTGGGTTCTTCTGTTTTCTCAGGTAAACATCTTGAATGTAGCGATCAGATCATTTGCAAGAACCGGCCCCCAAACAGCTCTTTAAAGCACCAGTTTCCGCTCTACATACTTCCACACCCAAGCATCACAGCCGCATTCCTGTAGGTGGCAAGAAATGAAGCCGATGCAGTCGTTCTAAAAGCTGCAGTTCCTTTAGTTTCCACTAGAGGCTGGAAACCAAAGCACCAGAAACCACATACACACTCATGTAAAACAGCTGATGTTAACAGACTGATTTAGAAGATTTTAGGGTTAAATAATAAATTTCTGTCTCTGCACATTTGTGTCAAAGATGTTAAAGTTGGAAGTTTTACAGCTAACTTGACTTTAATTTAAACTTCGAGCCGATCTCTCTCCTGATTATCAGTCAATAATCTTTAAATTGACCATAATCAGTCAAAGTTTTGAGTTTTAGGTGAAAAACATGATAAAGACACGAGTTTCTCACCAACAAGGAGATGGGATCTTTCTCTCCACCATGCGGACGTTTTCATTTTAATCCTGACAAAAGAAAAAAAACAGTCCTCTTCACCTCTTTATCTTTCTTTCCAGTGTTGCTCCGTCCTTGACTGTGATTAAATCCTCCAAACCATCCTCTCATCCCTCAGATCAGATCCTCAGATTGTCTCATTTTGCTCATTTGCTATAATCAGATGTTAGATGGTGATTTTCTGCCCTTCCACGAAAAAAGAGGGTCTTCGTGAGATAACCCCCTACTGTCAGAAGACAGCAGGAGATGTTCTCTCTTAATTTCCAGCCTGAGGCAGATTTGCAGATTTAACACTGAAGCGTCTGTCTTCTCCCTCCTACATGACACGACCCTGCAGCCGAACATTAGAGTAAATGTCACGACCTACGTTTATTTTCTTTCTATCTGTTTAGTTCGGGTCTTTGAATACAGGTTTCAGCGGAGCTCGGTTCAACATGTCAGGGTCAGGTCACCCTCACCATTCAGTCCTGTTCATATCTGACTGACAGTGAAACACGACTTTAATCTTTGTGCATATGTTATTTAATGAAAGGTTTCAGCTGAGGAAGGTCCACCACATCAGTAAAGAGTGACCTCCATCACTCAGTCAGTCAGCTTTCTCTGTTTATCTCTGACCACAGAGAGAAGGGCGAGTTCGATTTTAGTTCCTTATAAAACATCCTCCGAGTTGACACCATATCATGATGTAGGCAGTAAAATGAGGCTGATATCTGTTCGTTTTTTATTTCCACTTTTACTGCAGTCAGAGATATTTGCACAGATTTCTGTCTGCCTCCACTTCTGTCTGTTATTTTCTGTTATTAAAGACAGCTGACAGTGTAAGAGCAGAGGCGGCCAAACCAGCTGGGTTTCTGTCCACGCTGGAATTAAGATTTTCAAGGTCGGCTTTATTTACCATTCTGTAAAACTATACTGCTGTTTTTTTTTTTTTTTTTAGTATAAAAGGTCCTTTTACACCAGGAGAGTTTTTTTATGCGATTATTTCGGACGTCAATATTTTTTTCGAACCCGTATCCTGTCAATACAAACGTTCACATCAGTGATGTTTCCCCGTCCTGCGATATTGCAGCATTTATTTCTCTTCTTTTTTCTAATATTGGACTCACCCGTGTGCTACGTTTCTTTTTCTTTTGAGAAAGCAAAAGAAGGACCAATTCACCATCACTTGAAGTTGAAGTAGACTCCGTTTTTGTCTTCTCGCTTCCACCCAGGACGCTGTAGGTTGTTAAGGGAAGGTTCCGCCCTCCTTCGCCTCTGATTGGCTAGTGCTGACTGTTTGGTTTGAGCGTCTGATGAAGTTTCCAGCTTTTCAAGCCAATCAGAGGCGAAGAAGGCGGGACTTTCGCCCGGGAAAAGTCTTCCCTGGGATGCGTCGAGTGGTCCCTGGAGTGGGGACTACACAGCTAGAAAGGTGCTGAGTGACGAGCACTGATTTAATGTCTTTCTATTTAGGGGTAAAATCAAAATTGGACACATTAAACTTCTCTATAGCAAACAAATCTTCAGGATCTCCAAAAAAAATTAAGTTTTATGGGACAAACTTTATTTCCTCCACGTACCTTTAAAGAGGCTGTTTATTTGACATGTGAAAATGACAGATTATACCTTTAAATATCCAACTATTAACGAACTTGTTGCAGATGCTATCATCTGCTTTCTGAATAGACGTCTCTCCTCATATCCCCGTCATTGTCTCTCTCTTTTTTTGACTCCTCTTAGATTAAATCTGTAAGAATTCAAACAGACAGACTCTTACTCTAACCTCCACATGAATACAATCATATTATCCACATGTTTTTGAGTCCTCTATATGATCATAAACCATGAACTCCACATTTCCTCACTCCTCTAATGTGCTTGTAAAAATAGAGAGATTCCCACAGCTCCCACCCACGCTCAGTAAACGGTAGCATGTCTGTCTGGCAGCTTAGCATCGGCGGATGAGTGTGAGCGATGAATTCTGCTGCGGAGGCCCAAGTCATTTCACGGATTTATGGCCAGACGAGCGAGGACAGCAGCTGTAACTTGTCACACGCAGAAACAGAAAAAGAACAGATTGTCGTGTCCACACCAGGACAGGGAGAGTGGATCTTCTTTTACAGGATCTGACCCAGTGGGTTACCCCTGCTCCCAGTCCTAAACAGTGTTGACTTTGGATAAATCACACTCTGGGACAGCGACGGGGCTTTGTTTTCATTTTTGTTGCCATGGTTGCATTTGTTTTGCTTCTTTCTTTCGTCAGCCTGTCTTCTGATCGGCGCTTGTTTGATCCTAGATGATAATGGACAGAGTGAACACTTCTCAGGTTTTCCCCACATGTGAGGATTTTGTAAATATTGAACATGTTTAATAATTACCTTCACAAGATGGGGCAAAAAAAACACTCTTAACACACCTCACACCACAAAATAATCTTAAAAACCACCTGATACTCAGACCTTCCCTGACTCATGTCGGAAGAGAGGAACTCAACTCAAAATCGGCCAAAAATAAAATCCTGATTTTTTTCAGTAAAAACTTGATTTTTTATTTTTTTTTCTATGTCAACTTAACCAAACCTCACTTTGATGAGACGTTTTTCTATCATCTCTCGAAAAGATGTAGTGCATATGTGCCAAGTCAGTAAGTGGTGCTGTAACACAGAAGAAGAGTACAGAGCATGTGTATAAAGGTTGTTTTGGCGCCATAAAAGAGTTACTCTGTGTGTCACATGATCGTTTCCACAGATGCAGATAGACATCCACACGGAGATGAAATGGTCGTCGTTTACAGATTTATTCACTCTCTGACCTGTTTTCAAAAAGTACCGTTTACAGTCACCTGAAACGCTGATGTGACAAAAACTTCAGCGTTTCCTCCTGAATTTGTTTCCGTGGTGACGAGTTGATACCGCCTTCAGACAGACTTTACAGCGGGGAGTGGTTTACTCTTCATCTGACACTGTGAAGTCGTTCCAATTCAACACGACTGACTCGCTCTTGTCCTATTTAACCACGAAATTATCGCCTTCTTTTTGTAAACGCCATGTTTGGTTACACTGACTGGGGTGTGTGGGTAGGGGGAACCTACGGTGGCCTGGAGGTGTGAGACAAGATAGAGAGGAAAATCGATTTGAGGATAATTTTTTTTTTTTAACTTACATTTTATTTCCTTTTTTTTTTTTTTTTTTACGTAACAGAAACACAAACATGGTGTCATTCACAGAGAAAAGAAGAAAATTTTCCATGTCGCCTCCATCAAAGTTGTCCATTTCTTAAGTCATGTGAACAGATTTATATTTTTTCCATTTTTCCCACTTTCAGGTGTTTGTTTCTCGCTGGAGTTGTAGAGCGTGTGTTAGTTTCTCTGTTTCAAATCGTTCTTCCAGACAGTTTCTCCTGGATTCTCATTACACCAATTCTTCATGATGGCCGTCTCTGATGCTGCAAGAAGTATTTCAGTCAAGTATTTGTCTTTAAGATAAGATCGCTCAGGTACACCTCGAAGGTCACGGGCTCGTAACCTGATATTTTTCTTATTCTTTTGCTTATTTCTTCCCAGTAGTTAGTTATTTTCTTGCAGCACAAAAAGATACGGGTATGATCAACATCCTGTTCTTCCAAAGACGATATTAAAAAATGTAAATTTCTTTTAACATCGTCATAATCAATTAATCTGATTAGGGTTTAAAATCAATAAATCGTAAAGCCTTTGCCCATCGCACTTGTTTGACGTTTCAGTCCATCTTGACGTAAAATACACAGAGTCTGTCTGTCCTAAAAACCTTTATCATGATCCAACAGTCCTTCCCGTTCTTCAGACTGATGTCTTATTTGAAGACACGCGTTTTTGTCTTCCCTCTGTGAACCAGCAGACAAAAATGACGCACAGACCTCATCTGCTCTGTAAAAACTCAGCGGAGGATGATGAATGAGTTTCTCTTTTCTCGTTTTTATTTATTCTCCTTTTCTCTTTCTCGCTACAAACCCAAACTTTGTTACTGGTATTGTGTTTCCACTCCTGGCGTCCTCCCCTCACAGACTCTCATACTCACATATTTTTCTCAGCGGGTCCTTAATCACCGCCTCAGTGACACTCTCGGATCAATCAGCAGCTTCAGTGGAAAGCAGTTAAAGAAATAAGGCTGTAAAATGTGCAGTCCGGGTCCTCTGAGTATGATGGATTGTTTGATGTAGAGGAAAAGCTCGCCTTTTAAAGTTTGCCCACTCCAGAGCCTGTAAACAGGACACTTTATCCAGCGTTCTGTACAAGCCGTACATAAATACTTCAGTTGTGTTTGTCGATAACATTGATTCTAATTCATGTAATCACAGCCAGTAGCACAGCTTGTATTTACTCACTGGTACCGCTGTGGCATTCTGCACTATCAGCTCCTCGGTGATGGAAACCTGCCATTGGCTGATTGATCATCCAATTACTTTCCTGCTTTCAGCTCCCAGATGGGATCGGCTGAACAAATGGCCGCAATACTCCCTCTGAAATAAGGGGTGACCTGCTCGCCGCTCTCGCTGAGTGACTTTCAAAGTATTTCAGATTTGGAGGAGGTCTGGTGGTCGCTGCACAGCTGACCACCAGAGGAAGGGGGTTTGAAGTGTGCAGAAATGTGTCGTGTCTTTGCAGGCGGCGGTGGCGGCGGCGCTCGGTGCTGCCAACTTGTGAATAAATCCACAGACTGACTCACATCTGCTCTTGTTTGTCGGTTTAAAAACTGAATATTGAAAATAAAAAGCTGCAAACAACTTCAGGGCGCAGAGAGTCAGTATTTACTGTTATATCACTGTAACCATGTGAGTGTATGATGGAGACATGCAGCTCGATCACTAATGTGTACTGTTGTTTATTCTACCGTTACTGGCACGGCTAACAGTGTAGCAAGGCTAATAGCAGGTGGCTAACTCTAACTTTAGCTTCATATTACATGGTGCTTCACCGTTAACTGGGCGTGACCGAGACCAGCACAGCGGGGAACATGGTGAAGTGGGTTGAACTGAAACTTGTTGACTTATTGTGTTTTTCACAAACTGGTTTGTTTACCGTTGAGGCGGACCACTCTCCTCTGTGCGTCCCTCAGCTGCCTGCTTCAGATCCGTCACTCTGCTGTGCTGTGAGGTAGTAATGAGGTCACTGCGCCATCTCCAGGATAAGTCGGGGAACTTTGCAAATGGCGGAACATTTATTTCTGAAAATATCGGCAAAAATTGGCGAGTTTTTGCCAAATACAGATTAGTCTCAAACAGGCTAAGTTGGGCCGATTTAATTGGCTCGATTAGTTATCGTCAAAAATTTCGGTATCGGTAAATTTTCGGTTTATCGCCTATCCCTAACTCATGCACTCACTGCTGTGAAAGAAGACACTCGACCTTAACATGAAGCTTTAGCTTGAGTTGTCGTGGACGAGGCAACAGAACAGGGAGGAACCAAAAACGACACAGATTTGAGTCCAAAATCCAGACTGGGATCCATGGGAATCCAACACAAATCTTGCAGAAGTAGGGGGTCTAAATTCTGTAGGTGGTCCTGGTTCCAACATAAACTCAGTAGAAATGAAGAAGTCTGATATTTGGACAAATATTTCAGTCGATGATGAAAACGATGGAAAAGACCTGGAGTTCTGATTCTCCCTGAGCTCTGGTCCAAAGATAAATCGGTTCTCTCGGCCCACATTCAACAGATCACTTCATTAAAAAAACAGGAATATTAGAGTTATTTTAAAGTTCTAGTGAGGAACTTTCTGTTGGTCGGAAACTATCGTCAGAGCTCTGTTGACGTCTTTCATTCTGAGACTGTTTCATTAATAAATCAGCTGGTTTGTCTGTTAGAGAGAGAGAGAGAGAGAGAGAGAGAGAGAGAGAGAGAGAGAGAGAGAGAGAGAGAGAGAGAGAGAGAGAGAGAGAGAGAGAGAGAGAGAGAGAGAGAGAGAGAGAGAGCTCCTGTCAGCGATGCACATCGACTCTCAACAGTCTTATCAACACCGGCAGCCCAACCTCCTGCACAATAGAGACGGAGGGAGAGGAAGTGGTGCTGATGAGGAGATAGGCGTCGATGGTGATGGAGGCGAGGAGGCTGAGAGAGAGAGAGAGAGAGAGAGAGAGAGAGAGAGAAGCAAAGTTCAGCATGTTTATTCATTCATGTCAGCGTGTGTGTGTGTGTCAGTGTGTGTATTTGTTTGTGTGTGAGGCTGAGAGTGAAGGGAGATAATGAGGTAATGGAGCTCAGTGAAGTGTGACGGAGAGACGAGAGGGAGAGAGCGAGAGAGAGCGAGAGAGAGAGAGATATGAAGAGGAGGTTGAGAGGGAGACAGAAGACCGAGGACAAAAGGAGCTAATTAAGTGTCGTCGTTTAGAGATGTTGAGCCATCAGGGAGAGCTGATCGATTCAAACGTCTTTCTCCAGCCGAGAGGACCTGATGAGGAACATTTACAGAGTAGATGGTCGAGTGAAGCCGTGCTGACGGAGTCCTCTTGTTCAGTTAGAACCTCAGAAACACTTCCATCAGAAATGTTCAGGAACAAGGACGAGAGAATTTATCATCTGATTATTTAGAGTTTCTATTTTTCAGTCCTGGGAGTCTGTGCAGAGAGGTTACAGAACATCTGATGAAGTGTTTGAAGAAGAGGTAGAGACTGTTTCATCCACCTCTCTCTATATTCAGGGCTGCTTCTCAATACAGCGAACAGATGATTGAGCAGGTAGATGTTTGTGATGGACTTATACTGATACTAGCGCCATGGAAACCATTTTTAATATTTAAAACAGTCTCCAAACTTTTCTCAGAGCAGAGTTTCAGAAAGCTAACTTCGATTCCCCTCAGAGACTTTTTTGGTTCAGATCTTAGAGAAAGTCGTTTTGAAGTGAAGCTCGTTCAGCAGATCAGGGATCAGTGGATGTATCGGCTCGGTTTCTGCTCTCTCCACAGCAGTGAGACAGATCTCCATGAAGTTTGTGATGATCTTCGGTTATCTTAAGACTGATTGGACCATCCTCGTTCTTTTGGACCATAACTCTGCATTTTTAGTGGGCTGGGTTAAACAGTGTGGCCCTGAGTTGGTTCGAGTCTTTCCAGGAAAAAAATCAGATGTTTGGAGCGTCGTTGTGGTTTATTTTATGACAAATTTAACTCATGGCGTCCCACAGGGTTTGGTTCTGGGTCCACTTTCTTTCATTTGTATGCCTCCCCATGGTCATATTATTCAAATATAATACTCATTATTACTGTTATGCCGATGACACTCAACTGTACATCCCGGCCAACCAAAACTCTTCTTTTTCACTCTAAATGACACAAATCAGTCCACCACCTTCAGATGGTTAAACATGCAGCAGCTCAGTGTATCCATGTCACACCTATTTGAGCAGATCTGCACCGGCTCGGGTTGATTTTAGGATCAATTTTAAGATTCTTTAAAATTTGAGTAAGGTCCGACATGGACCAGGGTTAAACAAAAGAAAAGCACCCAGAGGAAAGGGTTCATTTAAAAAGAATGAAATTAAAAAATGACAAAAACTTCCAACTGAAAAATCCAACAAAAGACACAGAGGCGAAAAACCACAAGGAGACTAGAGATTCACACAACAACTCTGACTGACACACAATGAACCAACAAAGACAGAGAAGACAGGGACTATATACACACTGGTTAACGAGCGACAGGTGAGACTCATGGGTGATTAACGAAGGAGGGAAACTGAGGAAGTTATACTAGACTAGAAACACAAGGAATCAACTCCTACAAAATAAAACAGGAAATAAACACTGAAAACTGATTTAAAGAATAAAACACAGAGAAGAGGAGAGAAACAGGGTCAAAGACAAACTGGAAACTCACAAGACTGGACTACAGGGGAACAGAAACACAAGGGAAAATACACTTAAATAACTAAACCAGGAAAAACTAAATTTACAGAACATATCATGACACCTCCTCTCTGTATGTCTGAGCTTTTATTTCCCCTATAAACCAGAACAACCACACTGTGAGTGTTTCTTTACATATGTAAGTGTCCATATTTAATTCATTCTTTGCTTTTATTCTTTTATTTTGTATTTTTGTCCGTCTGTGAAGCAGAAAATTAGAGTCAGGTACATTAATCTGTTTAAATTGTGTCATATCAGCATCGGCACAAGGCTGAATCAGATCTCAGACAGTGAACCGTGAGGACTGAGTGCAGCGCTCTGTTTAACATCAGCTGTTCACATCTACAGGTGAGGCTGCAGATTCGTTTTCTTTGATGACTTCGACAGCTGCTTTGTCTTGGTTTTTGTCTTTTCACCTCCACAAAGTGCTTCTTATCCGACTGTCAGCCTAGATCAGCTTCGACTGCAGCATCTATGTAGAAAATCCTCCCTGTGTTAATTTGCCGAGGTCGAGATGCCATTCAATGGTCAGGTTACGACGACGGCGCCCTCCCTGCACTAATAAACTGAATGTTCTGAATTTAAACGCCTCTTTAAAGTCCAGACTTGGATAGATAGTGACGGCTCGATTAAATACTATATTTTACAAGCTTGTGATGTAAAAATATCCAATAAGGAAGTCAGTGCAGACCTCAATCTGTCATTATCTGTGTGTGTGTGTTTTGGCTGAGATCCGTGCGTGGCTTACAGAACCAGAAACTCGCTCTTCACGCCCACAGAATGAACGGTCTAATCTGTTAACATGCTCATCATGAAAACCAAACCGCTCTGGAGCCGTCACGCCGTCACCAAACCGGACTTCTTTTCCTCGTAGTCCAAGTTCTTGACGTTACAGTGATGTGTGGAGCAGAAATCTGTTTTCTTGCATCTTGTTTTTTTGGCACTCGTGATCTTGGAAGATTTCCAGGTAGGTGGCACGGCGCATTTGTTCATGGCGCATCAGAGGAAAACCTTTTTTTAGAGCACAATGTGACGGTCTGCCCCCACAGGGCCTGCAGCTTAACAGAGATTAACGTATGCAGGACCGACTACAACCTCCCTGTGTGGAGATGATGGAGGAGACGGAGGGTGAAAAGCTCTACAGGAGAAAGAGTTGTGAAACCACAAACTCACACCGGAGAGGAAGTTACACTCCTCACACTCCTCGTTTTTCTCCGACCCCTCTCCCTCCTACTGTTCCTTCAGACACCTTTTCATTCCACCTCTTTCTCTTCCGTCGAATATCAAACTAACCCGCTGTGACAGCTTCTCATTTAGACAATTATTTCCATCACATTCAGCAGGATATTTGATCACAGACGTGTCTCTACGTTATATTTATCCCCTGAGCTGCCTTTGAGAGAGTTGATTGTCTCCTCCTGCAGGTTTTCTTTATTTAATCTTCCTGTTCTGACAGTTAGGCAGACGCGCCGTAAGATACTAAATTAAAAATAATGAACAACAAATGTCTTGTACACAGTTTTTACTCCTTCTTGAGAGACGACAAAGAGGCTGTTGAAGTACATTATGCATGTGGAGCAGAGAAACCTGCAACAATCTGAGAGGACAGCCTGCCTCTCTTTTCTGTTTCCTTTTCTTTCGTCTCTTTATCTCACAGATCCCAGAATCCTGTCTGTGAGAACGCAGACACCACTTTCTTAAACATGCTTTAATAATCCCGCTCAGATTAGATCCGTTTCTTATCGAGGAACAAAAGTTTGTCGGTCATCGTGAGCTCAGCTGTGAGGTTAATAGAGGAAGGAAACTTTCTCTCACAGACGTTAATCTGCTTTAAAAACTCATTTTCAGGTGTGGTTTCCCTTTTACAGATGATATTTTTCTGCAGGCTGCATCATCCTGTAACCTGCCTGTTTTTGCAGCTAGAAAACACTCTGGGATTTGCAGCAGCCACTTCTTCTGCAGCGATTTTCTTTCATTTGGCTGCCAATCTTGGCCGGGGTAATCCTGTAAAAGAGATTTTTAATCTTATTGAGGCTTCCTGGTTAAGAAAAAATGAAATGCATAAGTTTGGATAAAGAGAGAAAGCTTTCTGTGCTCCAAAGCAAACTGCCAGAGGACTCGGCTCCTCTCTGGAGATGATTATTTTTAATGATAGCGGCAGAAATTCGAGTCTGATCTTGAGGAAAATTGATTTCTTAATGGATTTCATACGGGCAGTGGGATATTTGGCTGAGGGAATAAACAGGCAGCGTCTGTCTTTGGTGGTTTGCCAGAGCATCTCGGGATTAATCCACTAGCCTGAAAACAGAGCTTAGTGTGTCATGTTGGAACAGCTGTGACTCAGTGTTAATTAAATTAACAAAAACACCAAGATGGAGGATGTTGATGACTGTCTATGGGGCTGGGATTGGCGTGTTTGTTTGTTTGTGTGCGTGGAGGGCTGTCAGGATCTCAGATTTTAACGTTTTACTGCCAGATAACGTCGTAAGAAAGACGATATTTGTGGTTTTTATGGAAAAGTAACGACACAACCAAGCAGAGAGATCGGGGAACATAAAATCCATACCGATGTCGGTGTCAGATCTGCAGCAGGTTTAACAGACAAATGTCAATGTGAGATTTACAGACAGGGAGGCCCGGCTTCTGATTGGGCCTTTAAAGGTCAGCTGATTTCTTATATATAGGGTGACAATATTCTGATTCCCAAAAAAGAGGACACGATTACATGGGGGCAGTCACGGAGTCACACATAGTTAATTTTGAGAGTTTTTCAGGTCCGATCGAGTGTTTTTTACGTGCTTCTAACTTGGGAAGTCCACACAACACAAACTCCATACAAAACCTCGGAAATTTGAAGGATTTTATAAACTCCCCCGGACAAGGCAGGACAGCCCCCCAAAAAAGAGGACATGTCCGGGTAAAAGAGGACGTATGGTCACCCTGACTATATCACTAAATTCAACGGAAATCTTCACACTGGGTTTGTGAGAATAGGATCTGGACAGTCTGATCTTGACTGTGGGATGGAAAATCTTAAAATCCTGGTTCTCATTTTTACTCATGGGTCCTATGACAGGAACTTCATAAAACAGTACCGACATTTCTTGTGAGACTGGGTGGTTTCTTACAGATCTTGCGTGTTTCACTGTGAGACATTGAATGAGATCGGCGGTGTAAATAAACACCCACATCCCACAACCCTGGCCCCTCCTATTATCATGTGAAGAACAGTTCAACGTATTGACTTTATTTTATTTTGAAAATCAACCCGATATTTTACTCTGTAGCCGCATGCAACTTCTGCTGCGCTGAATTGATGCATTGTGCTGCGGCGTCCGGCAAAAATAGAAGCCTTGCGTATCTGATCTGACCGCTGGAGCGGATCCACAGCAGAGCCGGACGCCGAATGGATTGTGCGGAATCACACACAGTGATTATAATGTTTACGTATTTGATCAGGCTGCCACTCTGGACCGTTATTCATGGTTGCATTTTGATTCTTGCTAACTTGACAGTGTAGATCTGAGTGGAGCTTGGACTGTTGTAACAGTGTCACTTTTTAAGAAAAAGAGCCTTTAGATTGAACTTTAACTGTAAACCATCTGACAATGAAAGTGCTTTCAAACCCAAAGCTCCATTAGAGTCTAATTCCTCTGTTTCCTAAAGTAAATATTAACCCACAGAAGATTTTTTTTCCTCTTTCTATCGTATAAAAATAAACATCACACTCCACACAAGTGAAGCTAACAGGCTCATTCTGCTATTTTCCAGTTTGTGGAGTCCTCAAACGGCTGAATTAACCAACTCCTCCTTTAAATCCTGCAGTCAGTCCCTGTTCTTTCAGGTCACCGAGTATCAAAGTGAGACGAGCAGACGTTAAAAACACATGTACGTCTCATCAGTGACATCTAAACTGCATGCAGACACTTTGACAGGAGCCCCGGGCCACCGACTGCGACGCCTTTCATCCACTAACTGCTAATTCCTGTTGGAGCAGATGAAAGAGGGCCGGGCTGCTCCTGGATCCTGGAAACATGCTAGTCTAAACTTTTATCCGGTCTAAACTTGTGTCTGATCGGACTCTGCAGATGCGAAATGACCCCAGACTTCTCAGATCCCTCAGCCCCCCGATCTCCGCCGCCTCGCATTCTAATAAAGACTAATGTGTTTGCCGACATCGGCTCGCTCTCATTAGCGTGATTAATTGCCTCCTTGCTTTCGGTAAACAGTGTGAGCTGTATTCCAATTTATTCAGTGAAAATTACCCAATCATAATTAAACACTCTGATCTTTCTCCCCCAACCTCTTTCCCATACAAGCTCCGCTCACACACGGGGGCGAATGCTCCTTGATTAATTTTTCCCCGCTTCCCGTCATTAGCCGGATGATGTAAGCGTCACTTTGCTCAGGGTGAGCGTTTATAAAGAGCCAGAGTCGGGCTTGTAGCGGTCAGTTTTAAATGGTTTGATTTATCGCAGGAGCGCACGGGGGAGGACAGCTCGCCTTTTCCTCACAGTTCGATGTCCACCTTATGGAGCCCTTCCGCCCTTGTTCCAATGTCACACTTTACGGCGTGTAGGTCGGCCGCTGTGCCGCTCAATAAACACGGCGTCAGAGAATAAAGAAGGCCGACCTTCACCGTGGTAAGAAAATGTGAAAAGGACGCCACATAAACCTGAGAGCCGAGGCTGGAAGGACGGATGGATTAGATAGGAGATTTGTTTTTGATGGGGTGATACAGAGGGAGACGGGGGAGGAGGGGGTGAGGGCTTCAAACAGCATCACAAACACAGCACAGGTAGGGATTAGGCCGAGGTGGAAGCTGGTTATTTGCAGTGCTGATGGCGGTATTAAGGCGCGGTGTCTGAGTCCATCACTAAGCCTGGATTCTTATGCAGCACAGCAGACCTGGTTACCAAAACAAATCTCTGTACGTATCCCTGCGCAGGGTCACATGTTCCCTCTGAGCGCCGGAGCTGAAAGATGGAGATACAAACTCTTTAAAGTAGAGACGCACCAATCCATCTTTTTCCTGATCCGATCCGATACGATACCTCGGCTGAGCATATCTGCCGATATCCGATACCGATCCAATACTACTGTTGAATAAATGAACTGTATACCTTACCCTGGGAGTGAATCTTCCCTCTTTTTGTGAATGTTAGTAGAACGGCTTCTGTTTGTCTTAGAGATCTTTTTAGTTTTTATTGTTCTGGACATTATTGTGGAAACAGGTGAACACAGAACACGTGTTTAAGTCGACATCATCTTTCTTATAACTGAAATAATTCCAGATAACTGACGTTGCTTTTTTTTGTGCCAACAAGTTTTCATCTTCTGTGGTTTTCTTTTGTTCATTTCTCATTTTGCACTAGTTGTTGTTGTTGTTAGCGGTGTTGTGCAGAGAAGCGCATGCCCGCCGAGAATTGCATGCACCTAGCTGAAACGCGCACCGCTTACAGTAGAGTGGTCCACGAAAATGTACAATTTAAAACCCATATAGTTCTTATTTGTGGGGCTAAACAGTGATGAGTGGTGTGTCTGATAACCATGTTGTTTAAAAAAAGAAAACTGCAGTTCCTTGAGTGTCCACTAGTTTCTGGAAATGTGGAAAAAGTCCGTCAAACATCTCCGCAAACCAGAACTCTCAAGGTCATCGATCACATGTGTGGGTATCAATCAACATCCAGCTACACCGGGTTATAATTTGGTTCCTGCTGATGAAGAACAGACAGTGTCCTCAACGGGAAACACGCCAAAGATGTTTGGCGAAGTTTCTCAAAACTGGCAAAAAAAAATGTATATAAGCGAATAAATAAAACCTGATGGCGGCCTGATTTCAGTCTCTGTAGACGCTTTTAGGGCCCACATCATGAGGACTTTGGTTACTGTGGTTACTTTGGTAGTGTAAGGGACCAAGCAATCAGGCAAAGGACAAAGGTGTGGAAAAAGATCTTGTTCCTTTATTTACTTGGAAAAATAGATCAAATCATAACAAATGTTCAACTTAATTTGGTAGAACAAAAAAGAAACAAAACCTGGGCCCATTGTAACAGAGGTCAACTCAGCAAAATCAACTAATGCTACCACCTAACATAATCAAACAGACCTAACTAAAGTGAGACATGCTGGGGGTTTAAATAGACAAAGGACTAGTCCAACAGAAACACAAGGGGGAAACTAAATGTGACTCCAAACTAAACATTTAACAAACTCAGAAAAATAGCTTCAAATCATCAAAACAAACTATTTACAGAATAAACTAAATTGCCTTTACAAACTGAAAAGAACACAAACAGAAGATTGGAGATGAAATAAAAGTCCATGCTGCCCCTGTGTTCCCCCTCCATGGTCTCTCCCACTTCCTGTGGGCAAGGCTTAAAAGGCCATCTTTGATCAGCAGACAGCCTTTGCCAGGAAACTCAAACAAAAGCAAACAGGAGTAAGTATAACTTGAGATTAAAGCATGATGTAGAAAATCAACCATGTGACAGTTTGTTAACTAAATTGTGTGCACCCAAATTAGAAAACAACTGCCATACATGCAATTAAAGTGATTTTATTTCAACAGAAAGGTGTGTAATGTGCTCCTTTTAAACTACAAACAAAACTGGTGTTAAAACCCAAAGAAAAAGAAATACTAACACGAGATAGTGGCAGTTTAGGCCACCACAGTTAGGGTCAGGGTCAGGGTTAGCCGTGCTCCGGTGTTTACTGATCTGCAGTCAAATAGGTTTTCAATCTAAGATACGGTCTGATCTCTGTCTGTGACTGCAGAAAAAGATTCATCTTGAATCGATGAAGTTGTTTTTCTCCGTTTTGCACTTCGTGATAATGAATCAATCCTGCTTTTTTAACGTGTTCACACAGCGACTTTTCAGCAGTAAAAGAGTGTTTTTTTTTTTTCCTGCTCATCAATGAAGAGAGAAACCGAGATGTTCTGTCTGAGTCTTCCTCTCTCCTAATCTCATAAAATACTCATTTTCCTTTGCTGCAGGTCGACTGCGTCTTTATTCAAACTGTAGCCTTTAGAGTTTTTTCCTCTCTGTTTATCTTCCTCGCTGTCAGCTTCGGCTCACTCTTCTATCTGCTGTCGTCAAAAACACAGAAAAAAAAAAAGTTTGCAGTGGATAAAGTTAAAAGGTCGACTTTTCAACTCCTCTCTCTCTTTCTCTCTCTGCCGCCTGTCGACAGGCTGTATTGTGGCTTTTTGTAAAGAAGCTGTCAAAGTTGTATTTCATGTTGTGATTGCTGCAGAGATGATTTCTATTCAAGCCGCCGAGAGCTCGAAGGGCTCGCGCTCTTACCCTAAAGAATGGGATCTAAGTGTTTAAAGAGACGTTTTCACATGCCCTCCAAAAACCGAGAAGAGCGTCTCTCAGCTCCACCGCGGGTTTTTAGTATAATACGAGGTTAAATGTTAAAACCTTTCATCTGACTTTAAAAACAAACAAACCAAAGTTAACGTTTTTACTTTGACTCATTCACTAAGTACCCGCTTTTTCCTAGGAACGAAGTTTTCTAATCATCCAACCATAAGTCAAAGAAACGGAGGACGTTTGATGAAGAATTATAGCTCTTAAACCCTCATATAAAGAAAATTAAAGCATAAAATGGAAATCTCATCTGCAGAAAGAGCTTTTCCTCCATTAAAGACCATTAAACCATATTCCTCTCTGACTAATGGCAGATAAACTCGGCACTGAGAGCTCTTTGACTTGATTGTGGTGATGGATGTGATTTGATTGCAGTGGAAGTCATAAGGGCCCGTTCTTGTCCTCTAAATTAAACACCAGCCTTCAGAAACTTAGAGAAGTACTTCACCAGGGCTTGTTATTTCTGGAAAAACTGGAATAAAAAGCATTAAAGTGGGGAGTTGATGTAGCAGGATAAAAGATAATCAGCTGGTTTACAGGGAAGAGGAGCGGTTTATGCTCACAGCTACGACTCTCTGCTGGTTTTCAGTCGAACTCATGTTGTTTTAAACCCCCTGATAATAGGGTCAAAAAAAGAAATCCAGATTTTTTACTCTGAAAACTCGATTTTTTATTTAGATTTTCACTTTAATAAAAAGATTTTCTATCATCTCTCAAAAGGAAACCACTGAAAACAATGTATGCTAATGCTAAGCCAGTAAGTGGCGCTGTAACGCTGCACAGGAAATACACAAAAGAACAGAAGAAGAGAACAGAGCATGTGTATAAAGGTTGTTTTGGCGCCACAAAAGAGTTACTCTGTGTATCACATGATCGTTTACAGAGATGCAGATAGACATCCACACGGAGATGAAATGGTCGTCGTTTACGAATTTAAGGTCCTCACACACCGGGGCCGATGCGAATATGGAACGCGAAATTACGAAATATTCGGAGGAGAATTTTGACGCGCCTGACTAAACACATCAAGCCCGATGCGATTTTGCGACTCTCCGGGAAGAAAAAGACGCATCCTGGGAAGAGTTTCCCGGGGATGGTTGATGGTTCTTGTGCTTGAAAGAATCGAGTTGATACAGAGATTTAAACAAAAATAAACAGGCAAACCAAAAATAGCAAAATATCACCGGGGGTTCTAAGGGTTAAGGTGACTCCAATGACAGAGTCCTGATGCGCCTAATCCTGTAGATATTGTTCGCCATTGACAATATCTAGACCCCATAGACCCATGACATTGGCGATATATTCGTCCCCAAACCACGTAGCCCCTCATGATGTGACATCCACAAAGATAATCATTACATTAAATTTTGTCTCCTCCTCCATCTGTCCTTTTTTTCTTACAGAAGTCAAAAGTCTTTATAAATAATATGACTGATGATCTCTTCCCATCTCTCTCTACTTTTACTGCAGAGCACCTAAAGGTGGCGCTAGAGGAGTACATGACGCGGTTGCCTAAGGTTCGTATCCTGAGGACCAAGAAGAGGGAGGGTCTGATCAGGACTCGCCTGCTGGGAGCTGCAGCCGCCAAAGGAGAAGTCATCACTTTTCTGGACTCCCACTGCGAGGCCAACGTCAACTGGCTGCCCCCACTGCTGGGTGAGAGCGCCGTAACCCCCTCTCTCACACACACCTACACAAACACACACTGTTTTGGCGCTGATTTTTCTCAAACAGAACCAATCAGTCTCTCTCTCGCACACACACGGGGCCCCTGCCAACATTTCTCGACCCGGCCCCGACCTCTCAGTCCTAAAACTCTCTCCGAACCATCAAAAGTCTGAACTTCCCAAAGTTCTGGATCACGGCTGGTTTTCTCGATAACTTTCTGCCCTTTTCTGACAAATATTTCCACTTGGCCTTTCCAAAATGTCTCATTTTGTCAAAAAATGTTCTCATTCGAAACATAACCACTCACCTCATGAAGAGTTCTAATTTTTAAGATATTTGACAGTCACAGAACTTTCTCGATAACTCTTTCTCTGTATAAGAACCACGTTCAGCCCTGTGTCTCAGCAGGGTGCCGATCCGACATGCTCCTCTCCACGTCAGGCTGTTCAACGAAAACTAATCCTAATCGGACGAAACTTTGGCGTATTAGTCTGACTGAAACGCACTAAAGGCTGATTCATGTTTGCCATACGTATGAAAATACACGCGTCTGTTTCACACGATGGTTCCGTCACTGTCCAAATACTTCTATGTGTCCTCTACGACAGCATGGGGGGCATCCACCAGGGGGCAGGCTGGAGTCAAAAGTTTAGAGAAGAACAACAACAAACAAAAAGAAACATGGCGACTGTGAAGCCCCGCCTTTGTCTTCTTCGTTTTTTTCTAGAGATGCGTATCGGGTAGTGACAGCAGCAACACTGCCCCCTAGGTTTCCGGTGGTTCTGATCCGTCTGACCAGCATCCGTAAACTATGTTCGGTCGGTCGGTCAGCAGGTAGGTAGGTAGGTAAGTCAGTAGGTAGGTAGGTAGGTAGGTAGGTAGGAAGGTAGGAAGGTAGGTAGGAAGGTAGGTAGGTAGGTAGGTAGGTACAACTACAAGCAAAAAGAAACATGATGACTGTAGAGCCCCGCCATTGTCTTCTTTGTTTTTCTCTAGAGATGCATATTGGGTAGTAGCATATCCGTAAACTAGGTTGGTCGGTGCAGTCTGGCTAACAAACTTAGATTACTCGTTATACGATCAGCTTTATTTTTTAATATTGGACCAAAACATGACATATCAGCTAAACCTGCACAGGTTGAAATAAGAAAAGGCTAATGTCTAACATTAGATTTTTTGCTTTTGCAGGAAGGGTATCCAGAAGAAATGGTTTCTATGTTTTTATCGAAACTATATTCAGAGTGATTATTTGGTTTCATACCCAGAAAGAGCAACTAAACTTCACTTTTAATTGTTTTTTTTTTATGTTTTCCTTATTTTATATCCTGTAAGTTCATCCAAAGGGGTTTTTAATAATTTATACACTGGAGGGAAAACCAAAGGTTACTTTTTTTTCCAGGTTTTATGGAGGAGTATTCAGAAGGCATGATTTTTTTCCACATTTAACACTCTAAAAGGGCAACAAGTTTTTTTTTTTTCCCTGTTTTTATCCACTGGAAGAGTATCCAGTGGTCTTGTTTTACATTGAACTCAATAGAAGTGCATTAAGAGAGCCCCAGAGTTATATTTCACTCACTGGAAAGGACATTTAATCCTGTTTTATAACTCCAGGAGCGTCCGTGAGCAGAGTTCGAGGGTGTTCAATCATAAGTCACATACGGTTGATTTAATAAAAGCCAAAATGGTTCAAAGAGGAGCTGAAGGCCCGTCTGTTATCGCTGAGCTGATCCAAATGATCTTACAGCTGCACTTTGAAATGACTCTTTTGTTCTGCTCTGTGTCTCACAGATCGGATCGCCCAGAACAGGAAGACCATCGTGTGCCCGATGATTGACGTAATCGACCACGACAACTTCGGCTACGAAACACAGGTGGGGGACGCCATGAGGGGAGCGTTTGACTGGGAAATGTACTACAAACGGATCCCCATCCCTCCAGAGCTGCAGAGGGACGACCCCAGTGAACCCTTTGAGTGAGTAATAACCCACTCAGACTAACGCCGTTCAGACTCTCCACGTCTTAACTCAGACCCAATCTGCTTTTTTAACATCTCTCTGTGACGGGGCATCTTCACCGTGTCTCTGTGTCCATGACGGCAGATTGTAAACATGCACGCCACACTGCTATCGTCACATTTATCCACTGAACACCTGATTAGATGTTATATTGAGCGTATAAAGAAGAGATTCCCCGCTCGTCCTGACGCTCGTCCTGTCCCACATGCAGACAAAGGTGCAGGTTTCTCAGAAAGGCGAAGTGATGGGAGTTTGAATCTGAGTGAAATCAGATTTTATCCATCCACTTTGGTTTCACTTCTGAGGGTTAATTAGCGATGTCAAATGTGTGTTATTGTAAAAAGACCTTTCTTAATGAACACAGCACAAAAGCAGAATTTTAAAAATGATCACTCCATTTACTCCGCTGCTTCGTTTTCTCTCTGTGGTAATTACGCCCACTCCCCCGCTAAGTTCCTGGTTTTTAGTGCTCAGTCGTTCGGCTGCAGCAGATTTACAGCAGTGTTTACAGCATCCTGTCATTAATACACGTTCAGTAGGAAACACACGGGTTCACGACATGCCTGTCTGTCTGCAGCTGAGGTCTGTCAGCACATGTGCAGAAGGAGGTTAGACCTAGTTTGTCTTTATTGTCTTTTCTGCACATGTGCAGTTCGACCTCCGTTTGTGCATACTCAGTCTGCTTTCATATTTAATAGAAAAAGTCTTTTTTTTTTTATCAAGTTTGTTTTGCAAAGAGTAACTTTTGCCAGTGAGCAAAGTCCAACTGTTCTTGGACCTTCTGAGGTACCGTAAACAGCTCCGTGTCCAAACCTCCTTTTATCCTAGCTTGTACGGTGTTTTACTGTAATGATCTACTAAAAATCGCTGCACATGAGGATGAAGCTGAGGGTGGAGTAAACTACATGTCCAGCACACCTGTTCGACGGCGTTTCTTGGACGTATCGCCATGAGAGGTTGTTTTGTTTCTGGACTTGGTGAAGGATCAGTCCTCCATGACCCCGAATTTTCACCGCATCCTTAACGGCTGCAAAAACGCCGTATGCGCCAATCGCCACTGATCGTTTCCATTCAAGTCAATTTGTCAAATTCCAGCGGCTTCTTTCCGTTCTGCTGCGGGTCGCTGGACTCCTCAGCTGATTGCAAGAGTTCTATTGTTTCCCGACACCGCAGCATGGCGGATAAATTCATCACAGATTAACCCGTGCTGGAAAGGAAGTCGGGAACAGACACAAAATAAAACATCCATGTTTCAGGCGGATCGTATTTTACATCATGCAAACAGGCAGGCACGAACAAGTGAAAGGTTTTACTGATTCTAGAAGTCTAGAAGTGGATTTCCTCCTCTGGAAGGACACGATCTACTGCAACTACAACTCCTTATCGCACAATTGCATGTAAATCTGCGAGTTCTTGTGAGTTCTCGTGATTCCCACTGTCTGAAATTCACCACGAAATTTCCCTCACAAATGCATCCTGTAGGAATTGGCAGACGGTGTAAATCGCTGCCGTTCTGGATGCAGTGGAAATTATGGGTTGTACGTAATAGTTCCATATTTCTGATTGATTCATTGGATTAGTCTGAAAAATGGACTCAAAACCTGCAGATGTAAACAGGGCTGAGAGTTAAAATCTCTCTCTGCAGAGAGTTGTGCAGTTTCTAACATCATTACTGAATACCTTAAAATCCTGGATGTCAGATCCGTCTCTGCACTCAGATCGGTGGAAGGCGCACCCTGCTTGTGCACTGTGAGAAAATGCCGAAGGGCAGCCGTAGTTAAGGGAGCAGAGCCTGAAACCATAAAACAAAAAGAGTTTTCGAAAGCAGCACAGAGGTTTCTGCAGTCACAGTGAGATTCATTCCAACCTTTTCACCTGTGCAGAGGAAAAACTGCAGAAAGCTGGCTGCTATCACCGCGGGACTGCTATCTGTGCTCACAGCTCAGGAGGCGTGGGAAGCCCCCGAGTGTTTCTCACTGCCGACTGGAGCCGAGCTGCCCTGTTTGCCTTTAATTGATCCTCCGCAGGGATGACTTTGGCGAGAGCAGACTACCTGCTGGCTGCCTGCCTCAGACTTCCACATGATGAAAAAGCTTGTAACTATGACAACCTGCCTGCGTGTATTGTGATGTTGGTGCACCGAGGAGGGCTGGATTTCTTTTGGGGGGGAAAAAGATGAGAAAAATCCAATTGCATTTTGATGGACTGCTGAGATCAGTGTTACATTAATCAGGTTAAAGGAAGGCATGTGGCGCAGAGAGAAGGGTCCTTCAGAAGGAATCAGATATATAGTTGTGTGTGTGTGTGTGTGTGTGTGTGTGTGTCTGCACCTGCTGCCCCACTTTCTCTGCCTCAGGTGTGCTGCGGCTTAAATCAAGTGCAGCAGTGATAGAGCAGCTAACAAGCCGTGCGCTCAGCAGCACAGAGCTTGTCACAGCAGACAGAAGCCACAGCGCTCTGTAGTGGGTTAATTGGTTCGGCACTGTTCAGAGCATCTTCATTATCTGCTGAGAAATAGCAGCACAGTAAATGCATGAACTCTGACTTTCTGTTTGCATCCTTCCAGATAGTTTTTCTTTCTCTTATTCTGACAATCTTTGTAGTCGCTTCATGTGTTTTTTTTTTCCTGTATCCTCTGAAAAGTTACAGTGGAGTCAACCCAAGTCCCAGTGTTACAGCAAAGAGCTTATATACTGCATGTTCAAACTCTGCCCGGCAGCACAATCCACTTCTTGGCTGACAATCCGTATTTTTGTTTCAAACACTTGTCAACTCACTAGTACTCTACATTCCTCTATATGCTTCTTCCAGAGGAGCCGTGAGAGCGATAGAGAGGGAACACGATGTGCTGAACGTACAGTAATGGACGTAAAAACAACCCAAATAGAGCTGAATATAAACACTGCAAATTATCATCGTCTAGTCATGTCTGTGTAGGTTCTCGTTCATCCAGGTCATGGTTAGCCAACTCTTCATTAAAGGGTAACTGGACTTGTTTGAGGTTCTTGAAGACGACCCGCCTCTCTTCCAAAAGGCGTCTTCAGTTCTAACAAGACTGGGCCAAAGTTTACAGCCTCTGTTGGTCCTCACCTAGCTTGGTCGTTGACCTGGTTTCAGATTTGTCGTGAGCTACACCACAGACCATCTCTGCGTGGTTTGCTCCAGTTTTTCATTTTATCATGACTCAGATTAAAGCGAACTGTCAGCATCTCAATTCTGCTGCTCAGAGCTGCACTGTGAGCTCTAATCCTGACAGCGCCAAACTCAATCCTATAGCATATAATAACCTGCATAGAGTGTGTGTGTGTGTGTGTGTGTGTGTGTGTGTGTGTGTGTGTGTGTGTGTCATTTGTTTTTTTTATTTCATTTCATAATGGCGTCCATTATTGAGAGATGTGACAAATTCCACCGTTAACAAGCTCAAGAAAAAGGCGGGTTATTAAAAAAATAAGAACACAATCCATCGTGGAATCCAACTGCACATTCAGGGTCAGGGTTATTTTAATGAACTTATTATATTAAAATAACAAATGAGACACCAGCAACAGTGTAAACTTGACTGTGTAAACACATGCCAGTTTATAGCAACAGCAAGCACTCCATGACGGTCTACGGTCGCCCTAAATTGACCCATGGTTAGAAAGGAACCCGAACACATTTTGGGGGGGTTGAGCCACAGGCAGCAGGATTTGAAATAAAGGCCTGCCTCTAATACAAGCCTGCTTCTTATAAAGGCCTGGCACCTTTTCCTGTAAAAGTAAATAAAAGACCCGACCTATATTGAAGGATGAACCCCAAATTTTCACCACATCTGCAACGGCTACTAAAAGGTCGTTTCCTCCGATCGTAGCTGATCGTAACCATTCAAGTTAACACGTCGATTTCCACCTCTTTATTTAGCCTCTTTGTGAAAGTCACTGATATTACACCAAAGCACACCTGTCTGTGATCTGTTCAGCTCTAACCATCATTTCAGATGTTTACATGACAGTTAAACTCTCTGTTGTATTCCGTATGTTGCAGGTCTCCGGTGATGGCGGGCGGACTGTTTGCTGTAGACAGGAAGTGGTTTTGGGAGCTGGGAGGATACGACACAGGTCTGGAGATCTGGGGAGGAGAACAGTACGAGATCTCCTTCAAGGTAAAAACCGTTTGTGAGGACCATTAACCTTAGAGATAACCCTGAACTTGGGTACCGGTGGACTGTGAGTAAAAGTCGAGGACTTCTATTGTATAAAGAGGGTAAAAAAACTGGAGTGATTAACACCAGCTGTGACCCCGAGAGCTTTAACAGAAAAAAACTCCTCTGTTTTCATACTTTTTTGGAGCTTCTCTTCATATTTGAGCAATTACTGAGATAATGTGCCATTTCGGGGTTATTATTTTGGCCAAGATTATCACGCTATTCAATTCTGCTATCAGCACATGCCTCGCTGTGCCTCCCAGGTCTCCTTACTGCCCTCAGATATTCAATTTGGGTTTCTTTTTATTAAGATCCCCATTAGATGATACGGCAGAGACAGCCAATCTCCTGAGGTGAGAAGATTAACAGGCTCTCATACTAATCCTTACAACCAAACTGCTGCTCCCACAGACAGCCGGGCTCGGCTCGCTCTGCTTTCACTGGTGCACTTCATCAAAAGCTCCATCCCGGTCGCACTAGCGTGGAAATACTGAGCAATTCCAGCTCATACAGTGAAATAATCTCAGTGTGTGCAAGCACATAGAGCACAGAAGCAATCTGACCTCACATGGCAACCAAGAGGATAGCGGTAGCCATAAAACTGATGGTGGATCTTTTAATATCGCCCCGGCAGATTGGACTTTCTGTTTTGCAAACATTTCTCAGACACAGAGCTGCTCCGGAGGCGAAGATGATTGAACCTCTGCGGATGGAGCCAGGGAAACGTTATTTAAAGTAAAAGTTGTCCGACTGGCAAACTGTTGGCAGAGGAAAACTTTTCTTTAGGCATATATTACAATATTAATAACATGACTTTTTTTTTCTTCTTTTGGCGACTGTAGATTTTAAAAAGTAAGGTTTCTGTCTCTCTGAGTGATCGAACAGTCTACGTCGGCTCAGGATAAACAGCTTCTTGGGTATTTGACTCTCTAACCAGGAAAAAATCGATCTGTAAATGAGTTTATAGTATTTATTGAAATCATTGCTCAGCCTGCACCATTAAAACCCTGTTCCTGACTTTATTTCTGCTCATCGTTATTCATGTTGCAGGAGCGACTGAAACGCCAGACATGAATTCAACAGTGTGCATTTATGTTTTATTAACCCGGTGACACCAAACACAGAGGCAGCTCAGGTTTTAGCCCATGCAGGACTTTGTCTTGCAGCGGTATGTTTTATTCATCCAGCTGGAGTGAATTCTGTTGTTACAGAGTTTTGCTCACTTGTGAGATCTTTCGTCGGTTCACTGGTTTTGAAACTTTATCTGTAACAGACCAGAGAGACTGCAGTTTAAAGTTATGTCGACAGGGTCTGGGGGCCGGCCATGCCTGGGTGGTTTAATAGCCCTCTCAGGCACTTTATTTTTGTTATCGTCTGTGTCAGACTTTGACCACGGTACACAGCCCAAATCATTCAAAGACATAAATCAGAATAAAAACCGCACCACATTATAAAGCTCCTCCCGAGAGTAAAGACTCATCTAAAACCGCTGGGCACCAAAGAATCCAGAACAATAAAAGAACCGATTCAAGTCTGAAAGTTTGAGTTGATGAGGGACAGTCAGCTCGGCTTTACGCTGCACTGAACAAACTCTCAGACAGATCCAAACGCTCTCCTCATGCTGCTTTTCAAACAAGTACAACAACCCTCACTTTTTTAACCACCTTATCACAGCACAGATACTTGTTCTAGAGGTGAACAGAGACATGTCCGATGGGTTCAGAGGTCAAAAATAAGAAGGAGAGCCTCTTGATGCCCTTCCTTGCAAATTAAAGATTAAAAAAGACCTATTTAGATGCCCGTCCAAAGGATTCACATGAAAAAAGGGATTTTGAATGTTTACTCCAATGAGTCAAAGTATAGCTGAGCCCTCTTGATGCCCTTCCCAAGTCAAAAAGAGAATTCTGGATGTCTTTCCCCGTAAATAAGAAGTTGTAATTCTATGTGGATGCCCCTCCTAGTAAATAACAAGTGACAGTCCTCTGAATACCTTTGCCAAATTAAAAAAGAAACCACTGGATGTCTTCCACAGTCAACAACAAGATAAAAGAGACCTCTGGATGCCCTTCCTTTTAAATTAATGATTAAATGAAACCTTTATAGATGCCTGACCAAAGGATTCAATTGAAAAAAGAGATTTTGGATGTTTGCACCAATGTGTCAAAGTAAGAAGGAGCCCTCTTGATGCCCTTCCTAGTAAATAAGAAGTGAAAGTCCTCCGAGTACCCTTCCCAAGTCAAAAAGAAACTTCTGGATGTCTTTCCCAGTAAATAAGAAGTTGTAGTTCTATGCGGATACCCTTTCCAGTAAATAATAAGATAAAAGAGCCCTCTGAATGCCCATCCTTGTAATAAACAAGTGAAAGCCCTCTGATTACCCTTCCCAGTGGACAACAAGTAAAAAAAAAAAAGAAAACTTCTGGATGTCCTTTTTTGAAAATGAAAGGTTAAATTAGACCTCTATAGATGCCTGTCAGAACGATTCAGGGGTCAAAAGTAAGAAGGGGCCCTCTTGATGCCCTTCCTTGTAATTAAGAAGTAAAAGTCCTCTGAATACCCTCCTCAAGTCAAAAAGAAACTTCTGAATGTCTTCCTCAGTAAATAGGGTGACAGAGACCTCTGGATGCCCTTACCAAGGGGCGTCTCTAATGGCCCCTTTATGGATAAATATGGTCCTCTAGATGCCCTACCTCGCAGATAGATTCCCCTTTCTTAGAAGTCCTTCTAATTAAAGTGTGCACGTAACTTAACTTTTTCATGTGAGTTTGAAGGTTTTTTAGTGTTTCCATTTAAATAGGCCAAAGTCATCTCGAAGTCATGTTGGTGTTACAGGAGCTCGACCACTGTCCCGTTAAACTGTTCTGTTTCTTCAGCCGTAAAATCGTATATTAAAATGTACATTTCATATTCCTGTCCATGTTTTGAACTCAAAGCAGCTTCCTCCTGGGTCTAACCTTCAAAAAGCAGAAACTTATTTCCATAATAAAGGGAACAGTTTTGAAGCCCTGAACCCCGTTCTCCCCGTACTTGTTTGTTTTCATGTTTAAATCCAGCTTTTCTTTTCCCCACTTTTCATTCTGCCATTGTCTTCAAAACAAAACCCATTTTCCATCTCGCGCGCTGTCTCTAAGTCCTTCATTCTTCCTCATCCTCTTTACGGCCTCCTTTTCTTTCTCAAGGTTTATTTCCAACACAGAGAGCCAAAAATGTGAATGCCAGCTTTTGTCCTCATTGTAGTTTGAGGACTGGAATGAGGAACTGCTGCTGGATGTCTGTGTTATGTGAGATAGATGAGAGGAAGGAGTGGTAATAATACGGACCTGCAGTAAATGAGGGTTTTCTCCTGCCTAAGACGGGCTCATCAGGGTGCTTAAATCTCATTGGAGTATTAACGTTTTGCAGGAAAACAGAATGTCAGGTTTTTGCAGATTATGTTGATTTCCCTGATGTGAAGAAAGTGTTCGCTTTACTTGGTTCTTCTTGAATCTGACCCTGCTGCTCAGGTGAAGTCCGGTCACTCCTCCTCTTCCTCCACCATCCTGCCATTTCATCTTTACAGCCTGTTTTTGTGAATTCACTTCTGTCTGCTCTTTGTCTCCTGGGATTTATAAGCCTGTTAGAACCACTGTACCTCATGCCACTTTCTTCTCTGCCATGAGCGCATGACTCATCTCCTTCAGCTCGATCATCTTCTTCCTTCACCTTTCTTTACCTTTCCTCAACTTTCTCTTTGTGCAAAGTTGGTCAAAGGTTTCTGCGATGAAAGAGCTTTCTCTTCTCCATCTCCGCCCCTGCAGGTGTGGATGTGCGGTGGTCGGATGGAGGACATCCCTTGCTCCAGGGTAGGGCACATCTACAGAAAGTACGTCCCCTACAAGGTCCCTGGTGGGATCAGCTTGGCAAAGGTAATCCTTCAAACCTTGAACCTGCGCGGCTCATGACAAAACGCACAATGCAGTGGATTAGTCACAGAGTTTCTGCACACTGCAGCAGTGTCATACAGAGGTTTAGTGTCAAAACAAGGCTGTCACATCACCTATGAAACATCTCAGCGACATCAAGGCGTTGGATTACAGTAAATCTCAGGTGAAGTCGCCGTGAGGGGAGCAGGAAGAGCCGGAACATAACAGATCCGGTCACAATTGACGACCATTCACACAGATCTTGTTTTTTTTAACAGGTGTTAAACCACAAAGGGTAAAACAGCGTTTCAAAAGTGGAACCAGCAGTATGTGTGATCCACTGCTTTATAAATGTTTCTTCTCAGAGAGGAATTGCTGCATGGGTTCATTCATTCATTTTCTACCACTTGGGGGTCACGGGGGGCTGGAGCCTATCCCAGCATCTTCGGGCTAAGGCGAGGGGACACCCTGGACAAGTCGCCAGTTTATCGCAAGAAATGTTTCGCCCAAGGACGCAACAGACAGACTAGGAATAGGGGGAATCGAACTGCCAACCTTCCAGTTTTTGGACGTCCTCTCTTCCTCTCAAGCTACTGCCGCTCCCCCCAGTCTAAGGCACATTGGAGTAAAGCTGCAAGCATTTGCTATCCAATCCGATCCGATCCAGGTTTATTCATAAAGCATATTTTAAAAAAAAACAAACCGCTGACCAAAGTCAGACAATAAAACCGGACAATTAACACAAACAATAAAACAAAGACACAGGAACACATTAAAAACAGAGGGACGTAGATGGTTCAGTAAAAACAGGATTAAAAGGCCAAGGAGTAAAAGTGAGTTTTCAAATGTGAGTTAAAAACAGGCAGAGAGGGGGACGGACAGTCGGACATGAAGAGGAAGAGCATCCAGAGCTTAGGCACAGCAACGGAAGAGGACCAGTCACCCCTGAACTTTAATCTTGACCTCGGGACAGTCAGAAGGTCAAAGAGATAAAAAGGATTCAGTTTGAAGATTTATGAGTTAAAAACAAATTTTACAATTAATCCTAAAACGCACAGGAAGCCGGTGAAGAGAGGCGAAAATGGTGGAAATGTGGTCATATTTACGGCGACCAGATAAAATACGAGCCGCTGCATTTTGAACGAGCTGTAAACGATTAAGAGAGGCACTAAAATACAGTGCATTACAATAATCAAGACAAGCGTGCACAACCTTCTTAAAATCATGAAAAGATAAAAAAGACTTGACCTCGTTTAAAAGACGAAGGTGATAAAAACTGGCTTTTACATCTGCATTTATCTGTAGATCCATTATGTGAAATAAAGACATTTTGATTTTATACTTTCACCTCATTATGCCTCAGAGTGTTTTTTGAGGGGACGTTTTTTACCCGTGCAACAATTCCTTCCCTAAAAGAAACAAATCAGTCTGTTCGAGCGCTTATATGATGACCTTTATTCCATCATTGTCTTCCACTTTTTTACCTGCATGTCAAGAGCTGGTTTGCCACGATTGCCCCAGTATCTCTCTCTTGTCATATTCTGTCCTTGGGCTTTTCAGACTCACACCTGCTCTCCTCCTCTCTCCTCTCTCCTCTCTCCTCCTCCTCTCTCCTCCTCCTCTCCTCATGACTAACTGAATAAAAACTAGTTTCTCCGACATTTCCCTCGAAAATGGGAGCTTGCTTGATGATGAACCACCCATGTTCCCTGTCTTTAAAATGAGAGGTTTGACTGAAGTGGCTCCAACACGAACATTTAACCATCAGCCATGAAAGAGCAGCTCTGTTTAACAGATGGTTGCATATTTGCTTCTTACATCCTTTACTAAGTGTCCTCTTCTTGCTGCTTTGAATCCATGAGAGCACTTTACAGTCTGCACAGCTCCCTCAAATAATAGACCACCTGATGAGAGGCAGCAGCGCCCAGTCTATCCTCTATCTCCCTCTTTTAGCTTTCACAGGTGTTACTGTGAAGAATGAGCTTAACTTTTCGGTTCCTCGTTCTCTTCGAAGCACCCTCACAGAATTAGAAATGGACGAGAAAAGCTGCATCATCCGGGTTGTAGCTGAACACCATGCATTATGTATGCCTCCGCCCCAGTCTGGAACTGGACCCGCTTTGGCTCAGTATGCAGCTCCAAAGAGCTGGCCTTTGTTTGGACTTTTTTTTATTCGGACCAAACAGCCTTTAAATGTGGCGTCAGTGGAATACTGATGGTCCGGAGTTAACCTTTCTCTGCTGATAAGGAGAAACATTCACTCAAAGGACTTGCTTGTCATTGTGCTTTTTCAGAGTTTCACCTTCTTAAAGAAATGCTTCACTTTCTGTTTGCATGGAGAGCATTTTTCCATGGCCAAGGTTCGAGTAAAGTAACCAAATGTAGCTGATATGTTGGACTATAGGAGTGAAGAAGTGGACGCCACTGTGAAACAAACTCTGAGGACATTATGAGTCAGAAACAACGGACTAGATAGATTTACGTCAAAATGTTTCCTTCACTGTCAGGGATTGTAAGATGATGGATTTATTGTTGTTATAATAGTGGAAGCTTAAATATATGAGAAAAATAAACATATTTCAAACATCTCTAGCTCAAAACATCTGTCTTTATTTAGAAATGACTAAATCACTTGATATAAAACAGGTGAGGGGACCAGCTGCTGATTTTGCACCTTAAAATACTTTAAAAAATGAAGAAAATTCCACAAATTGGTTTAGAAATTCTTCATAACAATTTGGTCCCACTTTACAGTAAACATAACTTATAAATGGTAAATAGAGTATTTATAAATGGCAAGCAGATAGTTTATAAATGTTTACTCATCATTTATAAATAGCATACAGACTATTAATAAATTGTAAATTTTACAATTTTAAAAACCTAACCCTAACCCTGACTTTACAACCAATATTTAAACCCAATATAAATATATAAACCTTTGATAAATAGTCCATTAATAATTAATGAAAATTAGTAATCAGAATTCCATTGCTTGTTAATGGTAAAGTAACTATTAACTTACATTAATAAACTATCTATTTGGCATTTATAATTGGTCTTTATGCTGTTTTTAAATGATGATTAAACATTATAAACTATCTATTTACCATTTATTAATTATGTTTTTTTGTAAAGCGTTACCAAAGCTTTGAACATTGTCGTTGGTACAAAGAAGTTGAGACTTGTGAATCTCGCCGATTGTCGGCGAAGGAATTTGGTCACCTGACGCTTTTTTTCTTTTGGTTTCAGAACCTGAAGCGGGTCGCGGAGGTGTGGATGGACGAGTACGCCGAATACGTCTACCAGCGGCGCCCCGAGTACCGCCACCTCTCAGCGGGAGACATGACGGCCCAGAAAGAACTGAGGAGCCGCCTGAACTGCAAGAACTTCAAGTGGTTCATGAGCCAAGTGGTGTGGGATCTTCCCAAACACTATCCACCGGTGGAGCCTCCTGCTGCGGCCTGGGGGGAGGTGAGGGTCTGTCTCTGCTGCTGATGCTTGGGTGGAGGGAAACTAGAAATGGTGCAAACAAAGTACTTCCTTTAGAAGGTGGCGCTGCTCCTTTTTCAGATTTCTTTCATAAACGTTTAAAATTACTCAAATATATCAATTATGAACCAAAAACAGACAGAAGCATAGAGAAACTGAAGGTCATGGAGGGATCGGTTCATGGGAGTAAAATTTGCCTCATCGGAGGGAGATGTTGCACAAATATCTTCTAGATCGGTTGAGTAAATGCTCCATTCATCTCATCCTTGTTCATGAGTCCTTTAGAGCTGTCTGGGTGAGGTTACTCATTTTGTGGAGTTGAAGTTCCCAAAGAAAATAACTACAGAGGCTGGCAGTACGGCAGATTTTCTGAAGCCATTATCTTGTAAATGCCTTTCTACTCAAAGCCAACAATGTCTTTTAAAGTGGGGATCCCATCAGGCATATGTCTGAAGTGGAGCGAGAGTGTTTTTTACTGATAGTTTTGGAGACAATTGTTGCTACTCTGCCCAAAAAGCTGAATAAGGATGACAAGAATATAGATATGTCTGTTGTTAACCACATCTTCTTCACAGAGCCTCCAGAATTGAGTGCATGGAGAATTTATAAAAGAGGCTTTATGAGTTGAGTGACCCCCTTCGTAGTGTTTTAGGCCATAAAAATCTGAAGTTATCGATCACATTCCTGTTAATCTCGTTTTCTTTTATTGTTCATAATGTGGCGTCAGAATGCGGTTTTCGTCCGGTGCTTCGGGAGTACGGGTGGAGGGTTCCTTATTAAGGGCCATCCAATCTCTTTACCAAAGGAGCACGAGCTTGGTCCGTGTAGACGGTTGTAAGTCGATCTACGTGCCGACCCTCACCTATAGTCATGAACTTTGGGTAATAACCGAAAGAACGAGAGAGCAGATACATGGCATCAGAATCAATTTCATTCATATCACAGTCTATCAAGAATGCCTCACACGGGGCACCGTTTTCCAGCGGTCCACAGGCACCTTTTACTGTGGTTATATCCCTCAGGTGGTCCATCTAACTTCAGTTTACCTCATTACCTACTCTGTCCTGTCTTGTTCTCTAAATAAAAGCAAAAAAAAAAAAAAAAACGGACTAAAAAAAGACCAAAATCTGTCAAATCAGCATTTATTTAGTCAGACTCGTTACTCAAGTGAGCTCCACTTCAGACACCCACACCTCAATTTCCACGTCAGACACTTTATTTCTTTGACTTCTACTATAGTGTTACTGCAGGAACTTTTAACCTTCAGCTCATTTTACACATTTTCATCCATGTGCTGCTTCACACTGACCAGCTATAGAAAAACGTTGGTTTTAGAGGAAAGAATATGAGGCTGAAACATTTGTGCAGACTACCAAGTAAATCACTTTTTTTTAAAGGAGCAATGCATGAAAAGATGCGTGCACACAGCTTTATAAACATCTTATTTTTCTGCGAACGCCATTTATATCTTTTTGGTGCATGTACACTATTATTAAGGATTCTACACACTGGATTTTATAAATGCGACCTTTTTCAGGTCTGTGTATTTCTTTATTCAGTTGTGATGCCACAGCATAGCCTGCCCGCTGTAGTCGAACATTAGAAGGTGGTATCAAAGCTCTTGCCTTTAGTACAGTTATAAAATCAGGGTGTTTTGCTGGACATTTGTGCAGTTTAACCTCCTTTGCAGCCTGAAAATGAAACTTAATTTGCACAGCATGTTTAATAACCCGACAGATACTGTATGTGCTCTTATGTACGTCTGGCTGACAGGAAGCAATGAATAAGGTAATGAGCTCCTACCACCAGTGAGGACTAACATCACAACCCTCAAGTTAATAATATAAATGGAAATGTGTGATTGATGGCGACTGATTGTTCCAGTAATAAAAGGAATAAGTCAAAAGGATTTCAGTACAGAGGAAAAAATGGAAATGAGTGAAATAGATGGCTGTTCCTCAGCAAAGCAAACAGTGTTTTCATCTTTTGTTTGACCTGTCAGCTCTTTTACTTCCTCAAATCCTCAAGAAAAATAACTTTGAATGCCCTACAGCTCCTTCATCAACTCCACTCCTGATAACATCCAGAATGAAACGAGTGTATCCTTAATTATCATAAATTACAGACTCTTGGTGAATATATTCAGAATCATGACATAAAAGTACACTCTTAGAAATCCATGAACCAGTTCCATTAATTAGAATCTGCATCTCTGCAGGTATTGGTTTTGGATTATAGTTCGTACAGTGAGGAGAAAATCTAGGACACGCTGGTGGATCTACCTGCAGCCTGGTTATTGAGCCCGTGCCTTAACCTGCGGGTCATCCTTCGTCTTTACCTTTCTTCATTGGCTGCCATCTCAAAGTGAGCTCATGGATAACTAAAGTTTATGGAAACAGTCACTTCCGATTGTTAAAGCATCTCATTTTCATTTTCAAACTGGTACAAAAATGGATTTTTAAAGAGGGGGAAATTTGCAAGTTTACATTTGATGCTCCAAATAGCGACCTACTGTGAAGTCAGCTGAAATGGATCCGTGAGACCAGCAGCTCACCTCCTCCAAAGTCTGTGAAGATCAGTTTATTTTCAGGGACTGTCCAGATTAAATCCCTCCAAAGGGAAGGTAGACGTTAAAAGCCTTGAAGGTTTGTCCCATAAAAACTGGTCATGAAAAGTGGAGATTGTTTGTAATCTGAGTTGTCATATATCCGGGTCATTATGGAAGGATGGAAGTGCGTCACTCAGAGAAGCATACTGCAGAATTCCCTGTAAAAACAACAGAAAAGAAACTGATGAAACAGGTTTGCAATAAGACAGGTGGACGCCCTCTCCTCCTGAATACTGCAGTTATCAGCAGTTCATCCTGGGTCGACACCGGAGGGCCAAACCAGAACAATGCTGTCAGTCTGCACCCATAACAAACACCTCAGGAACATAGACGTCTGTGGTGATACTGGCATTATACTGTTTAATGTGATAAGGCCACAAGAGACATCCATTAAAGCTCTAACTTCAGTTTTTTCCTCTCAGAGCTCGCTGTCTTTGTGACTTCCTGTGTTTTATATATATATATATGTGTGTGTGTGTGTGTTCTGTAGATCCAGAACGTGGGGAGTGGGATGTGTATGGAGATTAAACGCTTTGTGTCGGGGAGTCCGATCCGCCTGGAGAGCTGTGTGAAATCGCGGGGCGAGGTGGGCTGGAGTCACGGACAGGTGAGAGTCTTTGATAAATGTTTCATGACGCTTCAGTGAACTCGGACAGGTCATGGAGTGCTGCTCTGCATGTATTCTCCATTAAACTATCTTAACATCCAACAAGACTCCTCTGTTTCGCTCACACTCGTAAAGAAATACTACTGTGTCCTAAAACTGGGAGAACTGGTGTTTATTGGGACAGAAGGACGGGAGACACTGGTCTCTTTCTGTTGTTTCCACACATCATGATATATCCTGATAAATTCTAGAATAAGAATATCGTCAGATCGATCTTCTGACTGATCAGCCTCAGACTGAGAGAGTCCCTAAGCTCTCCATCATGCGCACTCTTGAATACATGCAGAAAACACACACACACTGACACACTTCAACACAACTCAAAGGTTTTTCCTTTAGTCCTCATAATCTAAATAAATCACGTCAAGCAGCAGATGTTGGAGATGTTCTGATGTGTTCCTCAGGTGTTGACGTTTGGTTGGAGGGAAGACATTCGAGTGGGCGACCCGATGCACACAAGGAAGGTCTGTTTTGACGCCGTGTCCCACAGCAGCCCGGTCACCCTGTACGACTGTCACGGCATGAAGGGGAACCAGCTCTGGCGCTACAGAAAGGTAGAGGACAGGAAAATGGAAATATGTGCTGATGCATCGTCATTATACTTGACAGAAAACCTCTAAAGCCTCTTGGATCACATTATTGCCAATGAAAAATCTAGTTTTCTTTCTTCCCTGAGGAACGCGCAGTGGTTCAGAGTGACTGTAACATGTTACCTGCTCTGGAAGTGTGGGAATAAAACACGACATATTCATGCCAGTGTCTCAGCTTTGTCCAAACGTTCCTTCACGTCAGTACCAACGCTGCTCTCATCTCCATTCTTCTCTTTCTCCAGGATAAGAGTCTGTATCACCCCGTCAGTAACAGCTGTATCGACTGCAGCCCGAGTGAGCGGCGGGTCTTCATGAACACCTGCGATCCGACCTCCCTCACCCAGCAGTGGCTGTTTGAGAAAACCAACGCCACCGTGCTGAAGCACTTCAACCGGAGCACCAACTGAGGCGGCTGAAAGGTGAGGGAACCAAAGCTCTGACCTTCTGGATCATTTGTCTGCACTCCCAGACAAATGTGACCATGCAAAGATAGAAATATGAGGCTGAACCATGTGCATGTGATCCCAGATTAATCAAGATTTGTAAAAGGAACAAATCCCCGGGTTTTTGGTACATACACATTTTAGCCACCGATTCTAGGCCCTGTTATAGACATGAGGCCCGCAGTGACAGTTCCTTTTTTCAACTTGACCACAGCAGCTCTTCTGTGTCTGATAACGCTGCCTGTGTTTCCCTTTTGTACAGATAAGAATGGAAACTTTACTCGAATAATGAGCTGATCAGCATTATTCCCAGTGAAAAGGCAAAGATCTGAAGAGATGGTCGAATCACACACAACAAAATCCAGATAACAGTAATACAGCACGAGCTCGCTCCGAGGAAAGAGGTGAACTAACGATTCACCAAAGGTTATTTCAAAGAATGAAAGACGGTTTATTCACTGTCTGTTTTTGATCATCCTCAGGATTGATGAGCCACGGTGAAAGCTGATCGTCCTGCAAAGACCCCCGAACCCCCAGAGTTCTGAGAGACTCCAGTTTGGACTTCAAGTGTCGTACAGTGGAAACTTTGTGAAAATGCTCCGGTCTCTCTGACAAACACAGACTCTTCTGGGTTGAACGAAATCTCAACTATTTTGCCTCTTTCTTATCTTTTCTTCTTTAAATTGTTGCCTTAACAGAAAAAAACCAGCCCCCCCCCCCATCTGTGCAAAAAGCTAATGGTAGCATCCTGCGTGTGGACCTTTTTTTGCAAGTATAACTCTGTTTGGACTGAAGAAAATGCCTGAAAAACGTACAACATGTACACCTGCACGGTGAGCGGGAACATGCAAGAATATGCCTTTTATCGACTGAACAGAATCCTGTAAATACTGAAGGTACAAATGTTTATTTTTGTACTAATTTATAAAGTTCTACAACAAGAGCACATGTCTATTTCACTGTGAGGATTTAGGTGATGTTTTACAGGTTACTGGTGCGCTGTCTCTGCGGTAGATTTCAAGCTAGTTGATGATGACGGTATCTTTGGCGATCAAATTACCTCAAAAGTCTGTCGTAAGGTTGGCGGTTCAATCTCATACAGTCGGTGTGTCGACTATCTGATCTGAAATGGTTATTGATCGTAACGAGAGGTTGAGTATTATACGAATCAGCTGTTGGATGGTTTCCAAAGCTTTAATGCAGATGACTGAGGCTTTGCTCTATCTATGAAGGTCAGGGTATTCTGGGAATTTTTCTAAAATCGCAACTGGGCTTCTTGGCTTATCTAGAAGACTTTTTGCCTCTTCTCCAAAAGGCTTCTTCAGCTCTAAGGGCGACTGGGTCTAGAGCTGAAATAGGACTGAGGAAACCTTTTGGAGAAGAGGCGAAACTTCTTCAAGAAAAGCCAAGAAGTCCAGTTGCCATTGTACAAGAATTCCCAGGAGGCTTTGCTCTGCTTTGCTTTGTTTATATCATCTCTGTTTGATACTTAAAAATCTGTATTTTGTGAAAAACTCAGAGTTGTACTTTTATATTTCCTCGCCTTAAAGGCATGGTTGATGATTGGAGAGATTGGTAATTATTTTTAACCTCGTTTCTATGGTGATCATGGTCCCATAGTGCGATCTCCACAAAGTGAAGAGAAAAAAGGACAGAAAAAATCTGTTCACCCTATCAGCTGCAGGGCTACAAAAACTTTGACCAATGGGAGCCAGCCGTCCCGGACAGCTCCTATTGGTCAATCTCCTGTTCCACCTCTCCATCCAATCACCTCGCTGTATTCGACACACCCCTCTCCCGTAGTTCCGACTCTCCCAGCTGTGGTATTTTTTTGTAGAATGGTTGGGGAAAGTTCCGCCTCCTTCGCTTCTGATTGGCTAGAACAGCTGGAAAGTCATCACACGCTCAAGCCAAACGCGAGCTGTCGGCTCTGTACATCAAACAGAACATTATCGCACTTCTGAATCTCCAAACCCTAACCTGACAGACGATGACGTTTCACAGTCATAAGGAATAACCAATCAGAGCCCAGTACTTATAGTCAATCAGAAGCGAAGGGAGCGAAAACAAGAGCCAACAGAAGAAAGGGCGGAGTCAAAGAGGAAATGTGACCAAGCGAGGAATCTAACGTGAATAACCATCGGGTCATCCTTGGAGCGGTGGAGAAAACAGACGCTGAGACAGCAGAGTTTTAGTTGAACAGGTCATTTTTATCTCCTTTTATCGTGGCTCATGTTACATAAATAACTCTGATTAGTCTCTGACATGTCAACACGGTAGCTGTCCAGGCAGCTGCAGACGGCGCTCGCTAGCAGAGCTGGCGTTTACTGCCGCTAATCACTAACAATCCGACCTGGAACGCTTTTTTTTCAAATCTGCCTCAACGTCTCAGTTTTTGTCAACTGCTTCTCCAACCCTGCCTTTAACTGAGAGAAAAGATACTCTTAGTAGAGATCCAAATGAAATTGAACCAAAGATGAATGTTATCCACCGCCCGTTCATCTACTAAATAATGATGATATTTTCTGGTTTAATGTTCGTCCTGAACACTGATAGTTCGCCCACTCCAGTCCTGTGTAATTGACCGCTCAGGTCTGTGACTCAGCACCTGTATATGAGAGCAGACGTCTTATTGGAAATGTGATAAAGCTGAGGTCAAACAAACTCATCATCGGGGCTCAGTCTGGGGATGAAACCTGCAGAGCCAGCCAACATTTCCCCACAAAGGACGGCAGCTGCTGTGGCCCGGAGATCATTCGCCACTCTCGTGTTTTTCTCGTTGATAGAGGGAGTCATCAACCTGAGAGGCAAATCCAATACTTCAGGTGTATGAGTCTGCTGATTTTATTGGCTGTCTAATGCCATCAAGGTCAAACAAACAAACAGAAGAAGAATCCAGTGCAGAGTCCCATCTAGAGTTTGTCTTTTTTCCAGCAAAAGAAGAACAACTTTCAACCATCAACACACCTACGTCTCGAGATTTTTCGACGCAGTTTGAAATGAGGGCATGCTCACACTGAAAAGCTTTCCAGGCTGATCGTTTTGGTAGATTGGTCTCCTGTACCTGTCCAACACTCACTCAGGAGACAGAAAAGACTCCCGGCTTTATTCCCAGGCCTCTCATGACTCCAGCCGAGGATACCGCAATGAAAGAGATGAATGGAGAGGATTGATTTTCACCGTCTATCTGTGATTGAGCGGGAGTGTAGAGCCTGCAGATCAATTTAAAGAGTACAGCTGTGGTTCAACAGCATGCTAGGTTGTTGCTCAACAAAAGGGTTGGCAGGTAAATCCCCAGTTCCTGCAGACCACACAAAGAAGTATCTGTGGAAATCTGTTGAAACCCACTTTCTGTGGAAAACGTCGAGCTCTCCAAGTTTCTCTGGGCGGTGTAGTGAGCTGGCTGTGGCTGTGATTGATGTGAAAGGGCAGTTTGGAGTCTCTGCTATCAGCGTGTGAATGTGGCGTTAAAGTGCACGCCATAAGAGCTCTAACCCTTTCACTAAAGCCCGTTCTGCTGCATGAGGTTCAGGTTCACTAAAGGAACAAATGAAACTCTTATTTTCTCTTTGGAATAATAAATAAATCCTTAAATGTTCAATCAAATTCATCCACAAACACATGACCGTGGTTCTGGAGATCCACCTGCCCCGTTGAGTTGAACCTCGGTGCCCTGCAGTCGGTGATAAACGTCTTGCACACAGAGACCTTTCATTAGCGGGTGAGCAGTCAAAACTCAATTAGCTGTGTAATAAGGATTTTCAATCAGGAGGACTTAATTAAAAAAAGAAGCTTAAAAAGTAATTAATTCATTTGAAACGGCACAATGGGGAAGTTGAAGAAACGCGAGCTCTGACCTGATTAGAGCGTCCTCATGATTCATCACTTTAAGAGGGGAGTGAGGTCACGACCCGTTCAAGAACGCCAGAGAAGAGAGACGAGAGCGGCGGCAATGACAGAGGAGTGAGAAGACGATCCGGTTCAAGACGGATTCATAAATCTGAAGGATGATCCAGTTTGACCTGGACGTTTAAGACCTTCAAGGTTCATGTTGCTCGGTTGTGCCAAATGTCCTCTACATCGACCCTCGCTGATGGAGCCCACAGCTCCTGATACAGGTTCTTGCAGTGACGACAGCAACTCCTTACTGGCAGACCTCCCTGTGTGCTCAGTTTAACCCCCAATTTTCACTGCATCCCAAACGGCTCCGATCTGGTACAACAGCGATTTTCGCTGTCCGCCAGTTCCTCGTTTGTGAGGCGATTTCGTGGCGGATTACGAACAGCAGGAATCACAAGAACTGACAAGAACCCGCGGATTCACGTGCAATCGTGCGATAACAAGTTGTCTCTATAAAGACAGACACACAGACATATAAGCAGTAGATTGTGTCCTTCCAGAGGAGGAAATCTACTTCTAGACTTCTTGAATCAGCATCTCCAGTAGTGGACAGTAGAAGCCCAAACAATCCCCCGAATTCCTATAACTGTTCCTTCCTATACTTCCCCAACGGCGTCATTAGTCCTATTCCCATAAGCGGCCTTCATGTTGTTGTCTGATAGCCAACAATGTGATTTTCATCTTCAGACTTGTTTTTGCTGACCAGCTCTGCCAGCTCATGGGGAACCCACACTGCAGAGTTTGGCAATCCGCAGCAGAACGGAGAGAAGCCGGTGGAAATTGACACACTAACTTGAATGGTTCCTCTGCAGCCCGTCTTTTCTTCAACCCACCCCAAAACAGCACCGGTCACTCTGATCTTCATCTCTCTTTATCGGCTTCCACGTTCAACGTAAAGCCCGACTTCTTACCTTTAAAACCAAAACTAAATCAGCTGTAGTCTCTTTTTACATCCTCTTCTTCTGTTGCACCCACTCGTGTTGTTTTCATCCGTATCATTGTGTTGTTTCATGTTTTATTCCAACAGTAAAATCAAGTGAAACATCATGACTCACTCTGAAACACATTTACTCGGGACATTTTGCAGCAAACGTCCGCCTGCCAAAAACCCCAAAGTGCTGGATATCAGTGATCAGCATGTAAACGAAAACTCGGCCTGACGTCGACCCAGCGGTATCAAAGCCAGCTCGGCTCTTCCAGCTCGGATAAGGACATTTCAGAAACAATTCAGAACGATTAAACACGACTCACCATGAGAGAAAACGTGGTCTACAATGAAAACAGATGACTGGGTGGTTTTGTTTGCGAGTTCAGCGCCTGACGTGACATGCTCTGATTATTCTGAATATTTCATCTCGGTCTCCTCTTTAGTTTGAGTGTTTTTTGAGAAGACGTGTGATTGAAACTTTGACGTCTTCAGCTCCAAACAGAGACAATCAGCGGTGAATGGCGAGTAATCGTGGTTATTACAGAGATGCTCTTGGAGGTGCGTGTGTGTGATACAGTTTTACAAAGAGAGAGCAGCTCGCCGTCATTTAAATTCCATTTCAAAGACATTCGGCGCCGCGATCCCCTCCATCATGTTATGACCCTGCAAATTGCACCCACTTCTTCTGATGGTGTGTAATGTGAACACCAGAGAGCATGAAATGAAAAGATAAGTGCGAGCCGGAGACAAACCTGGGGATGAAAAAACGTTATTGATTCACACCTAACCACCTTATATGTCCGTCATATAACCAAATCAGAGTCTTTCACACTTTAAAATATTCGGTATAATCTTCATCAGCTTCTTTTTGCCTGTCAGACGCATCAGCAGTGACGTTAAATGTACATTTTTTTTGTTAGGTTGGATATGAACGCGCTCTGATGCCCTGCAGATAGTGATAAACATTTATTACTCTTAGACTTTTCATTACCAGGGTGAACAGTCAAAACTCAATTAGCTGTGTAATAGGGATTTTCAATCAGGGGAGACTTAATTAAAAAGAAGGCCTAAAAAGTGATTCAACTTATTCATTTCCAACACTGAACAATGGGAGA